TTGTTCAAAAAATTTTTTCAGTATCAAAGCTCTAGGTGTTGGCTCAGTGGATAGAGTGTCGACCTGCAGACTGAAGGGTCCTGGGTTCGATCCAGTCAAGGGCATGTACCTTGGTTGCCTTATGCAGGAGGCAACCAGTCAATGTGTTTCTCTCACATTGATATTTATCCCTGTCTTTCCATCTTTCTAAAAATCAACGGAAAAATATCCTCCATTGAGGAATGAAAAAAATTCCAATATCAAAGAGCAAGTGTTAACTTAAAATATAAATAAAATGAATCTACATTTTAATAATGATACTAAATTTGGAAAGACTCCTTTTAGAAAAAAATTCTCCACATGCATGGTATTAATAAAGGCAATCAGACTCTGAGCCTTATATGTGAAATGAAAGATACATAATTCTGGCAGAAATTCTTTAATTAAAAAAACAAAACAAAACATGATTGTATTCTCATAGCCAAAATCAGAGTGATATGACTCCCACAGGATGGTTTCATTTTTATCTAAGATTACTCATTCAACTGCCTTAAAAGAAGTAGGTTGGCCATTATGATAAATAGTGAGAGACTTTTTTGCAATGTCCATTGCCAGTTATTTTTTAATATACATAACACTGTATAAGTTTAAAGTACATGTGTTCATTTGATACACACACATACTGAAAAATTAATACAGTAATGCTAATCAGAACACATAATTACATTTTTTTTGGCAGGGGAACATTTAAGTTCTACTTTTAGCAACTTTCAAGTATATATTGTTAACTATAATCACTATGCTATATATTAGGTCTCCAGAACTTATTGATCTTGTAAGTAGTAAGTCTATACCTTTTGAATAACATCAATTAAAGCCAAACTTGTATAAAAACCATTGTACTGTTTTTATAGAAGTTTAGCTTTTTTAGATTCCACATATCAGTGAGATCATATAGTATTTGTCTTTTGCTGTCTGACTTAATATAATGCCCTTGGGAGTCCATCTTTGTTGTCACAAATTACAGAATTTCTTTCTTTTTTTGTGGCTGAATAATATTCTGTTGTATATTCTGTTGCCACATCTTTATCCATTCACACAGATCCTTTTCACATGTTTTCATATTACTAATTAGCATCCTTTTATTTTAGCATGAGGAACTTCTTTTGGCATTTTCTGTAAGGCAGGTCTAGTGGTGATGAATTCCTTCAGCTTTTGTTTGCCTAAGGAAAGTATTTGTCCTTCATTTCTGGACAGCTTTGCTGGATAGAATATTCTTGGTTGGCAGTTTTTTCTTCTTTTAGCACTTTAAATATATCATCCCACTCTATCCTAACTAAGGTTTCTGCTGAGAAATCCACTGATAGCCTTATGGGGGTTCCCTTGTAAGTTATGTGGATGAAAGGGGGCCACATAGTGAACCTGACAAGCTCAGGGGTCTGTGTGACAGCCCTATAAAATCAGAGACCTCAAGTAACCATAAAAGATTATCTGAAATTTAAACTTTTAAAACTAAAAGCAGTTTACAGCAGGTAATCATGTCCTAGGCTAGAATCTTCCTTAACAAAAGTCAATCTTGACCTTAACTGAGCCTGAGCCTGACTATTGTCTTTTGCATCTGTGATAACAGGCCTTTGGAGTGTCAAGGTAATGTCTGAAATGTTTTTCTGAAAACATTTCAGACATACCACCACCAGAGCAGAGACCATAAATCCCCTTATTATTATTGTTATCATGTTATTTTTTCACTGTTATCTATCCTATAACCAAGTAAAATAAGTTTATGTCTGTTATTTTACTTTTTATCCATACCCAGAGGTCCCCCACCCCACTGCTTTGCTTTCTTCAGCCTCCCTAATCTGTCACCAATGGATTTCACTTCGTCCTCCTCCTCTTTTGATTGTAATATATAATAAGGTACAAAACTGTCATTTTTTGGGAGCATTTTCCCAATCCACTGAGGTTTGGCTTCCCAGAAATTATCATCCGTTTGGCTAAAAAGTCTCATAGAAATTTTAACAGGATTGGGTGTTTCTTTTTAAAAAAATATATATTTACTGATTTTTTAACAGAGAGGAAGGGAGAGGTATAGAGAGTTAGAAACATTGATTAGCTGCCTCCTGCACAGCCCCCACTGGGGATGTGCCCGAAACCAAGATACATGCCCTTGACTGGAATTGAACCTGGGACCCTTCAATCTACAGGCCAATGCTCTATCTACTGAACCAAACTTGTTAGGGCAAGGCTTGAGTGTTTCTTAGGTTGACACTTTCTCCATTATTTTCTCTCCTCTGACTGGATAATTTTAAAGGTCCTCCCCTTTAATTCACATAGTATTCCTTCTGTTTGATCCTGCTGGTAATGCTCTCTATTTCATTTTTCACTTCATTGTATTCTTCAGCTCAAGAGTTTGTTTGGTTCTTTTTTAATGATTTCTAGTTCTTGTTTAACTTCATTTTGTTCACATATCTTTTTCCTGATTTCATTGAATTTTCTTTCTATTTTATTGTAACTCAATGTGGTTCCTTAAACAGCTATTTTGAATTCTTTATTAGGTATATTACAGATCTCCAAGTTTTTGAGTTTGATTACTGGAAGGTTATTGGTAATGTCATGTTTCCTTAATTTTTCATGCTCCTGTAAGTCTTGCATTGCTGTCTTCACATTTGAAGTAGCACTCACTTCCAACTGTCTTTACTAACTGACTTTGGGAAATGCTTTCCATCTGCCTTGCTAGGGATTCTGAGGCTTGCACATATTTTTTTATGGATACATCTTCTCCATACTTCTTGTTCTCTCTTGTGGCAGAATTTGTAAGCTTGTATGCCTTCTCTACATTATACAACACACTGATCCAGGTGCTAACAGCCTCCATTTGTGTTTTCCCAAGAGTGGTGATAAAGTTCAAGTTTGTGGTCTCTCCCTGGCCTACAGATTCTGGCCTACTTATTGCTTGTTCTCACTAGCTGGCTGCTAAAGCTTGCTCTTGTTGCCATCAGGAGCATGCATAAGCAGTTGGCTATAGAATAGGAGAGGTGTGGTTGAGGCACACGGAACACTGGGGGGTGCTTATGGGCCAGTTGGAGGGAACCACAGACTAAATGTCCCTAGCAACTTATAGGTGAGTTTCTTGATCTAGTATATGACCTGTGTCTCTTTAAACTTCTGAGAGTCCTATATGCCACTTTTCCAGCTTCTTCCTGCCCCCACCCCAAGTCATGAAGCTCACAACTCATCACTCTGGATGGGGCAAAAGAGCAATGAGCCTATCTGCAGCATCCTGTACATCTGGGGAAGCCAGGTGGCCATTCTCATGCTCTCTTTTCCCATGAAAGAAATCACAGGCAAGAAGTCTCTCTTGGCACTGAGCTGTGTCACCTTGGGGAAGGGGTGACACAAGTAAACTTTACCCTCTCCAATGCATTTAAACGTGTGTGCCTGTGTGTGTGCATGTGTGTGTGTGTGTACGTGTGTGTGTGTGTGTGTGTGTGTGTGTGTGTGTGTACTCTAGTGGCATCCTGGAATTTCTCCACTGGACTCCTTCATTTCCACCAAGGCTCTCTTGTCTATGGATCATTATCTAAGACTAGAGGCCTGGTGAATGAAATTCGTGCACAGCAGGGGGTCCCTCAGCCCGACCTGCACTTTCTCCAAACTGAGACCCTTCTAGGGATGTCCGACTGCCTCTTGCAATCTGGAACCACTGGCTCATAAGTGCTCACCTGCCTGCTTGCCCCTAACCACTCTGCCTCCCTGCATGATCGCCCCTAACTGCTCCCCTGCTGGCCTGATTGCCCCTAGCCACCTCTGCCTCACCCCACACTCGGGACCCAGGATTCCCTCCTCTGGCCAGTCATACACATCTGGGACCTGGGCTTGCCTCCCTCTGGATGCCAAAGGGTTAGGATCTGGGCTGGCTGCAGCTGCAGGGGACTGTGGGTGGGCGGCTTCCCTGGGCTACAGCCGCAGACACCTGGGACTGTGGAGTGGGTAGCTTGTCCCTCTCCTGGGCCGCAGCCCCAGCTGCTGGCACTCGGGACTGCAGGGCATGCAGCTTGTCCCTCTCTTGGTCAGGGCTGCAGGTGCAGGTGCAGCTGCTGGTGCCTGGGACCTCAGGGCGGGCGGCTTGTCCCTCTCCCGGGCCACAGCCCCAGCTGCTGGTGCCATGGACCATGGGGAGGACGGCTTGTCCCTCTTGTAGGCCACAGCCTGGCTGGTCCCATTCCTCTCTCACAAGCTCATTTGTGCCTGGCTGGTCCCCATTCCTCTCTCCCCAGTGTTATGTCTGAGCTGTTACAGCATGATGGTGTGATGACCATTTGCATATTAGCTCTTTATTATATGGGATTATATAGGATAGTATTCGCCAGGGGCTCCTAGACTGAAGCTGGGAAGGGCTGGAGCCAGTGCATGAGCCATTGCAGGATCCACAACCAGGACTGATATCTGTCTGCCTATTACCTAATGCAGAGGTTAGTAACTTTCCTCCCAAGAACTAACTTCCACAGTTCCCACAAAGGCAATTTTGTCTATGAATGGATGCCAAATTGTTGTTGGGGGGGAGGGGACAAATAAGGGACGTTTTATTTGGCCATCTTGATGCTGTGCTGACTACTCTTTAATACCAAGGTACTGTTGCACTAAAGTGACTGTGGAGATTAAATCTATGGGCAGTTGTTGGTGAACTTGAGGCAGACGAAGGGAAAATAAGTGATTGGTATTATCCAGAGCTTCTCATGAGCCTTAAGAAGAATTTAATCTGTGGCAGACTTCCAGGAAGACAGTGTTGGAAAATAAACATTGAATATCAGGCTATTTAACTCTGAATGAAAGCAGAAGGCAAAATGAACAATCCAGTTTTGTTTTTTTAAAGAACAACTTCTGTTAAACATTGGATGAGGCTAAAGGTGAACATATTTTTCAGAGCTCAATTATATCACATTCACAGTTGCAAGCTACAAGGATAAAAACTACTACACTAACTGAAATTCTCCCCATCTTTAATGACAGAAATATCTTACTTTTTCGATGAAGAAACTCTGCAACCAAGGCTGCTACATGGACATAACACATTGCTGCCTGAAAAAGGATGACAAAGAAAGAGCTGTTAGAATGTGCTCCAGGGATTTTGCAAGACTGTGTTTAGAACAAAGCCTTAAGTAGTTACCTCTGAAAAATCTCCATTTTTTACATGGATCTTGGCCATGCTATCAAGCCAAGTTTTCCTGAGCTCTGGGGTGCTTGCATAGGACTTGGCTAAGCTATACTGGAGATCAATTAGCATTTCAGGATCTTTCTCATGTTCCTTCATTTGAGCAGTGGCCATAAGAACAGTACGAATTCTCTTGGTCAAATCTTTGACTTCTGTGGGAAAAGCAGTTGCCTAATTTAAAAACAAACAAAAAAACATGTTTATTAATATTATTAATGTGCTCTAAGTTTCATCATTCAATCCTAGGAATAACACACAATTTTTTAAAAATTGATTTTAGAGAAAGGAGAAGGGAGAGGGAGAGGGAAGGAGAAGAGAAAGGGAAGGGGGGGAAACATTGATGTAAGAGTGAAACATAGATCCATTGCCCCCTGCACACATCCTGACCAGGGATCAAACACACAACGTGGATATGTGCCCTGACTGAGAATTGAACCCACAACGTTTTGGTGCACGGGATGATGCTTCAACCAACTGAGCCATAACACCTGGGGCAACATACAATTTTTTAATCCTTGTTACAGTTCTGGGTATTGGTTCTTGGCATGGGACATGTCTAAAGAACTTTCAATTAATTCTTTTTAATATATCCAATTAGCTCAGGCTTTAAAGCACATGTGTCAAACACAAGGCCCGCGGGCCAAATCCGTCCCGCCAGGCCTTGCAATGTGGCCTGCACCGCGCTGTCATCACTGTACCCCACTGCGTTTCCATCACAATGACAGTTTATGACTGTTCAGTAAACCATTCGGCCCGCGATTTAGGCTGGATTTTAGATTTTGGCCCCTTCTCTGATTGAGTTCGACACCCCTACTTTAAAGGTTCCAAACTTGATGGCAGTATATTAACAATATCTAAAAGCATGGACACTGGAGCCATACTACCAAGCCTTGAACCCCAGCTCCTCCACTGAATTTTATAGCCATGAGAGTAATCTATAGTCACCTTATTATGTAATTTTAGTTACAACAGTAACTAAAAATGTTTTTGTTGTTTTCTTCTTCTCCCTTATTTTATTTTTTCATCATCATTTATCACTTCTATGCCCATTTCCATCTCCACCAACCCCCCTCCCCTGCAATCATCATGCTGTTATCCACGTCCATGAGTTCTCCCTATTCTTTTCTTTTTGTTCAATCCCTCCACAACCACCCCTAACACCTCCACACACACCAGAGTTGTCTTCCTGCTCTCTATGAGTCTGTCTCTATTTTGCTTGGTAGGACGATAACTAAAAATTGACAGTTAAAATATAATAATTCATATTAGGCAGTGGTCTAGGCATTCTTACAACAATCCTGTGAGTTAAGGACTATCATAATTCACTTAACCAACAGAAACCTGACGCACACAGCAGTTAAGTATCTTGGCTAAAAACTTACAGTTGGTAAGTGGCAGAGACAAGATTGACACCCAGGTAGTTTGGCTCCAGAGCTAGTGACCTTAGTCACTCTTCCATACTGACAAGCATACCCACCCCATCCACCAACTATACATACATACACTAAGGGGAACACCATACTACAAAGTGCCTACTTATAAAATTAGAGCTTATGAATCACAGAACACTCTTGAGTTTAAAGAGATAATTAACCTCTCTCAAAGTGTTACCTTGGTACCCCAAAACCAGTAAGTTAGTTTCCTCTTTCTTATGGCCATTAAAATAGTCTTATCAGTTTCTCTTAACCCCACTGGAGTAATCACAATTATCTGTATGATTAAAGATATAGGGAGGGGTTAGGGAGTTTTTCAATGTGAATATAACCCAAAGTGGAGGAAATAGTTTTTAAAAGTGCCTTCTTTATCCTTTTAAAGTAATACCCGTGTTTCCCCCAAAATAAGACATCCTCTGAAAATAAGACCTAGCACAACTTTGGGAGAAAAAATTAATATAAGACACTGTCTTATTTTCGGGGAAACAGGGTACTTCTATACATAAAGTACCTTCTTATGTATTAAGATTCCATTTACAGGGGCAAGGCATTCCTTGCTGTAACAAAATTTATTGGCAGTGACTGGCCAATAAACTAAGTGACTGACTAATAAAACTAAGTCATTTAAGAAATCAGTCAATGCAAAATATTTCCTATCAAGAAAGCCAAAACAGACCCCCATGACTGTGAAAAAGTTGCTCTTCTAACTTTTATATAATATGGAATTAAGGATCCTAAGTGACAGAGGCTGTTTTTGTATTCATGGGATTAGTTGGAGTATATACTTATATCCTGGGGAACCAGTAGAACTGGCTGGAAAGCAAACTTTCCCAGCCTGACAGTGTTTTGTTTTGTTTTTCCTTTTCTTCAGTCTAAGCAATGTTCCTGTGGGAATGTTTTTTGCTACATAGATCTACATGTCCCAAACATCAAAGACACTGACTGTGAGCTTTATTTTTTTCAGATTTTAAACAATATTGTCCAATTATGTTGGAAGATGACCTTTCCCAAGAATGCAGATGATTCCTCTGGGAGAAAAAAATTCTTTATTGGCAAAAGATTCCTCTTCCCTTGTACACATATAGCCCTAAAGATCAGAACTTGCTTTTTGTGCAACAAATGAATTTTGACAATGGTATAGGTTTTAAGCATATAGGTAAGAAAGAAGAATGGAGTTCAGGGTCTTTGCGAGTGCCAATAAGTATCTTTGGCAAACCTGACAAACTAATCCAAAATAATATATTCACCCTTATGCTCATAGCAGCATTATTTACAACAGCCAAGATTTGGAAGCAGCCCAAGTGGCAATCAGTAGATGAGTGGATAAAAAAGCAGTGGTACTTTTACACAATGGAATACTACTCAGTCATAAAAAAGAAGGAAAACTTACCTTTTACAACAACGTGGATGGTCCTGGAGAGTATTATGCTAAGTGAAATAAGCCATCAGACAAATACAAGCGCCATATGATTTCACTTATATGAGAAATCTAATGAATAAAATAGACTAACACTATGAGACAGACTCATAGATACAGAGAACAGACTGACAGCTGTCAGAGGGGAGGGGTTTAGGGGCTGAGTGAGAAGGGTGAAGGAATTAAACAGAAAAAAAAAGGAAAGACTCATGTACATAGACAACATTACGGTGACTGCTAGAGGAAAGGGGGCTGTGGAAGAGGTAGAAGATGGAAAGGGGAGATAAATGGTGATGGAAAGAGACTTGACTTGGGGTAATAAACACACAATACAATATACAGATGATATGTTGTAAAATTATATACCTGAAATCTGTATAATTTTATTAACCAATATCACCCCAATAAATTCAATTAAAAAAAGGAAAAAAATTGTCTATGGCAAGCCACAATCAGTTAACAGATGATTCTTAAAACTCATCCTATCTAGTAAAGAGGGAATACAGTAATTGACCCTCACATCATCACAAAGATGGTGATGCACACAGCCAATAAGGAGGGAATATGCTAATTGACTGCCCCACCCTCAAACATGGCAATGTCCACAGCCACAAGATGGTGGTGCCCAGTCCCCTCAGCCCTGCTGGGGTGGCAGGCGCATGGCAAGGCCAGGCCTGCCCCTGCCTCTGGAGTTCCCCAGTCCCCTCAGACCCCAGCTGCACAGAGCCAGCCCAAGTTGCAGGCAAGTAAGTCTCAGATGTCAGCTACCCAGGACTGGCCTGAGGCACAGGCAAGCCTTGGATGGTGGTTGCCCAGCTGCCTAGGGCCACCTGAGGCTCAGGAACTCAGGGATGGCTGAGGCTTGTGCTGTCAGCAGTGGCAGCAGCAGAGGTGTGATGGGGCATCACCTTACCCTGATCGCCGAGTCACTTCCTGCCCCTGAGGACTTCCGGACTGTGAGAGAGGGCAGGCCAGACTGAGGGAACCCCCTCTCCAGTGCATGAATTTTCATGCACATGGCCTCTAGTCAGATAATAAATCCCTTCTGTGCAGGTTCTCATCTGTTGGCAATGGATCAGATCATCTGTTGGCAATGGATCCTTTCCTATAAGCAGCTGTTAACTGTTCTAAGAAGTGAGGTTTTGTGAAATTTCAAACTCAGTGCTTAATTAATCAATATGGTAAATAGTTAATAACTGTTAAGAAAGGATCCATTTATATTCAGAGTAAGTTTAGAAATAAAGACCAGAAAAATATTCAAATCTTACTAGCCATCACCATTTATACTGCATGCACAGTATAGTCAATCGTCCATTCATTCAACTAACATTGATTATCTGCTATGTACCAGGCAGTTTTATAGGTGCTAGAGATACAATGGGGTACAAGACAAAGCCTGGAATAATGAAGCTTACATTCTCTACCTCTATTTAAAAAAAATACTTTTATTGATTTCAGAGAGGAAAGGAGAGGGAGAGAGAGATAGAAGCATTAATGATGAGAGAGAATCATTAACTGGCTGCCTCCTGCATGCCCCCTACTGGGGACTGAGCCTGCAACTTACGCATGTGCCCTTGACCAGAACCAAACCTGGGACCCTTCAGCCCACAGGCCGATACTCTATCCAGTGAGCCCAAATGTCTAGGACTATACACTATTTTACTGAAAGTCATGAACCTGCCCTAGCCAGTTTGCTCAGCGGTTAAAGTTTTGGCCCAACTGAAGGGTCACAGGTTCATTCTGATCAAGGGCACATGCCTCTGTTGCAGGCTCAATCATAGGCCCTAGTCAGGGCATGAGAAGGAGACAACCAATCTATGTGTCTCTCTCACATAGGTGTTTCTCTCTCTGTCTCTCCCCCTCCCTTTCAGTCTTTCTGAAAAATCAATGGCAAAAATATCCTCAGGTGATGATCAACAACAACAACAACAACAACAAAGTAAGTCATGGACCCAATAACAGTTTAACTCTAGGAGTGTAAACTTTTTTAATAGTGAAGGCGCTTCTAATTTATTACTTGAAGTGAGAACATACCTTCATAGGTCTGTCACTGTTAGCAAAATTATTGATAATGAATAAAGACTCCTGGAATCTTGATCCTCCGCTTAGTGCTACATCAGCTATCAGCTGACTTACAGCAATTATTATCTGTGGGAAAGAGCAAATATTGTTTTTCAATTGTCTTTTGAACAAATGCTACTTTCATCATTGTATAAGCCCATAAGCACGCATATGAAATGTTTCTTTTAAAGATTCTACACAGTTCCACCATAATCTACTTTCTTCAGACATGAGGAATTTAAATTATTTTATGGAAATAGCAACTTCAAAGGCTCCAATTTCCAATTTTATTGGGACTTTTCTTGATTAGATGTGAAAAAATTTTCTAAGCTCATGGTACAGATAGATCCAAAACTGTTTCATAATAGTGAACTGAAAGAACAGTGAGTCAGGTCTCCATTTTGAACAAGCTTGCTAGGTAGGTAGCAGCTATGGCCAAGTTGGGAATAAATGACATTTTCTTCTATGATTTCTCATTCCTTTTCATTGGTCTATTTTAGTGTCTTGAACTTCCAACTCCAGCACCTCAGCTCCCTTCTTTGTTTCTTTGTTTCTTTTATTTTGTTTCGTTTTTCTCTCCCCCACCCCTTATTCGTTTCTGACTAGCACCTACCTAGTTAAGACAGCCCTACATGTAATGCCTTTGGTTGTGCTTTTTAATCTCTCAGGATCCCTTTGAGGAATGCCTAAATGATTCATGGTAAGGTGTTAATGGTTGGATGCTTTACCTCTGATCTTGGGAAGCAGGAGCTATGATTGCAGGCTCTAGAATCAAACTGCTGCAGATGCAAATCTTGACTTTATCAATTATTCACTGTGGGGCTTTAGAAAATCTAACCTTCCATTCCTCACTTTCTTAATTGTAATATTGTTATGAAATGTTCTGAGGATTAAAGAGATCATAATCATAATAATACTAGTTAACTCTTTTTTGAGTACTGTGTCAAACATGGTTACAAGTCTTCAAACTTATTAATTCATTTACATTTGAATAATGGACTTGAGAGAACTAATGGTTTGACCCAGAAGAATACACCCTAATGGGGAATTTCAGGCATACTGGCACACTAATTGCAGAAATGTTTTGGGGAAAGATGGCATTCAAATGACACCTCAGATAAAGATGAATTATAAAGGCCCTTACATATAACCTTGCCCCTACATAGCAGATTTTTTACAGAAAGAATGCACTTCAATCGGACTTCCACATCACTGATGACAATTTTAAAAACCTGATATGGCTGTCTCCCCATTTATAACCCATTTCCAATAAACAACTGCAATGGCACCATGGCAGTGAAAAAACCAAAGGTTTCCCATACTACAAAGAGGTCTACTAAGCTAAGAAGTCCCAATTGTGTTTTAGTTCAAAGCAATTTCATTAAATAAGCAGAAGAATATGGAGATGTTGAATAGCAACTATCATTTACTGAGTGTCTATTACATGCCAATCATTGTGCCTGGCACTACAAACACTTTATTTTTATCCCTCCCTACAGCCCTGCAAGGTGAAATATATTTGGCCTCATTTTACAGATGAGGCAAATAGTTAAGACAGATTGATACCCTTGTCTAGGGTCACATAGTAAGTAACTGAGCTACAATTAAGCCAAGGTAGGTCTAATTCCAAAGTTAATTCTTTCCACTACACCTTGAAACTTCTCTCATGTTTTACTTACTGGTGATGCTGGAATGTGAAACACACAAACTGTATTATGACCTACTATATAATCCTACCTAATAAAAGAGTAATATGGAAATTAACCATCACTCAACTCAAGCCACACCCACCAGCTACGCCTGCCAGCCAATCAGAGTGAGTATGTAAATTAACCCCAACCAAGATGGCTGCAGCCACCGAGAGTAGTTGAGAGGCTTGGGTTTCCCTGGTAACGGAAGCCACACTTTCCAGACACCCTGGCCGACCTAGGCCTCGACTCAAGGAAACAAAGTTTCAATTATAGAAGGTAAATCCCAAGAAAAATGGCGGCAGCCACGGAGCTGGAGAGAGCAGGCTAGGGTTGTCCCTGGCAACAGAGGAAGCCAAGCTTTCCACCTGCCCAGCTGGCCTAGGCCTCCACTCAAGGCTACAAAGTTTCAATTATAGAAGATACATGAACCCCAACAGAAATGGTGGCAGCCACAGAGCGAGCAGGGGGCTTGGCTCCCATCCAGGCTACAAAGTTTCAATTGTGGGAGGTAAATGAATCCCAGATATCAGGGACTCTGCTTGGGTTGCCAGGGGGCTTGACTGGCCTGCAAACCACCACAGGCCTCTCGCCTAGGTGGCCCCACACCTCAAGGGAACCCCCACCCTGATCCGGGATACCCTGCATGGCAAACCAGCTGGCCCCCACCCGTGCACCAGGCCTCTACCCTACATAATAAAAGAGTAATACGCAGATTGACCATCACTCCAACCACAAGATGGCTGCTCTTATGTGGTCAAAGGTCCTGCCCCCATGTGGACACAAGATGGCCACCACAAGATGGACAGCAGGAGAGGGCAGTTGGGAGGCAACAGGCCTGCAAGGGAGGGCAATTGGAGACTATCAGCCCTGCAGGGGAGGGCAGTTAGGGGTGACCAGGCCGGCAGAGGAGGGAAGTTGGGGGCAAACAAGCTGGCAGGGGAGCAGTAAGACATAAATCAGGCTGGCAGGGGAGTGGTTAGAGGGTGATCACACTGGCAGGCAGAAGCGGTTAGGGGCAATCAGGAAGGCAGGCAGGCGAGCAGTTGGGAGCCAGCAGTCCTAGATTGTGAGAAGGATGTCCGACTGCCCGTGTAGGCCTGATCCCAGTCTAAACAAGCAGTTCAACATCCCTCAAGGGGTCCCAGATTGGAAAGGGTGCAGGCTAGGCTGAGGGACACCACCCCCCTTCTTCCCCCATGCATGAATTTCATGCACCAGGCCTCTAGTCTATTTATATAAAGAGGTAATATGCAAATTAGCCAAGATGCCGTAATATTACAACTTCTCAGGAGAAGGCTGTGCACACAGGTGGGCATGAGGGGACTGCATGTGCGATGAGGCAAGCCACGGATGGCGCAGGCCCATAGACAACAGGGCCTGCCAGCTGCTGTGGTGGCGAACAGGCCCTATGAGCAGGCCCACAGAGAACAACCCTGTTCTCTGCGGGCCTGCCACCCACGAGCACCGGCAGTCCCACCTCTTCACATGAGCTGCAGAGGAAACACCTTTTCTGACCGCTCATTGGTTAAGCTCCCTGTATGCCACTCTCAGTATTCTTGGTAACTTGGGTAATAATCCAAGAAGGTGATCTAGGGTTTTTCCACCTTACTTCTGGAGGAAAAAACGAAGGTTCACTGCTGGAAGGGCTAAGAAATGTCATATCCTGCCCTAGCTGGTTTGGCTCAGTGGATAGAGCCTTGGCCTGCTCACCGCAGGTCTGGGTTCGATTCTGGTCAAGGGCATGTACCTAGGTTGCAGGCTCCTCCCTGGCCGGGGCCCAGGTCAGGGCTCATGCAGGAGGCAACCAATTGAAGTGTCCCTTTCACATTGATGTTTCTCTCTGTCTTTCCCTCTCTCTTCCTAAAAATCAATGGAAACATATCTTCAGGTGAGGATAAAAAAAATAAAGAAATGTCTTATCTTATGAAACAGACATATTGAAAATGCCTAAAGAAAGTTGTCATTTTTTCATGGTGAAGGGACTGGAATCTACAATATGTTGATGAAAACATCTTGGCGGCTGCAGTGGCCAGCAGTGGCAGCAGCAGTGGGGTGATGGAGGTGGCACTTTCCCCTGATCACCCGGTCACCTCCTGCAGAGGGAGGCCAGACTGCTGCTTAGGCCCATAGCTGTCAGTAGGACATCCCCTGAGGGCTTCCAGATTGGAGAGGGTGCAGGTCAGGCTGAGGGGACACCCCCCATGATGCACAAATTTTGTGCACCAGGCCTATAGTATTTAATAAGTGTCTTGTTTGTTATTTAAGCATCTCATTTAATCCTCACAACAATTGTATGAGGCAGGCACAAATATTTACCACTATTTTACATATAAAAAAACTGAGACACAGACACACTAAGGAAGTAACTTTCTCAAGGTCATACAGTGTGTGACCCTAGTCCTGAAACCTGAAGTAGGGTCTAGCTCATAACACCTATGCTCTAGAATAGCGCTTTCCAATAGAAATATGAAGTGAACCATGCATGTAATTTTAAATTGTCTAGTAGTTGCATTAAAAAGTAAAAAGAGCCCGGTTGGTGTGGCTCAGTTGGTGGAGCATCATTCCATGAACCAAGAGGTCGCAGGTTTGATTCCCTATCAGGGCACATGCAGCAGTTGTGGGCTCATCCCCAGTAGGGGGCTTGCAGGAGGCAGACAATCCATGTATCTCTCTCATGGATGTTTCAATCTCTCTCTCCCTCTCCCTGTCTCTCTTAAAAATCAATTAAAAAAGTAAAAAGACACAGGTGAATTTAACATAGTTTACTTAACCCTATTTCAACATATTGTAAATATAAAACAATTGAGTCATTTCACTCTTTTTGGTATTTAGTCTTCAAACGCCAAATTTAGGGCACATCTCAATTCAGAGTAGTTACATTTTAAGTACTAAATGGCCACATGTGGCTAACAGCTATTGTATTGGACTGGGTAGCTCTAGATCTTGATCTAGAGCAGTGGTTCCCAACCTATTTTTGGCCATGCCCCCTCTAAGCATCTCTAAAATCCTGATGCCCACCCCCGTGACATATAATTCTTATTATTCAAAAAGGGAACTCCTACTCACATGGAGGAAGCCTAAAGGTCATTAACTTGGTCTAAACAAGCTGCCAAAGAACATGGCATCCATGAAAAATAAAAGAACGAAAGGACAGTTAAAGTACTGAGGAAGAATCACTAAGGAATTATTTAAAAATATATAAAGTGATATGAAAAATTAGCAAATAAAGTTTTAAAAAAATATAATAGAGAACTGAAATGTGTAAATATGTCACAATATATATTTCTATACTGTATATGAGGCCCCTGTAACCATAAGAAATGCAAAAAATTCACTGTTAATAACTCATTCTTAAATTTCCCCCCTTTAAAAATCAAATTGCCCCCTTTGGGATGGTGCCTCATACTGGGAACCACTGATATAGAGGCTAAAGACTCAATTGAAGAATAGGAGCTTTGGTTTTCACTGACCTGCAGATGTGTCCTCAGAAAGGTTTTCCTCTTGGTGTATTCAAAGTTGTTTCTCATCAGAAGATACAAAAGTGCAGATGCTTCATTCCTGGTTGAGCTAATCTTCGAGGTGCAGCACTTTAAAACCTCATAGCAAAATGCAGCACACATGTTTACCCTTCCTTTGAAAAAGGCCGAGGGAAACTAAAAAATAAGACATAAATAAGTATCTGAAAACCCAATCATCAAAATAAATCAACTATCAAATACCAACTATATTCTCACCTAAATCTATACTAAGTGCCTTGAAGATACATAATGAACTTAAGATTAGGGCTCTGCTCTAGAAAACATGAACTAGTTAAACACACAAAGGCCAGCATGTGTCAGTGACAAAACAACGCAAGTCAGTACACAAGTCATTACAACAATGTGAGGTGCTAACAATAAATGGTACCGATTGAGAAGAACTCATCATGATCTGGAAAAAATGATGTTTGCTCTTGATAATATGTGCTAAATTAATGAATGACTGAAATGATGAATGATTGATGAGTCTCCATCTGACCCTTAAAAATGGGAAGGGCAATCTACATTACTTACTCTTTTGATTTATATTTAAACAGTTTCTTATATTATGAACTTCCAAATGCTGAGAAAATTATACTGGGAATCTATTGAGCAAGTTGACCTTTTAACAAAATGGGGGATAGATGAAGTGTAGATACACAAACATATATGTGTCCTTTACTAATAAACTGTGTTAATTAAGATAAATTTTTGAGCCTGGCCAGTGTTGCTCAGTGGCTGAGTGTCAACCCATGAACCAAGAGGTCCCCAGTCAGGCACATGCCAGGGTTGCAGGCTCGATTGCCAGTAGGGAGTGTGCAGGAGGCGGCTAATCGGTGATTCTCATTGATGTTTCTATCTCTCTAACCCTCCCCCCCTCTCTCAAATCAATAAAAATAACATTAGATATATTTTGCATAGGGAAATTAGTCAACATTATCATAACAACTTTGGTGACGGATGGTTAAGAGGCTTACTGTGGTGATCACATCTAAGGAATGTGTAAATCACTATGCTGTATACCTGAAAATAATATAATATAGTATGTCAACTATACTTTAAAAGATATATATTGGCATAGAGAGTACAAAAGTGGCTGTTACTTTGAGAATGCATTCAGTCTGCTTTGTAGAAGATAAAACATTCATATAACATAAGCTTGTTATAATCTCTCATGCTTACATGTCTAGGCAAGCAAGGAGTAAACTGCTGCAGGGCACACAATGGATGCTTTTCAGGGAATGTGAAACTAGAGGGCCAACCTTTTCAAAATAACTTCGTGGGAATCTTGAATATAAAACCATGTTGTATAATTCAACCTTCTTTTAATCACATTAAGAGCAAGTGCAATACTATGTATCAATAGATACGAATGTTTAATAAATGTTTTCTGATTGGCTGCCTGGAAATCTCACCAACAGGTTCACCAGATGAAAACAAACCTTGATGGACAAGATATTCTAGTATGGAAATGAAAATAAAGGAGTATGAGAGGACATAGCTGTAATGTAGTTAATTCATTATATTAAATCTTCTACTCACATTACTTCTCTGAGTGGGCAATGGCCAAAATCATCAATGGTGACTTCCTAACTGGCCCAGTCACCCCTAATTGCCTTCCCCTACTGGCCTGGTCACCCTTCACTGTCCTCCCTTGCCAGCTTTGTCACCCCTAACTGCCCTCCCCTGCAGGCCTGGTCACCCACAGCTGCCCTCCCCTGCTGGCCATCTTGTGACCACATTGGGGTGGCCATGTTGTGTGAGGGTGTGATGGTCAATTTGCATATTACCTCTTTATTATATAGGATTGTATCTCCAGTATCTATTACAGTGCTGGGCAGATAGAAGGTATTCCATAAATAAAGTATGGATGAATATATGGATGATGACTTTTCAAGTTTACTAGTAGTTAACTCAGATCTCTCTCCAGAGCAAAGATCTATATATCCAATTGTCAATCCTATCAGCTCTAACTGCATATCCTTGAGGCACCCTAAACTCAACAGACCCACAAAACAGAACTCATTATCTTTTATCCCCAAAACTGGTCTTTTCTCTACATTTTATATTAGCCACCATGACCCACTAAAGAATCACTAAATTGATGACCAAATCCTATAAATTCTATATCCTTACCATGTCTAATATTTGCCTTTGACTCTCCATTTCCACTGCCACTGCCTTACTTTAAGCCCTTATTTTTTATATTTTAATTTTTAAAAATATATTTTATTGATTTTTTACAGAGAGAAAGAGAGAGGGTGTGCACGCATTGACACAATACTGGACCATATCCCCAACACAGTGTCTAACACCAATAACAACCTATCCAGTAATTGTTAAATAACCTATTTTTTAAATCTCTTTCCCCTAGTTTCTTATAAGATGCTTATAGTGAACTGAGTTTTCCATTTATTTATTTATTCACAAATTGTATTAAAGAATAATTTAAAAAAACCTTCAAATCCACCTAACCTCTATATCAATTAAATGCAATAAGTAATGATGACAAAAAAGTTTTCCATGCTTAGTTATCCTATTATACAAATCAATTAATTGAATTTCATTATCTTGTTAAAGTTACACATACCAGAGAGGAAGGCCTGAACCGGGCCTTTCCATAATTTTTAACTCCATCTTGGTTTATGATGTTTTTTTTTTTTTTTTATTACATTTAAAAGCTATCAGAAGCAGACCAGAAATAAATCTTTGCTAACAGTTTCAGTCATATTTACTAAAAGTCTAGCCTGAGGTTTTTTTTAAATGAGGTAAAGCCTGAAATTTTACAGCCCACAGATACAATTAGCATTGAAAGGGAGGGCTCATTCATTTGACCCTATACTGAGTGTCTCTCACTGCTTCCCCACTCCCTTCTACCCTCTCTAAGAAAGTCAATGGGAAAAATATCTTCAGGTAAAATTTAAAAAAAAAGATAATATCCTGTTAATTTAAAAATGCTTTTAACCAAGATTTTCTTATAATTACATTAACAGGCTATTTTTTTTGTTATTAATTCACTGTTGTTGTTTTTTGTTAATCCTCACTAGAGGATAGTTTTTCCACTGACTTTTAGAGAGAGTGGAATAGGGGGAGAGAGAGAGAGAGTGGGGGGGGGGGAGAAAGAGAGAGAAACATACATGTGAGAGAGACACATCAATTGGTTGCCTCCCAAACACACCCAGACCAGGCCAGGGATAAATATGGCAACCCAGGTACGTGCCCTTGACTGGGAATCAAACTTGCAACCCTTCAGCCTGAGGGCCGATGCTCTAACTATTGAGCAATCCACCCTTATTTTTAACAAATTTTAGTGGAATAGGAAATACATTGGGGAAAAAAAAACTAGTAATTTTACCGACATAAATAAATATATTTACAACTATAGTCTGAGTATTTAAATCCAGGAGTCACACTGCTCGTAATCAATGTTCAGTGAATAATCAGCATGTGATCACACCACATAACACATGGTAATTGGTTCTGTTGTAAAATGGCATGGCTTTCTGCAGCAGTTTTGTAGGCAGATGTTCCCACTTTCGCTAAGTCATGCCTATGCATTTGTTTACTCAAGGTGTCTGGTGAATGCATGAATTTACTAGGCCTATCCAGTATAAATTTAAAATTACAGTAATACATATAGAAAGCTTTTCTGTGAAATTAAAACTTTTCATATATACTTAATTTTAATTACACAGACATGTCTATTTAAGTAAAAACGGGTAAACTAATTTGTCAAATTTTTAACATATGCATTTAGAAAACCTACTTGATTACATAACAGACTTTCAGCTTAACAGAAACCCCCTCGCCTGAATTAGTCTGTTATATGGAGGTTTTACTGTACTGACTTAATGGGTTCAGTGTCTGAGGTTTGTAGATGTCATAACAATAATCCTTTTTTTCTTGCCATGAAGCAAGCCCACTAGCAGCTATAAATTTGTCCTTACCTTACTGATGAAAGCTCTCAATGAAGCAAATACATGTTTCAGCGATACCTCAGATTGTCCATTTTTAAGAAAAGCAAGATGAATATCAAATACTTTTTTCATTAATGGGTTGTGGCCATCATTATTTAAAAGTTGACTCTAAAAAACATGAAAATAAATATATTTTGCAGAAAGTTTATGCTACCCCTTCTTAGAGTGAAAGATCTGACTTACCCAATACCTGTTTATCAATCCATGTCTGAAAATTCCAGAAAAACAAAATGTTTAAAACATCTGTGTCATCTTTCAACTTGGAAATCTCAAAATACTACATCAACTTCATCTATACTTGCTTCCATCATTTTATGCATAAGATGAAAAAAAATATTTTTCCAATGTAACACACCAAATACAGAACTAGTATGGAAAGAGTAATTTATATTAACCTAGCCAAATTTAAAATAAATGGATACAAGTGTATTTTTCTGAGGTAGACTAAATAATGTAAGAATTAAGGAAAATATTAATCATATTTTAAAAGTATATTATCTAATTTAAAGTAGGTTTACTATAAGATATGTTTAGTCATTGGTGAAAAATTAAACCCTCTATAAGTAGAGGTCATAACAGTATTACAATTGAATAGACCATATAAATTGTTTAAATGTTCCTTGTAAAGAGACATAAATGAAACGATAAATTGTAGAGAGATATCTATTGGTTTATGAACCTTTAAAAAACAAAAAAGCATTGGTTAACTTCTCCAGCCCTATTCTCTATCCCAGTGGTTGGCAAACTCATTAGTTAACAGAGCCAAATATCAACAGTACAACAATTGAAATTTCTTTTGAGAGCCAAATTTTTTAACCTTGAACTTCTTCTAATGCCACTTCGTTAAAATAGACTCACTCAGGGCATGGTATTTTGTGGAAGAGCCACACTCAAGGGGCCAAAGAGCCACATGTGGCTCACAAGCCACACTTTGTCGACCACGGTCCTATCCCTCAAAAAACTAGCAGGTTACAACCTGGCCAAAAACAACAACAAAAATCCACAAAATAATATTCATAGTTTTGACAAATCTAATGGTAACATCAACAGCCAGAATCCATTAACGGTGTTAGATTTTTCTGGCTCTTTCCTTAGTCTATTTCGAAGCATGATATATGGTTAGGAGTATAGATCCTTTGATAATTGGCCTAGATCTGAATCTTGAGTCTGCCACTGACCAGCTATATGACATTAAACTCCCTGTGAGCCTCAGTCTGCTCATTTTTAAATGGGAATAATAGTATCTATGTCATAAAGCTATATGAAGACTAAAAGTTAGTTCATATTTGTATTTTTTAGTTTATTAGAGTATAATTTATATACCATAAAATTTATTTTTTAAGTGTATGGTTCAATTATTTTTAGTAAATGTACAGAGTTGTACAACCATCATAATCCAATTTTAGAGCATTTCCATCAACCCAAAAACATCCCTGGTGTCCATTTGTAGTCACTCCCATTTCTCCCAGCCCCACTATAAAAAACTGATTTAATATTCATAAAGCACTTAGGGTAGTACCTGAAATCTACCAAGAGGTATGTTTATTAATAAATGAGATGCAACTGAATAGGAGGAAGAAATACAATGCAAGCCTTGAGGCCAGATATTCTGTTATTGGCACAATTAATTTGGTTTGCATTTTAATGAGAACTTAATATTTCATAAAGGGATACTGTAGCCTATTTCTTATTAGTATCTAATTCGGTTTTCCTTCATGAGCCTCTTGAAAAGTACAGAAGGGGGAGAAAAGAAAAAAAATTATCTATATAACTCAGGTGAAAGTAAGCACAATTTTTCACTTTTGAGTTCTCCCACTGATATTACATTACAGCTATGTATTTTTTATTTTTCAAACACATCTACTAGCCCAGTTTACTCTTTTAATAACCCTGAAAGTTCATTGCTTTTGCCTTATTCTTTTTAATGATAGCAATAATGATTTGTACTGAGGCAAACATCTGAGAAAAAAACACTAAGCGCCTGACTAGGGAAGCCAGCCAGGCTGCCTGGACATCATCTAACCTAAAAAGACACCTAATCACAACAGGCATTTGAGAAAACCAATTCAATCATGATTTGGGCTAAAAGTTACTGGATATTTTAATAAAAGTATGAAAGAGATCTATTTTTAACCAGAAAAATAAAACAATTGGGCATGGCAGGTGAGTCTTGGTGAATTCCCAAGGTCACACAGTAGCCAAACTCAGACTATCATCCAAGTTTCTTGAGTGCTCACTGAGGCTTTTATTCCTATGACTGGTTACGTTTTGTTATAATGTTTTCTTTGCAATGATGCCATCTGAATTTTAAGTCTTCATTTTTACCTTGAAACACTGGGTAAAAAATGATATGGTATCTAACACGGTTAAAGAAACTTCAGTAGCAGTATTGCCTTCTAGAAGTGCCTGATGGAAAATGTCTGCTTCAGTTGTTGTAGAACCTAAGATTAAACAAAAAATAAATTAAAACTGTTGAACACAGAGATTAACATAATAGCTTTGAATTACTCCCCCCCCCCAAAAAAAAAAAAAAACACCTCAAAGACAAGCAAGAAGAGAGGAGGCTCTGGATACTTGCAGACCTAATGAATTTCACTGTTTGTTGCTAAATCAATTATAGTCTTGATTAATCAAGTCTACCAATTTTTACTTAGAGCTGTGTATCAACAGCTCTGCACACATAATTAGGTGCCCACTCCTTTGGAGACAAGATTTTAGTGATGCACTATGGCAAAGTAACTAGGAAATAATGTGGGAGGCATTTTAGGCCATACAGGCTGTAGGTTGAATTTTTTAAAATATCTTGAGTCTGTCTCCTTAGAGCACATCTGCTCAAGACATTCGTTTTTATTATTAGTCTTTATCACAGGCCACTTTTGCTGGCTTCCTTCTCTGCATCCTCCAGAGGACTGTATGGAAATGTAAGTTTTTCTCTTTTTATTAATATTTGCATTTCAGGGCGATAGCTTCCAATTATATAACCCTCTAGCTTTCCCAGATGGGCAAGATTTCTCTCCTTGCCCTACTTGCCTTATCAATACTTCAACCTTTGTGAACACTTTTGTTAAAAAGTATTTACAGTTCTTTAATCTCTTCATTCAGCACAGCATGTGTAATCCCTTAAAATCATTGAACAATAACTCTAAATAAATATTGCATACACTATTATTTTATACTATTATGCTAATATTTGCATTAAAGTTTAACAGTAGAGCCCTGACCAGTGTGACTCAGTTGGTTGGGCGTCATGCTTTGCATCAGGAGGTTGCTGGTTTGATTCACAGTGAAGGGCACATGCCTGAATTGTGGGCTCAATCCCCAGTAGGGGCCATGCAGGAAGTGGCTGATCAATGTGCACTCTCACATGGATGTTTTTGTCTCTCTCCCTTCCTCTCTCTCTAAAAATCAATAAACTATTTTTTTAAAAAGGTTTAACAGTAGTAATGAAGGATATCCAATGTAAATAAAAACAATTCAGTGAGAAAAATTGATTTAATAATGAATTAAGAAAAACCATACCATTACCTAAAATTGCTGAAAAATCCATGCATATTTTATTATAGACATATATTATGAAATGATGATATACAAATACACAGATATGCAAATAGATTTTGTCTGTGAAATAATTTTCAATCATATTGGTTATTTAAACCAGAACTTCTTTAAAGTAAAATAGTATTACATATCTGTTTCAAATGGGGACCCCACACACATTTTCACTTACTGTGATTAAGTGTAAATGAACTTTCCAGGCTACTGAGATGCTGAAGCCGGGCCTGCATTACTCCTGATCTGTTTCGAAGAGCTGGCATGGTTTGAGATTTTCGGTCTACTCCAAAGTGTTTTGACAGCCAGGCATCCTGTATCCTAAAATAAAATTTAAAGTTAGGAATTGGAGTAGTCTTAATACTATATCTCAATGTTAGATTTTTTTTTGCCTAAAATATGATTAGGTTTCCACATAAATACAATACTATGATCAATATTCTCCTATTAGTTGGCTTAAATGAGACATCACTGGAAATTGTATGAAGTTTTAATATATATTTAAAAGAGCTGATACTATAAGAATATAATTAAGGAATTTAGAGAGTTACTTACTTCCCTCTTTCTCATCAAAAAACATCAGCATAAAGTGGACAACACTCTAATAAGATTCAGTCTTTTCTCAGGAGATGAGGAAGGGCAAGAGCAAAGTTAGTAGGAGGGCTGTTCAAAAGATATGTGGGAAGGGATTCCTGAATGTTGAAGAATGAGTGTCAATCAAATGTTTCTAAACTTGAGTTAACTTGGACCAGAAATTTTTACTCTTTAAACATGTCTATTGCAAGAATTTGTAATTTTTTGTTTAATATTAAGGTTCTATTAAAAATTACAACTGGTTCATAGAGGAACAAAAGGACAAAAATAGTTTGTCTAGGAAACATGTCTAGAAAAATAGTCTAGGAAACAGAATGTTAGCTGTTAAGGCTCATGGTGGTAGTAACCATGCCAGTTTCAAATTATGGGAAAAGACAATGGAAAATATCACCTGAATTACCCATTATTGGAATGTTCCAGAGACTCGGCAATTATAAACCCTATCCAAACAGCCTCTTCAGTTTTTGGAAGTGCAATGGAATTCAACATTTAAAAAATGAACTCTATTTGTGTTGCTTTAATGACTACAAGCTCTACCCCTATAATTTATCTCATTGAAACAAGCAAGTAATAGTTTCCTTAGGGTCCCTGAAACATGTTTAAATTATTTATTTCACTAAGATTTAAACAGCAAAAAGAAAAAATGCTCATTTATAATGTTATCCCAATCACTGTTTAGAATTTCTGTTTACCTTAGCAACTGAGGTGAGTACTGATAGGTTGTAGATAAAAATACAAACCTTACAACTGTCCTCAGTTTATGATTTCTGCCTTCTCTTGGGTCTAGCCCTTCCTCACACATCCTTTAGAAAAGACAGCATCTGTTTCAGGATTGGGACAGAAACCCTGCATATAGGGCTAACCATTTTCCTTTGAAAAACTTAAATGTATCAGCTAACATTAGTTTAATTTAAAGTTTGAGTTGATATATACATAAATCATGGGTTGTCCTTTTTAAAATTTGTATTGAATTTACTGGGGTAACATTGGTTAATAAAATTTATATAAGTTAGATTTCAATTCTGATTTTTATTGTAGTTTTCTTAAATAATATTAAAATAGCTCAGCATACCATACAGGGTGGTGCAAAAGTAGGTTTACAGTTGTTAGTATGGAAAATAATACAATAATTAATAAAAATTATATGAGAATTCAAAATGAATAATGTACTTTTTACATGGCATGATCAAGACTGCCCTCTGTTGGAAAAAAAACAAAAAAGTGAAAATTGCCATGCTATGGGAATTACCTTGCTATGTTTCTTTTTCCCATGTATCTAAAGTGAAACAAACATACTCTAGAAAGAAAAACAGTAGCATGTTAGTAAAGTACTATCATTCTCTGCAATTTAACAAGTAATATTTGAAATGTCATGTGCCACAAAGAATGATTACTTAACTCATATTGTAATGTATGTTTTGATAGAAATATACACATAACTAATTGGGGGCTTGCCATATTATATTTCTCCACATTAATTTGCTAAAATTACATTGGTATCAAAAAGGTCCATGTCTTCATGTATAATTTTAACAACCCAAAAAAACCTATCAATGTTAATCATCCTTCATGTTCTATAATATATCATAGAAAAAAATCTCTAGTATAGTTATAAATACCTAAAAAAAAAAGTTTCATAAGCCCTAAAAGTTGGAGTAATTGCTATGCTTTTTTATAATGACATTAAAATACTTTTTATTACTAAAAATCTCTAACACATACAGAATTAGGGAGGATAGCATACCAATCTCCTACATACCCAGCACCCACCAGCTTCAACAATAATAAATTCATAACCATTTTTATTTAATGTCTACCCTGAACAGGTTCTCTGCTCTCCCTCCATCTTCCTTACCTACCTACTTCCTATAGTTTTTGACCCAACATCATATATTTTCATTAGCAAACATATCACTATAATTAGAGTAGTTTATTTTCTTTTTAATCTTAAGTGCTGTTCTGATTGCTGCTATTTTTTTGAAAATTTTTGAAATACTTTAATAAATATTTATGAATTATCCTCTTTGTGGTTTGATAGACATGCACATATAATATATATCTGTACTATTTATTTAAGTTTGCTAGATTTCATTCTAATTTTTATTATAGTTTTCTTAAATAATATTAAAATAGCTCAGCATACCATACAGGATGGGGCAAAAGTAGGTTTACAGTTGTTAGTATGGAAAATAATACAATAATTAATAAGTAATGGTATAAGAATAAACTGTTTCAAGTAATCACAACTGTAACTATTTTTACCATACCCTGTATACAACTTTCCACTTCTATCTAGAAAAGACTAGATTTTCCCAAGTGCCTTGGAATGGAGATATCTTTATATATATTAATCTATCAATCCATCATCTATCTATATATCTGTACATTTCTGAAGTGGATGAAATTACTCAGCTCTACTTTATAGTACAAATTATAAATTCTAATAAGTTAAGCTGCTCTATTAAGCCAGCATCTGCTCCAAATGATTTAGGACAGTTGATGCCACTTCTAGTTTTCCAGAACACAAAAAGACTCCTGCCAGGCCATAAAAATGGTCTATTATTGGCTACACTTTTCTATATCACAATTATCACCATGTTTTTTCTCTATATGTGAAGAACCTGAATGTCAGCATTTATATTATCAAAATTTTCTACATTATTAGCAAATAAGATGTTGAAACCAAGAAAAATGGTTAACGTTTTATTATGTATAAAAATTAAGCTTCCCAAATAAGGGGATATACATGAAAATGTCAACTTACTCTAAAAGTATGAGAATGTTTATGAGCTCCTGAGGAGATACTTTATTCCAGTAAGTTAAGAGAGTATCTGAAAATGAAATATATAAAGCGTTAGATCTTGAAATAGAGCAAATAGCGTTGTGAATCTCAAAGTACCAATAATTTAGCTTAAACAACTATCAACTCATGGTCAGTTCTGCACAAAACACACACTGTATTCTTTTGAATTAATTCCAAATATGTATTTTAATCTGTAATTATTTTAATTTCAACATTTTTATTTTATAAATCTGCTTTTGGATAGCTTATCCCAATCTTCATATCATCCCTGAAAACAAAGGAAGGAAGCAGACCTGGGGTTTTTAATGAACATCCTAAAATTTTATACAAGATGGTGCATTTATGTGCGTTTTGCTGAATGGTGGGGTTGTCCAGTACCTTTGTGTGCTCTTCAAAGGGTTCTCTGAAGCAACAAGCCTAACAAATGTAAACTTTGGAGGGAGGTAATTTTTTCTCTTCTTTGCCATTGGGTTATAAACTGTGAAGTTCTGTCAATACACACAAACGTAGTATTTCAGATAGAAAAGTCCCTGAAATTAGGCGACCAGACGTCCCTAGTTTTAACAATTTGTCCCACATCCCACGGCATTTTAAAACAGTCCAAAAGATTTTTTTCCCAAAAGTCGAGACTTTTTTAAAATGCCGCGGGACACGGGACAAATTGTTAAAAATTGGGACTGTCCCGCCAAAAGCGGGACACCTTACCTTAAATCTATTACATGTACTTATCCTTTTTGCCTATTTCTCTTCCAACACACCTACTTATGGGTATTATTTTTAATAAAATAAAACTGCCGCCACTTAACTGTCTAAGCCTTTCTCATCCTACTCAGATATGTCAGCAGATGCTCTTCTAAAAGGTAACCATCTTGTAGGTATCGCGATAGTTGGCAAAGATCGAATTGCAAACCCCTCGTGAGCCTCCAGCAGACAGCAATGTAGGGCCAGGCAATGTTGGCCATACGGTGGGGGAGGACTCTAGGGGTTTTTACTTGACTTACAATTTTTTAAAGACCAGGAGTATTGACAGTTTCTAATGATTATAAAATACTGCTCGTTAAAAATAATAATGCTCGAATTGAGTCCAATTAGATTTGTGGTGCCTTTTAAAATTAAGCTATAAGTGACTTCCGGTTACCGCAACCCCCCTGCCTTTGGATGTGTTTGAGCTGGGCTCCCAGAAGTCATCGGGTTTCCGGTTTTCAGCCTCTTCAAAACCAGTTGACTGAGGCGCCATCTTCCCTTTGTTGCGGCGCCATTTTCAGCTGCTGCACACTGGCTTTTCCTGTCGAAAAGCTGTTGGGACTTTCCACCCCTGAGCTACCCAGCCTCCACACCATATCCTGAGGCAGCGTGGATTAAGGTCTGTAAAAACGGTGAAGGGCTTATCCCTGCTGTGGCCTGTCGGAAACTCTTAAACCATCTTCTAGTCAGCGGTGGCAGCGTCAAGCCGCCGGCCAGTCTCAGCCGTTTCCAAATCCCAAATCGGTGAGACATAATGCAGGCAGGGAAATATGGTGGAGAAGACAAGAGAGATGATAGGGCCCTTTCAGATTCTGATAAATTAGACTTAAGTATGTGTGACGTGTCAAATGACGAGTTTAAAAAAGCCTGGCTAGTACTAAAAGAGCTCCATGACAGAGAGCTACACCGTTTACAGACCAAATTAACCAATTTGAGGAAAGAGAAATTGGGAAATGGAAGGTGGACAGGCTCCATAGCGAGAATTAAAGAGTTAACTGAGCAACAAAAAGTCCTCAATGGGACCATTCAGACTTTGCGAGAACAGTTGCGCTCAAAAACCTGTGACCGCTGTTCAGTTAATGAAACATACAAGAGTACACTACAGCAAGAATTTTATGATATCCAACAACGAAACCTTAAGTTTATTGCCGAGATCACTGCAGAAAGGAATAAACTAAGAGAAGAAAATAAAATGCTTTCTGAAAAACTTAAAGTGACTCGGCAAAAGCTTTGTTGTTCTGAGAGTAGTGAAGACTTCCTTCTTAGTGCTCAAAAGGCTGTGAACGTTTTTACAGTCAGGGATCCTACAGATGATAATCAGATGCTTATGCCTATGAAATTCAAAGAGCAGCCAAATACTGCACAGATTAAATCTAAAGGGAAAAGGGAAAGGCAACAGAGTCAAGAGTTAACAGTTCTACCTCAGAGTCCAGACCTCTTTGACATGGCAGAGACATCTTATGATAAGGCAGCTTCTAATACCAGTAAGTCTACCACCGAATCCACCCAGAAGACACCTACACTATTCCCCTTGATATATACACAGAGTACTCAAAGGGACAATGAATTGCAAGTTATCTCAAACCTTCCTGAAGAGAAGCCTGGCCAGGCAAAAAAGTCAGAGCTATTTACACACAAGAATTCCACACAGAGGACCCCTACTCAGATGGACTTCACCTGGGCCTTTTCCAATATGGGTACAGAACAAAACCCAGTAATTGAAGCAGTATCTGAAACTTCAGAGGAAAACGTGCCTGAAAATAGACTCACAATACAGTCTTATTCAGAGAGAAGGCAAGCACTCTCTAAAAACATATTTCCTCTTGACTATACTTCAAGTAGGAAAAGATCATCGATTGGTATTCCTCGTTACAACATTGGGTATTCAGAGAGACCTAGCAGTTACCAGAGATCTTGCATGACCGTGAAAAAGAATAATGAATCTACTGTGGCAACAGGGTATGGTGCTGACAAGCCTCAGTGTGATGACCAGAGTTCCACTGTGGGGTCTAGGATAAAGAGAAAAGCCAAGGTGCACACTGAAAGAAGAAAGTAAATCTCCCTCATCCTGCTTTTCTTTCACAAGAGGACAAACTATTAACTAACTGATAACCCCTGACCCTGACTCCATTTCTAAGGACATAATAAACCAGGCAATAAGACTTAAAACAATTTGGAAAATGTCTTAGACTTTGAAACATTTATTTGTTACCAGTCAATAAACTATAGCTCCCTTTACTTTCATATACAATAATCTTTTTGATGAAATTTAGTTGCTACTGTTTATGAACTAATAAAAAAGAAAACCAAGAGAAGACCTGAAAGGAATTCTTTTTGTTGTTGTTGAAATTAAGTTGCTACTGTTTATGAACCAATATAAAAGAAAGCCAAGAGAAAACCTGAAGTGAGTTCAACATTTAAACACATACAGAGTGACTAAAAATATTTACCGGATGAGACAACTAGACTACTTCTATTGACAAGGACCTACAAGCTGATATTTTTCAGAATACAATGAATGTGACTTTATAGATATAGCATGACTTTACATGTATAAAAGCTAAAAAGGAGATGTGACAATGACTATGCACTACTTATTAAAAATCAAAAAGCAAAAGCTGAAGAAAGAACAATCTAATGAAGATCAAATGTTTAACAAGTAAGATAAACATTTACAAGATAAGAAGGACTTATGAAGTTCTCAAGAAACAAAGCAGTTATGGTTTTCCCCATGACATTAAAAAAGCAGCCAGAAGTTTGTCACTGGTATCACAGTATATGGTGTGTGTGTGTGTGTGTGTGTGTGTGCATGCGTGTATCAAGCACGATGCCACAGTACATGGTGTGTATGTGTGTGTGCATGCACGAACCATGTGCATATTCCACAGTATATGGAGGGTGTGTGTGTGAGTGTGTGTGTGCATGCGTGTATCAAGCACGATGCCACAGTACATGGTGTGTATGTGTGTGTGCATGCACGAACCATGTGCATATTCCACAGTATATGGAGGGTGTGTGTGTGTGTACGCGTGCGCCTGTGTGTATCAAGCATGATGCCACAGTACATGGTGTGTATGTGTGCATGCATTCACATGTCATGTGTGCATGCCACAGTATATGGAGGGTGTGTGTGAGGGTGTATGTATGCGTGAGCATGTGTATGCATCATGTGCATATGCACAAGTATTGGGGTGGAAGAAAGGAGAGCTAGTTAGCAATGCATCTCCCACCTTCTTTCTTCAGTCTGCCACCCCCAACCCAATTTTACTTTCCTTGAGCTGTGATGGTGGTGAATTTTTTCAGGTATGGTTTTTATTTTCATGTGTCTGTTGGGTCTTTTTTTTTTTTTTTTTTTTTTGTAAACAAATTTATTGAGAAAGTAAATTTGCCTTAAAACTCACCCATTTAAACAGTACACAGTATAACAGTTCATAGTATATTTGAAGAGTTGTAAAATCACCACAGTTTTAGAATATCTTCATCACCCTTTGAAAAAACCCTGTACACATTAGCAGTTACTATCTACTCTTCCCTACTTTTCACCTTGTGGGAAAACAAAAACAGTGAGTTGTAGTTGTCAACTGATCCATCATCTACTAAAACAAAAACTACCAGGTTGAAAATGCTCTCTATTTGTTTTACAAAACATGGAGGCCCATTATATAGCCTCAATATATTCTTTTTTTTTTTTTATAAAGTACTATGTAAGCCTAAACATACTTTTATTTAAAAAATATTCTTTTTTTTGTAACAGTTTTCTTTTTTAAGTGTTAACAGTATTGCAGATGCCCCCCATTTCCCCCACTTTGTCCCCCTCCACCAAACCCCTGGCCCACCCAAAACCCTCCCCCAACTATTGTCTGTGTCCATGGGCTATGCATATATGCATATGTTTTCTTTGACTTTTACTTTAAGTTCTTTAAAGATGCTATTTATTTTATATGTTTACAGTTTTATTAATATGCCTTAGAATTTATTATTGATTTGTATTAATATCTCTCTAGCTATCAACTTATTTTGTTTTTATTACTATTTATCCTGCATTGTTAAAAATAGATTTAAAGCAAGTTATATATATATATATAATAGAATTTAAGTAAGAGATAATGACTATGGTAATCAGAACCCAGGTGCTTTTAAGTTCTTCATTCCTGCATTTTTTTTTTTGAGCAAAAATATTCAGAAAAGAAAGAAAACTGTATGAATAAATGTTGCATTTGGAAATAAGATAACCTGATTTTACTTCCAGGTCCAGAAGACATAAAGTTTATGAAAATCCTTTGGTTATATTCTACCATATAATATAGGAAGGAAATGATAATACTATTATATAATTATATAGCAAGGAGAAAAAAAAAGTGTGAAAAAGAATCTGGAAACATACAAAACCATACAATTGTACTATGTAACAATGGTATTCCTTACCCTCAAAGAATCCTTCCTATTTTTTTGTTTGCTTTTTGTTTTCCAAATCCTGGGTCAAATAAAAGTTAAAGTATTAAATATGACTTCTAGTTAATGTTATATTTTCCTGTTTACATTGGTGATTTAATGCATTATTTGATCTGTATGAAAAAAATGTTCAGCACTTCTAAAACTATTGCCTCATTTTAGAAATTAAATTTTAAAATAAAAAAATATTTCAAAGAATCAAATGTATATGACTAAAATGAACCTATTTTAAGTTAAAATACAGGAACATTTAAAAGGTCAGAGTCTTTAAAAATCTGTTTCTAATAAGCATGTGCTTATTACAAAACTGAGCCTGTGAGGGTAAATGTAGAGTTCAGGTTTAATATGCTGGTAACTCACCTTCAGAAATCATTTTTACGATATACAGATAGCACATCAAGAGGCTTCTGATTTCATATTGATCCAATCGGTTATACTGGGATGATACACTGCTCCTCGTAGAACTCTGCCGGGTCTATGATATAAATACAGCAATTTTGTGAACAATATTGATACTATAGTTTCCTATATCCTTTAATTAAAAAGAAACATTTTTATCATTTGTCCTATTTGGGAAAATTCTAAGCATAAATGCAAATTTTAAAAATATATATTTTTTATTGATTTTTGAGAAAGAGAGAAAGGGAGAAGGAGAGAGATAGAAACATCAATGAGAGAAACATCCATAGCTGCGTCCTTCAATCCCCTACTAGGGATCAAGCCTGCAACCCGGAATGTGCTCTGACTGGGAATCAAAGCAGCGACCTCTTGGTGCATGGGATGACATCCAAGCAACTGAGCAACAGTGGCCAGGCCATACATCCAATTTATATCACACTTGCAAGGTAAATGGGCTGACTCTATTGCCATTGCAACTACAATAGTAATATCCTGCAAATTACCTTGGGATTTTCACCAAGAAATAGCCATGAATACTGTGAATGTTTTATTCCCAAAGGTCCCGTGTTTTAGTAGTAAACATTTTAAATAATTGTAGATGGCTATTCCCAGAAAAACAGCTTTTACATCAAGGAGGAACTTACCTAAGGTACATGAAAGTATAAGAAACATTTTACACTTTTTAATTTAAATCTCTCCTTGGAGTTGATTAAAATCCAAACTGCAAATTATAGGTCAGAAAAAATCTATCTTTAAAAAGGCTAATAATATTATAGATAATTAACTAAGGAGGATCCATCAATACTTCAAAACAAGAGCTTCTACAAAGAAATGATGTTCCTATTACTTCTTTTGTTGAAGTATCAGTTGTTAAGCATGACAAGATCTGACCTTTTTGAGGATTTATATGAATAAATAATCTAAAAAATTTACCCTTGCTAAAAATCAATACTTTCAATTGAGCTAAACTGTGCTGGGGATATATAAATATTTAATAAAGTAAGATTTACTAAGAAAGAACTTTCACTTGGAGTAAAACATCTAGGTTCTGAATGATTGATAGCTGTATGACCACTAGCAAATCATTTATCCTCTTTGTCCTTTATTTGTCTTACCTATGATAGTGTCTGTTGTCATATTTCTAAATGGTGTGAAATAGAAACCTTTGTACATAAATTACTATTTATCCAAAGTCTCCAGGAAGTATAGTCCAGTAGTTCTCAAGGGGTGGTTCCCAACCAGCAGCATCAGCATCACTTGGGAACTTAGCAGGCCCCACCCCAAACCAACTAAATGAGAAACTCTGGGGCTGAGGCCCAGCCATCTATTTTATTAAGCACCCCAGGGGATTCTGATGCACACTAAGAGTGCTGGAATTAGAAAATCTGGTTCCGGGTCTGGCCCTGCCAGAATTGTGTGACTGTCCTAAATCACAATCTCAGTTTTCATTTGTAAACTGAAAGTTGAAATTTATTATTTTCATGGACCTTTCTGTTTTTAAAAAAGATTTTACATAGCAACATGACAAGATTTTACTGATCTAAAATGAAGTTTCTCTAACTCAAGGCCAACATCTCATAAACTTTAATATTAGGTTTGAAAAATGATTTGGAAGAGTTGGAGAATATATTCTAATACTAGATACTGAGATCCTTAATTTGGAGACCCAATTTTCTCTCCCAAATTGGTACAATTATTCTATTATAAAAGAATGAAAGGGGGAGAGATCAACCAAAGGATTTGTGTGCATGCATATAAGCATAACCAATGGACACAGACACGGGGGGGGGGGGAAGGTGGGATAAGGACACATATGTAATACCTTAATCAATAAAGGAAAAAAAAAGAAAGGCTGAATTAATCCTGCTAGGAAGTGATTTGTTTTAACTGACAAGGTAGCAGCTGCCAGGATAGGAAGCAAGTGCTAAAATATCCAAAAATTATGGGATTTTTTTTTTACAAATCCAGGATAGACTACAGGAAAGTAGAAAGCCTATTATTTACACAAAAAGAAAGATTGTTGTAGCCTAAGGTATCATTAGGGTTATCTTATATTTAGGTTCTTACATTTTCGCCAGTGTTGCCCTGATCTGGAAATCCTGTTGCTCCTTCTGGGATGAGGGAACCTCTTGAGTCTTCTCTTTTAAGTCCATGTCCATTTTGAAAAGACCCATAAGCTAGAAAATAAAATCCAAGTCCTTGTTAGCAAAAGGAGGAACTGCCAAAATATAGTATAAGTTAAGCACTGGGTTAATTTTACTAAAATTAACCCAGTGCTTAACTTATACTATATTTTATGGATTAGGTCTTCGTCATCTAAAATTGTGAAGTTTATATATTATATCAAAACACATAAGAAGCCAAATAATGGGTTAGCTTTTTTATTTCTTGAAACACTTTACTATGTATAAAATTACAAGAAATTCCTTGAAAATAATCAAAGAAAACCACACAATTTGAGAGGTAATTTTATAGATATGGAAATTTGGGCCCAGAAAAGGGAGGTGTCTTGTTCAAGACTAAAGACAGATAAGCGGACTGGAGGCCAGTGTTTTTCTCATTATCCTCTAATTTCTTAGTATACTAAGATATGTTTTTAATAAGCTTAGACAGGGAAACCTAAGCAAAGAAATGTATCTGCAAGTGGAAGTCAGATTTTAATTAAACTTTAGTAGAGATCATGCTATGTATAGTTTTTATTATAAAACTAGTAGCCCTGCACACGAATCCGTGCGCCAGTATCTTGCCAATATCTCACTATTGCCCTCCAGTAGCTCTCTGCCCTGCCCTCCTGTAGCTCTCCCCTCCTCTCCCCTACCCCGCATAGCTTGCTTCCCTGCCCCTTCCTGTAGCCCTCCGCTGCCTGCTTGTAGCTTGCTGCCCCACCCTCCTGCTGATCCATGATCCAGGGTCTTTACGCTTCACGGCATAACGACCACTTGCATATTACATCTTTATTATATAGGATATTTAAAAAAACACAGAAGGATAGAGTACATTTCTAAACAGCCATAAAATGTATAATCATTAAAGGACTTACCGGTATCTTTGTCAGTGCTCAGACTCCCTCTATTTGCAGGTGAAGTGAAGCCACATGCAAATTCATCCCTGGATGCCTGTAACACAATATGATACCTCTAACACTTGTACACTAGGGTAAGACATCAAATTAATAGACTAAAATGATGCCTTGATTTTAAACAAATCTCACTGTGAAAGTCCAGTATCAGTATCGGTATTTAGATGACAAATATTTAATAAATGGGTACTAGCATATTGTAGTAACTATGACTTCTAGATAAGGTACATAACTCTAGATGGCTGGTAAAAGCTGCAATTGGTGCAGTCTGGTTCAATTCTCTTTGCTTGGAACTAGGAGTAATGCTAGAAGGAGGGATGTGACCAGAAGCCCTGGGTGAACTTGAGCTGCAAAAGGAAAAACAGGTAAGAAAAATATTTCCAAATATCACTGTCAAATGTTGTGGAGTAAGCAGAAGTATGAGCTACCGTGTCTTGTAAAGAAAGACCAGCTTGACACTCAGGTGGGTGATGTAATTGGGAGCTACAGGTAATCAAGCCATTAGGGAGGCTTAGAGTGGCTTTCTGGGGAACCCAGCACAGGCTTGACAAATCGAGATAGGGGTACTTCCAAAGGAAGCTGTAAAGGACACAGTTTAATCTGCCACTAAACAATGTGACAGAACTACTGAACATGTAAAGGTGATCTTGGGCCACACAGAACATGGAGTGGGGAGGGGGTTTAAAGTGGAAGTTAATAGTCCCACCATAAAGTGTACAGTTCTAAGCACTATGTTTTAATTGGATGATGGATAAAATGGAGCATATCCAGAGGAATATAACCAAGAATGTAAAGGTTTTGGAATGACAAATGATGAAGTGGAGATAGCTGATGTGGAGAAAAAATTAGAAGGCACATGTGTAAGAAGTATCACGTAGATGTAGGAATAGATTGTTCTATGTACTATCTCTAGAAGGCAAAACTAGGACAACTGGACAGAAAACTTTTTAGGTCTAATGTGAGAAAGAAAGTTTTTATTATTATAATGGCAAAAGGTGTTTGGCCATGTGGGAGACGGATCACCCCCAAAGTTCCTTTCAACTCTTAAGATTCTAAGGGGAGAAAAAAAAGCACAGACCAATTGTGATGAGCTAAAAGCAACTCTTTAAGAAGTACTAAAAGGAGGCTGTCAAGGGAGGGGAGAAGCAAAAGAAGACAGTTTAGTCCCTGGTGCCTAATATTTTGGAAATGAAGAATCTTTTGTTTTGTTTTCAAATTGAATAACTATATGAAGGCACAGAACAACAGCAAATCTTAAAATACTAGGTTCAAGGGATTCTTGGTGTTCTCTTGGATTTTGTTACTTAGTGTGCTTCTGGGACCAGAAGCAGCCAAACCCTTGTTAGAAACGCATAATCTCAAACCCCACCTAGGCTGCTGAATTAGAATCTTTGTTTTAACAAATTCCCCAGGTAATTCATATGCACATTAAAGTTGGAGAAACATTAGTCTAGGAAACTGTAAATGTAAAAATGGAGTAACAAGTGAACCATATAACATATGATCCCAATTCCAAATGTAGTTAATAAAAGAAGATAAAACGTCAATAGAAACACACTACTACTTACAGAATTAGGCATGGCTGCACAAGAATACAAGGTATCTCGACCTGCAAATCGCTGTATATTTTCCAAAAGCAGTCCAACAAATGGGAGGTATAATTGTGCTATTTTGGCTTGTTGGTTCTGAAAGAGAATTATCAAAAGCTTACAGGTATAGTGATTTCACTAATTATGGAATATAAAAAACAAAATAAATTAACATATAAAACAGAAACTAATAGATACAGAGACTAAACAGACTGTTGCCAGATGGGAGGTATTGGGGGTAAGGATGAAAAAGGTCAAAGTATTAAGAGATACAAATTGGTAGTTATAACATAGTCATAAGGATGTAAAGTATAGCATAGGGAATATAGTCAATAATATTATAATTACTATGTATGGTGTCAGGTTGGAACTAGATTTGTCAGGGTGATCACTATGTAAGGTGTATAAGTATGTAATCACTATGTTGTACACCTGATACTGATATATTTTATGTCAACTAATTTAAAATACACTTTTTAAAAACTTAATAGGTATAAAATATGTATATATTACAAATAAAGTTGGCTTCACCTATCAGTTTGAAGATTAAAAGCAGGCTAATATCAATAACAAATTAGTAAAGCATGAGTCTTGGAATTACCACAGAACATTATTGGTATTTGGATTTAAACGCAATCCAGAGTCAAATCACATGCTTCAAACACAATTAGATAACATAAAAGGCAAAAGTTTATTTTTTAAATAAGATTGAACTATAAAGCAGATCATATTAGTCCTATTCTTTCACTCCAGTGAGTACTGAGTTTCATGAAAGCAGGGATCATGTATGTCCTATTCACTGCTTCATCCCAATTTCTGGGCAGATATAGACTGAGTGGCCAGATTATGATGATCTCTGAATGCATAATAATCTGGCCACTCAGTATACATTAGCTAAATAGCTGAATGAATTAATGAAGTGAAAAAAGAATAATTTACTGTATTCACTCAAGAAACTTTTTTGCTTTGATTAAAATAGCAATTAAAATAATGTGATTTATCTTGGCCCCCTAAATCAATTATAAAGCTTGGGAGATTGATACATTTATAAATATATAAATAAAACTGGCCACAATAGTCTTACCTAATGTGAAACCTCTTAGTCAAATTTATTTTTTGTTTTTTGTCAGCTATAGACAATCCTCACCAGACATGTGCATACACTCATAGCAGCAAACACAGTTGTTTTCATGGCACAGGAGTTGCCCTACATATTTGAGGACTTTAGGAGGCTTGTCTGGAGATTTAGATAAGACCTCCAGGGCACAACAGTCAACCTAGAGAACACAGATCAATAGTATCTTATCTGACTTTAAATTTGCATATTTGCATTTATTCTTGAACAATATTTTGTGTTAATTGGCCATCTGCACTTCTTTTGTAAAGTTTAGGAACCCATCTTAACAGATTTCTAATTTCTATCCCTATCAATAGTCTCATATCACTAGGAGATTCTAGTTTAGTAGTTCTGGGCTGGGTCCTGGGAATCTACCCCAGATGATGCTGATGTGCACAGAGGTGTGAGAACCATGATCTATGCAACTTCCTATTCAAGGCAGGAATGGCCCTCATCCTTATCCCTGACAAATGGCTAGTTTCAAAGGCTCCTTAAATACTCCAATTTTTTTTTTTATGGACTGTTAGAAAGGTCCTTTAGCTGATTTACTCTGTGAAGGTTCTACCTGCTAGGAATATCTCTGTCTACTTCCACTTTACATGGAAACCCTTGAAATATTTGGAAACAGTTACCATCAATTGTCTTAGCTCATTCTTCACAAGGCTAAACAGTCATTATTATTTTCCTTTATTCTTTCCATTAGTGTCCCAGTACATGGATTCATGCACATTGAAAGGAAATTAATTAGTCCCTCTGGTGCAGGGACTAATGCAGGCAGTCCCTGGGTGGTGGCCAGTGAGGTGGGACTGGGAGAGAAACGGGCAGACATGCCCTGGAGCCAACCTCCCATGGTCCCTCCCTGGCCAGTGGCACCTGGGGTGGCACTGGGGATCGAAGGACAGCTGCAGAGTCAGCGGGATCCCTCTCACAGGTGAGGCTCCCCAGCCTGGTCTGCAGGAATCTGGCCCGAACCAGCAGTCTGACATCCCCCGAGGGGTCACGGAGTCCAAGAGGACACTGAAAAGTTGCTGTCACTTGGCAGCTCCTGCATTGAGCATCTGCCCCCGGTGGTCAGTATGTGTCACACTGCTGACCCGTCGCTTAGCCTTTTATATATAGAGATGGCTTTGGTTTCAAAATTTTTCGCCATCATGACCGACCGACCTTGGCCATTCTCTAATATTATAGTGTCCCACTTAAGACTTGAGAGCCAATACAGTATAGTGGGTAAGAGCACGAATTTTGGATTTTAGAAATACATGAATGCCAGCTCTCCTGATACTAGTTATGTGATTGTGATCAAGTCACTTAATCAGTTTTCTATTTGGTAAAACGGGGATGATGATAATAATTCATGTGAGTTATTTAATAAATGTCTGGCATATAGAGTCCTCAATACATTTTAGCTGCTATTATTAATATTACAGCTTCTGGATTCGAGCCCATTTTAATTCTGATAGTGAGTGATCACTAGGGAAGGAGATCTATGAAAAATTTTGCCTGCACAAAAGATAGACAATAACCTCAGAATCTATTTACTAGAAAAAGGGTAGATAAATAAAATAAGGTGTATCCATATTTGCAATGTACCATCATATAATCTAACTTTATGGTGTATTGTTAAATGAAAAAAGAAAAATGCATAATGGTATCTATTATACAGGGTGGGGCAAAAGCAGGTTTACAGTTTTTCGTGTGGAAAATAATACAGTAATTAATAATACAAGAATAAACTGTGTTTCATATACTCACAACTTTAAACCTACTTTTGTCCCATCCTGTATATACATTATGCCTGCATACAGTAAAAGTATATATAAGAAAATGATAACAGTAGCTGCTTCTGGAGAGATAAATTAGAGCATGGAGGTAAGGAATGTGAGAAAGGCATTTTACTGATAGATTGATTTTTACCATGTATGCAGATTATTCCTTTTTTAATTTTTATTTTATTTTAAAAAATATATATTTTATTGATTTTTTACAGAGAGGAAGGGAGAGAGAGAGCTAGAAATGTCGATGAGAGAGAAACATCGACCAGCTGCCTCCTGCACACCCCCTACTGGGGATGTGCCCGCAACCAACGTACATGCCCTGGGACCTTTCAGTCCACAGACCGATGCTCTACCACTGAGCCAAACCGGTTTCGGCTACCCTTTTTTTTTTTTTTTTAAAGGAAAAAAAGAATTTGCCCACAGCCCAAGTAGAAATTGCAATTGTCAACATCTCTTGTAGTGGCTTACAGGAACTGATATCGACCCCAGAACAAATGTAAGACATTAAACATTCATGTTCTGAATAGGAAAGATGTCTCCTGGTAATTATAAGAAGTTAGGAGATCTCCTATAGCAGTTATGAGTAACACATAATAGGGACCAATGACACCTCAATAATTTTATTAGAGGAGGGGCTGAGGAGTGGCAATGCAGTTGGAACTGAGAAGCGGGGTAGGGGGGAAAGGGGAAGGCAGGGGATGGACTAGGAGATATAGTGTCGAAGCAACTTTTCCATAGGAAGCATTTTCTTTTCTTTCAGTCCGCAGACCGAGGCCCTACCACTGAGCCAAACCGGTTTTGGCCCGCATTTTCTTTTCTTGACTGTGTGTTTATTTGGAGTAACTTTTGGGGACATGATAGAAATTATAGGTACTTGAAGCTCCTCTGTCTACCCTCACTTTGGCATCATTATTTGTATTTTACAAATGTGCTCTAAGTCAGGCCATCTGTGAATTCTTTGGACCAAAGAAAGTGAAGAATTGAAGCTTTGGTTAACCAGGCCCATGAAGCAAAGTTCTGTTAGAGAAAATCTTATGTTCATTCATACCTAAGATTTTGAACAAAGAGGAAAGGACTTCAAAAGTCACTGGGAGAGTAATGAGTTTGGTATTTCAATCTTTTCCATAGTCTCAAACCTCAAAACACTCAAACGGGCATAATATTTAACTTATTTACAGATAACAATAGTTGTGTATGTATGTGTATGTATATATACTATTTTCAGAATTTTAAAAAGTGTTTTGGACATTTAAAGAATGTTCAATATGTGGCATAAAATACAGATTGTCCCCATCTTATGATGGTTCAAGTTACCTTTTTTTTTTTTTTTTTACTTTACAATGGTGGGAAAGAAATATACATAGTAAATTACATGAGATATTCAACACCTAATTATAAAATAGGCTTTGTGTTAGATTATTTTACCCAACTGTAGGTTCATGTAAGTGTTCTGAGCACATTTAAGGTAGGTTAGTCTAAGCTATGATGTTCGGTAAGGGATGCATTTTCAACTTATGATATTTTCAAGTTACAGTGGGTTTATCAGTATGTAACCCCATCAGAAGTTAAGGAGCATTTGTATTTAAAAATCCAATTCTAGGTAAGGCACTAGTGAAATCCCTTTTTCCTTCACTTTGATCTAAAGAGATTGGGTAGGGGGGAGTGCAACTTCCTGCTTCATAGAGGGAAAGTTCATTTTGTACTTCTCCCATGAATCCTTTGAAATCACAGCTAAAGACATATTCCTCTACATTGTATAAGATCCTTTTCCCTACTACGAGGGCATAAGCAGCAGTTAACCAGAATCCAGTGGTAACTAGCATTTTTAAAGGAGTGACTAAACTTGGTTGGAACGGATGGCTTTAAGATAGCTTTTCATTTAGATATATTATACTAGTTAACTGCGTTAAAATGATATAAAAAAGGGTACATAGAGCAACTACATTAAGTGGAAGGATGTTACTTTATTAGTTATAATCTGACAAAATGCAAATGCAATAAGTAATTAATAACATCTTAAAGGTGAGGAGTTTAAATCTACTATATAATAGAATTGCATAAATGAAAGTAGCAAATATTGTAAGTAAAAAATTTAATTAGGCCAGCTGGTATGGCTCAGTGGTTGAGCATTGACTTATGAACTAGGAGGTCATGGTTCAATTCCCAATCAGGCCACATGCCCAGGTTGCTGGTTCGATCCCCAGTGGGGGGAGTGCAGGAGGCAGCAGATCAATGATTCTCTCTTATCACTGATGTTTCTGTCTCTCTCTCTCTCCCTCCCTCTCTGAAACCAATAAAATTAAAAAAAATTTATCTGGGTATAAATAATATAGTAAACATATAGACTCTATCTATTAAGAAAAAGGAGAGCATCTGCCAGTGGAGAGGACATAAGCACTTGGAAGCCACCCATGAAATCCAGACCCAAAATCACATAATGTGGTGCTGAAACAGCGGGTCTATGAACAGAGTGCAGGGAAAGAATTGGTTGATTTGGTTAAAAAACAAAATAACTAAAACTAGTGCCTAAATCCACCAGTCTGTTCAGTCAAAATGGCTGACCCAGTCGCCCTGATAAATATTTTAAGAAATGAGAATTTGTAAGTATCATGTCCTTGATTCAAGGTGGAACCAATGCCAGGTCCAAGGACTGCTTGAGAAAGACTTATTTCATGGACCATTCCAACATATCAGATCAGCATGCCAAGAATCCCACTTGATAGTCTATAGCAGTTTCTATTGGCAGGTTCCAGTATTGGAACATATTTTTGTCTTGCAACTCTATGGTAATAAACAGAGGAACTTTGACATCTTTCTAGATGTGTTTCATAAAGTTTGGCTCATATAACTTTTGAGGCATGTATACCGGTGAATAGTACTTTATGCAAAATCCCTTATCACTAACTCATAAATAGTGTTTTGGGGGTGACTTATATTTGGATATGATAGTGGCAGTCAGGGCAATGTGTTGATGTCATGTAGAGCAAAATCAATCCACAGTAATGCTGCTATTTGTGACAGAAAATGTTTATTTTCTCAACCCCAGTGACAAAAGAAAAATGATTTTGGGGTGGGAAGGTATAAATAGGACATCCATGAAATGTAGTGAAGAAATTTACTAGGCCTAAAGAAACTATTAAAAGGAAGAATGAAATTATATTATGAAATAGTATATCCTACTTCTGATAGAACACAAATCAGCTTAAATTTAGGAATACTCAGTAGGCTTCTAAGTGACTATTTTCAATTTTAATTTCATTCTTAATATTCTCCCAAAACCCTTACTCCTCAGAAAAGCAGGTCAAAATATGGCCAAAGGGAGAAACCAGTGTTTTCTTCAACAGTTAACAAAACAATATTTTTAAAACCTAATCATACGAAACAGAAATAAGACTTATTTATAAAAATAAGCATCAATGCTCATGTTATGTTTCTCACAGAAAACTTCATCATTAGTGCAAAATCTTAGCAGAAATTTACTAGCATGATACTGATGAATTATATAGACATTCTTACCTTGTGCTGGTATCTAGTATCAAATGCATGCTTTATCAAAAGATTCTTTATGACAGAGATAGCTGTATATCTGATCTCATAATTGTCTTGAAGAGCAATGGAGGTTTCCCTCAGAAGCAGACCAACCAAGAAATGATGCTTGCAATACTCATCTGATAAACTGTATTCAAGGTTTGAATCTGCAGTACAATGAAATTTAAAGCCCATTTATAAAAATATTCAAAAATCATTTTAATATTAAAATAACAGACTATAACTTATTATTTAGTAATACATGATCATGCTAGCAGAAGGTATTATTTTATTAATGAATACGAACAATTATTTTATCATTTAAATGAGCATGCAAAATTTTACAAGACAGGAGGACTCATAATTAGGGCTAGATGATAGCCTTCATAATAATTTTAGTGGGTAGGATAATCCCTAGATTCCTTTCCCCATACTTTTTTTCAACTCTGAAAAATCTTAAAGCAGAACCTAGAATGAAAGAATACCATAATTGGCAATGTCTTAACATATTTCTTGATTATCTGAAGAGATTTAGTTGTAACTACAAATTGGAGTAATTCAATATAATAATACTTGATTTACTTATCTGTTTATACTTGCAAATTAGGAAAAGGAAGAGAAACTAGACAACTAAATGATTCTAACAGTACTATTGGCTGTTCTAGTAAATGTTACATATTGACCTGCATACAATAGGACATAAGAACAATAAGAAAAGCAACCTCATCCCTATCCAATTCATCATCACGCAAATACAAATCTTATATTTCATAAAATCAATACTTCAAACTATGCCTTTCACTCCCCTTTGGATCCTCAACCCATTTTCAATCCCAGCTGCTAATATCCTGGTTGGGACTTGCCTTATAATTACTCAGCAGGGATTGTGATCCAATTTAGTAATTTTTAGAGTAGATATCTACCATATTTCCTCTATGCTTTAATTTAATTAGGCCACAAAGCTGAAGGATACATCTTCTATTTTGGTGTTTTTTTTGGGGGGCCTCTTTAGCACTTTATATAATACTATGCACTCAATTAGGAGTGAATAAGTGTTATGAGTAGTCATATTTAATCCTAAATCCTGATGGTCTGTCCACCCCTTTTCTTTGACTTCCTCATAACTAGTGATAAATACTGGGAGCAGTATGTGGGCTATACATGCTCAAAATCTAATAAGGGAGTAGTTGAGTATTTTCCCTCCATTTTCACTGGTTGTAATTCAATCAATAAAACCACTGCTCAGCACCAACCCCCTAGAAACCAAGGCAGCTGATTTTCTTCTAGCCACTGTTGTGTTAATTTAGGCCTGTTGTGTTAACTCTTTCCTGCACAGGTCAGCTCTCCAGGTATGCTAAAATACTAAACACTTCTTTTCTGAAAATTAACATTCTGTATTTAATTATTAAAATAGTAAATATGTATTTGTGTATGATTTCTTTCCATTTAGGTCATGCTCTTTTGTGAATCCCTATCACTTTCTATGCAAAAGGGCCAGTACTGACTAACCTGGATGGCCTTATATGGGTAGATTTTGCAATGGTAGTTTTTCACTTCAGTGATTTAAAGAAATCTAATCAGATTTATAGAAATCTAATCACGGCTTTAAAATTGTGCCCAAGCAGCCCTGGCACAGGTCTGAGAAGCAAGGCAAAGCATGGAAAATGACGCACACTTAAAGGACAGCTACCCTCAAGCCCCCATGCTGGCTTGAGCAAAAACTTGTTTTCTAACAATAATGTTTTCAAGTTGATTCCTCTAGCAATCAGCACTTAAAGCTTATTTTAAAAGCAAACAAATACATTGCCGCCTACATTTTATGGGTACATTAACTAAAGCCTCATTTTGGCTAGGGAGGATTTGAAAGCAAACAAAGCCCCCATCCATGTTAGCCATTCATCAAATCATTTGTTTTTAAAGAAAGCAAACTACTTTAGAGTGAACCGAGTTAAACCTACCTACTGAAGTCAAACGGTCCACCGCAAATGAAAAAAAATCTAATTAATATATGAAAAGAAAAGGGACAAATAAAAAACATAGTAACATAAGAATAGTGCTACACAACAAAGCATTCAATAAAACTAGCAATGGAGATAACTGAAGGCATTTCACAAATTTAATACATATATATTATTATTTTATTCTACCTTTATACATTTCTTTTGATGCTCCTTTCAGCAGAAATGTACTGATATGGTTTTCTTAATTCAGTGTCAAACAAGAGTTCAAACACTACTACAGAGAGCAATTTTTCTAGCATCTAACATCTGTGTTTAAGCAACAATCTATATAACATACCAGATTTCTTCATACTACAAATACTACCATACTGACATTCTGAAGGAAATGAGGAATACTATTAACAAATCTATCTTCAGATAGTAACAATTGCGAGGTTACCTTTAAACTGTTTTAACTAGAAAACATTATACTACACTAGTGCTAGCAAAAGAAAAAGAAAGAAAAAAGGAAAACACAATTCTAAATGATGGAAAATACAAATACCCACCTTGAACTCGCTGAAGTTTAGGTTTTGCAAATGCCATTGGCAAATTCAGAGGAATGTAATGTTCATGGTTGCAAATTGTTTGCAGGAATTCAAACTTGTATTCAGCCAACACCTAAATGGAAAGAAATCATACACGAATACATATTTACTATTTTAATAGTTAAATACAGAATGTTAATTTTCAGAAGAGAAGTGTTTAGTATTTTAAGCATACCTGGAGAGGTGACCTATGCAGGAAAGAGTTAATACAACAGGCCTAAGACTGCTCTCCTTAAAAAGACTGGTTGGTCTTTGGCTGGCATTTGGGAAATTAGATTTTGAAACGTTTCTTATATGATAAGGGTGTACGTTCTGTGCCAGCCTGCTCAGACTGTCTGAACAAACAATGTGATTTATGGTGAACACCTGCTTTCCTTTCTGTTCCAAGACTCTGGAATTTTAACCAGCCTCCAATACATGAATTGCTCCCAGTAATAACCCTAAACCCCAAGTCTCAAATGGGCTTCCCTGAACAGAAACATTGAATGTGTTGCTGCATTTGCACTGTTGGAGAGAAGGCGTGTTGTGTGAGCCTTCACAGGAGGAAGGGCATGCCCAGGAATCCTACACACACATTGCACGGACTCCATTTGATACATCTTCCCTTACTGATTCAGCTGAGCATCCTTGCTGCGTCTCTGTAATGAATCTTAGCCATAAGTACAACTACATGTTGAGTCCTTTGAGCCTTTCTACTAAACAACTAAACATGTGGATGGTCTTAGGGGACCGCTCAAAAAACACTATGCAATATTCCCTTCTTTAAAGTACAGCATTCTCAAAGTGCCTAAATGGAAACAGCAGTTCTAATTTCTCCAGAGGACAATAAATGTCACCCTTAGCCTCACACTGTAATGTCTGACATCTACTATAGTTATGTTCTTATACCTTACCTTAGGATCTTTGGGGCTGAATCCAGATATATAGTCATTTATCAAATTGAAAATAAATCCTCTATCCATTAGTGTCAGACAGCGCTACAGAAACCAAATAAAAATGAACAGTTAGCTGAGTATGTCTGCCAAGTATAAATTTCTAAAATTTTTAAATTTGTTTCACATCTGCAGGAAGAATCTCTCTCTTTTACAGGAAATAGAGTAACAGCTTTCAGAACTTTAGGTGAGACTAAAAAAGAGACAGTTAAAATTGGAATTGGAATGCAACTGTACAATTTTATAAATAAAATTTTAAGTATGCACAAATACAAATATATATACATCTATATATCCATACAAATATATATATACATCTATATATCCATACAAATATATATATATATATATATATATATATATATATATGTCTATGTAACCTATTCAGTTGTACTGCCTTATTTTAGTCAACTCTCAAAGTGTAAAGTGAGGTGCAAAGTGGTCATTTAGCTATTGAAAGTGTAAATATTTCAGATCAGAAGCTTTTCTTTGTGTCTTGTCAAGTCTTAGCAATTAAAATACTCTTCCTCTATGACTGCCCTCCTAGTTGTTACATTTGCCTGCTGTCATTCTCCTAGTTAAGGCTCTTATTACCTTGCCAACTGAACAACTGTAGTGAGACACCTAACCAGTTTCCATGCCTCTCTTTCCATTCAAGTGCTTCCAGATTAATCTCTAACTCCAAGCACTAATCATGTCACCTTCCTTCCTAAAAGCTTTCAAGAGTTCCTTGTTGCCTTTAATAAAATGTCAAACTCCTTACTTAGTATTCAAGGACACCCATAAGCTTGTCCCAACCTACTTTCCAGTTTTATTTCCCAATACAGTTCATCTACTTATTATCCCCTCAAGATGTACTGTACAGTCCTACCTCTGGGTCTTTGCTCATGCCAGGCCTAGCTAGAAATTCTATACCAATTTATACCTAATCCTGCCCATTCTTCAATAGTCTGATGAAGTTCCATCTTCCTTAACCATCTTGATGCACAGGTTCTTTAAATCACTTTCTTACTAGTTTTTGTTTTACTTAATATTTCCCTGTGTTTTCATCTAGGTAGAATAACAGGAATTATCTTTCTTTATGTTCTCCACAGTGCTTAGAATATTCCTGTGAAATAGAAGGATCGCAATATTTGATTAATCAGCCATTTGCATCTCATTTTTCACCTCTCCTTTCAACTTTCTCTGCCATTACCTTAGGTCAGATCCTCATCACCTCTATCTCTTAGATTAATGAGGTAGGCTTCTATTTATTCATTCAATCAACAAAAATTTTTAGGTGTTTGAGACTAACAAGACATGGTCTTTACTCTTGTCCAATGATAGAGACAAATAAATAATTATAATACCACACAATAAGAAGTATACAAAGAATGGGTAAAACCCAAAGAGGTGATAGACACTGAGGAGGGAGGCTTGGGAAGAGCAAAGCTTCTAAAAGATGAATAGACGCTGACAGGCAGACAAGAGGGGTGGGGGATTTATCTTCTAATTGGTTGTCTTGACTCTGATCTTCTCCTCACTTCTATCATGCCAGCAATAAAATTATCCTCAAAAAATCTTTGGTATTTCTCCATCGTGTACAACCCAAAATCTAAATTCCTTAGCTGGATTTTTAAGGCTTTCCATCTTCTGGCACCAGATGGCCTTTCCAAGTCCACACACCCTAACCTGTCTGCACAGTGACGTTCTTGCTCACCCCTTAACAATTTCTGAATGTGCATATCACATCTTTGTTCATAGGATCCTCTACCTACAACACCTTCAACTCTTCCTGGTTATAATATTTCTTTTTCTTGTGTTTTCCTATTTTATTTTTTGTGCTTTCAGTATTAACAGTCATCACACTTTATCTTGTCTATGTATTTGCATGTGATTACAAAGGCAGCCTCTTGCATCTTTGAACCTTCACAAAGAAGGTGGACAAATGTTTAAACTCCATGGAAGAAAGTGACATTTTGAATTTCAGATAGTTTCATTCTTAGAGGTCACTTTAAAAAGATATGTGGATGTTTGGTTTTTATACACAAACAGTTTTATGTAGCAACGTTAAAATTTTATTTTAATTCTGGCAAAGAATGATCTTATATCAGAAAATCATGCGCTGGAGATCTGAAACCTAGCTGTGAATTTTTAATAAGAAAACAAGGGTAAGGTTAGAAATCTAACTGCTTGAATGGATTACTGACCATCAGGTTCTTAATGTAAAGTTGGTACATGATAAAGAGCTATGACAAGAGGGGAGTGGAAAGGAGCAAGTCAAAGCTAAGTGCATTACAAACCCATGCCCCTTCTCGAAAGCAATTCAAATAGTATTGTTACCCACTTTATAGCACGGCATTCTAACATTGCCCTTACATGCTGATAACGAAACATAACAATAAATACACTGTCTTCCATAACTATAAAAGTTTCTAGGATCTCTCGAACAAAATAATCTCACTGACTAAAATAAACAATTGGCATCTATATGTATTAGCAACATGTAGACTGTGGTTATATCAGGAACAGGTTGCTTTAATTCAAGGGCTTCAAGTTCAAAAGGCCAATAGGGGTCAGAGAAGTGATGTAAATGGCACAGAGAGTCGGGGGAACTCTAAGGCATGTGGGAATTTTGGAACCTAACTGAAGACAATCAATATAATATATTTGAAAAAAAATTATGTAAAACATGCCTCTAGCTAGGCCACCAGTGTGGGACTGCTAATTTAATTAATTAGCTATTTCAGTGGGAAGAAAAAATCAATTTGGCTGTTTAACAATAGTGATAAATTAATTCACTTACAAGTTTCTCCAGCAGCCTTATAAAGACCTTGCTGAATCTCTAGAAATTGGCTAATTTTTTTTCCTTTGGCTTTAAAGAAGATATTGGTGAAGAATAATCTCTTACCATGTTCTGGCTGCCTTTAACTCACCTTCAGGAAGCTAGCCAAACTATAATTGACATTTCTGGACTCATCAGGAATCTCTGCATAGCGAATAGTCACATGGGGAATTATTGCAAGAAGCAAAGAATGTAAGACATGATGATATGCCTCAGGAAACCTCTGGCCTCTGGGAAGCTTAAATTAAACAGGCATATAAAAATGTCAGTTGCAAAAGGTATAAATCAAATGCCATTGTTATTTTCACATACATTCTACATATACTAGTAAATTCATAGTTTTTACTAGAGTATATTGTTTCTTCCAACTAAAAAATAACATATTTTACATCATTGTAGAAACTATCTGGACCTCTAACAATTTAACTGGCTGATCTAATCAACAATAATAGGTAATTATGACCTAACTTTAGAATCATGTCCCTCAGATTCAAGCACATCCCAGTTTTTTCCCTGACACACAAAATATAGATGCATCCGTGCACCTCAATTTCAGTAAACCCTTTCTCTGAAAATAATAATTAAAATGATACATATGAGGTAAATATTTATTTGTTTATAAATCTTGGCTTTATAATAACTAAGAAAATGCCTTTGTACCTTAAAACAGTTTGAAAAACAACTAAGTGTATACATCACATTTCAGGAATACATCTATTGCATAAAGTGTTTTTAACCTTGTACATGCCTTTGACCTTCTAAAAGAAAGGTTATTTCTGATTTGGTACTTGTTATTCCAAATGAATGTTTTCAACATGGACATTTTAAAACCATAAAACAAATGGAAAGCTTCAAAGATAATACATTTTACATGGCAAATAACTAATATGAAAGAATCTAGGTAAAAGAGCCTCTCAAAATTAGACTTTAAATAATATGAACTATCTCCTATCACTGGCCAGTGTTGGTCAGTGGTTGAGCATAGACTTATGAACCAGTAAGGCACAGTTTGATTCCTGGTCAGGGCACATTACTGGGTTGCAGGCTTGATCCCCAGTGCAGAGCATGCAGGAGGCAGCTGATCAATGATTCTCTCTCATCATTGATGTTTCCATTTATCTCCCTCTCTTTTCCTCTCTGATATTAATAAAAATATATTTAAAAACATGTCAGATCATGGATTTATGCAATATATTAAACAATTTTTTATTTTTCAATTATAGCTTACATTCAATATTATTTTGGGTTAGCTTTGGGTATACAGCATAGTGCTTAGACAATCATATCCTTTCCAAAGTGTTCCCCCGATATTACTAATACCTACCTGGCAACATACATAGTCATAACTATATTCCCTATGCTCTACTTTATATCCCCATGACTATTTTGTAACTACCAACTTGTACTTCTTTGCTTTTAATCCTCACCAGAAGATATTTTTCCATTGATTTCCAGAGAGACTGGAGGTGGAGGGCTGACAGAGATAGAGAAACATCGAGATGAGAGAGACACATCAGTTGGTTGCTTCCCACACACAACCATACCAGGACTGGGGAATCTGCAACCAAGATATGTGCCCTTGACAGGGAATCAAATCCATGACCCTTGGTTCTACAGGCTTATGCTCCAACCACTCAGCAAAACTGTCCAAGGTCCAACTTGTACTTCTTAATCCCATCACCTTTTGTCACCCAGTCCTCTAACACTCCCGCCGCTCTGACAAACAACAGTATGTCCTGTGTCTATGAGTCTGTTTCTCTTTTGTTTGTTCATTCATATTATTCATTAAGTTTGACATATTTCTGAAGTTATATGGTATTTGTCTTCTTCTGACTGACTTATTTCAATCAGCATAACACCCTTTAGGTATATCCATACTGTTGCAAATAAAAGATTTCATTCTTTTTTATGGCTGAGTAATACTTCATTGTATTACCTTTTTACCCATTCATCTATCGATAATTATGGGCACTAGGTTTGTTTCCATAGCTTGGCTATTGTAAATAAGGTTGCATTGAACATAGGGGTGCATATATTCTTTTGAATTAGTGTTTCAGGATTCTTCAGATATGCCCAGAAGAGGAATCAATGGATAATAAGGCAGTCCTATCTTTAACTTTTTTAGAAACTACCATACTATTTTCCTTAGTGGGTATGCAATACATTTAAAAAAAAATTCACATGATCTCACTCATTTGTGGAATATAATAAACAACATAAACTAATAAACAAAAACAGATCCAGAGATAGAGAAGCATTGATCAGACCGTCTGTCAAACCTCAGAGGGAAGGTAGGGGTGGGTGGGGGTGAGGGGGAGAGATCAACCAAAGGACTTGTATGCATGCATATAAGCCTAACCCATGGACACAGACACCAGGGGGGTGAGGGCATGAGTGGGGCGGGGGAGGGGGGGCTTTAGGGGGTTAAGGACACATATGTAATATCCTAAACAATAAAGGAAAAAAAGTGAAGAGCTAAGAGCCCTTAAATATAAAAGAGGCTTTGCATGTCATACAGTTAGCCTTCTTCATCTATGTTAAGTATTACCCTTGAGCCTACTTACCTTAATTTTATTTTCTTCCAACAAATATATAGCCATAGACTTTGCAATGATTTCAAAGAAAAACCATGAGTACTAAAATAAACAAAGAAATAAAATCAATCTTCAATAGTTTCCCAAATTTTTGAACCTTAGCAAAGTTTAACAAATACATATGGATCTAACATTAATAACATTTTAAAATGAATCCCAATTCACAAAGTTCCACAGAGTAACTTCAACTGGTGTTGGCAGAAAGATAAAGTTCCTCAGAGCCAACTGTGATGTGTGAATGGGCTTTTGGTAAGAATGTTTGCCTAGTGGAAAATAATGACAATAATAAGAGCCACCATTTGAGTGTCTACTATGCGCCAGAAACGATGTCTTAAACACTTTTCTTATATTTTAGAAATGAGGAATTGAGGCTCAAAGATGCTAAATTATAGCTTCAGGTCATAGAACTATTAAGTAGTGGATACATAATTCAAACCCATGTCAACATGATCCAAAATTCTTTCTATTACACATTTGACTGAGGGCTGGGGGGGGGGGTGGTTGGGGAGGGTGAACAAAATGAAATTCTGGAGAACTTGAAGGTAAAGGATACATGGGCAAAGTGATAAGTAAAGTGAAGGTCACGTGAAAAAAAATGATGGAAGACTAGAACTGAAATGGGAGGGTATGGAACATATATTTCTGGCTGCTTTTTCCCTGTTGCGTCCTGATCCCTTACCTTTAACAGTTTGTTTATTGCTAAAAAGTCTGCAGATTGTTTCAAAATTGCTATCATTGTAGTAGCCAGAATTTCATGTGTTAGCTGGGCCTGAGGAGCACTCGGTTTTTCAGGTCGGAAGTTATACTACAAATAAAGAAAATGAACCATAAGGCAAAATTCTCCCACAAAATCAACTGCTCAGAAAGTAAAATTTTCCCCCACAAACCTTTATGAAGGATCTTAAATAATTATCCAAGCCTTCTTCATGACACTGTGAGACGATATGTAAAAGAACCCTGAAACAACATTCACAGAAGCCAGCATGTCAGGCTAAAATTAATTACCAGTTTGATTGTTAGATAAGACCTAAAAATTCCTATCACTGTCTGAATAATTAAAGGTGAGATGATTGCATAAGATATAATGGTAATTTGGGTCTAACTGATTCAAAAGAAAGATTATTTTATTTTGGCATTCCAGATGTTTCATCTTTATAAATTTTTGTCTACATTTGAAGTATGGTCATAGCTACTATATAGTAAAAGACGATGAGTAAGGTAAATACTGAAATTCTCTCTAGTGAGAAGAAATAGAAAAATAAAATGAACAGCATGTCAACAAATGGGAAAAAAAGAAAGGGAAGAAGTAGGAAGGTATAAGGACATGAACTAAATTTGGAAGTAAATATGAAAGTCATAGAAAGTTTTAAAGTTAGGAGATTAGTAGTGGTTCTCAAAATTTAGCATAAGTCATAATCACCCAGAGGGGAGACTGCTCAGCTCCTTCTCCCAGATCTTCTGATTTTTTAAGGACTGAAGTGAAGTTCAATGATTAGCATTTTAAATAAGCTCCCAGGTGATACTGATGTTGCAGGTCTGGGAACCACATTTTGAGAAACCCTGGACTAGAGTAATACTTCTTAAATTTTCCAAAAGCAAGCAGAGAAGAGCAAACAGTATGCAGATGTGTGTAGCCTGAGTCCTGATGGTGCAATAGCAGAAGCAGCAAGGCCAGAAACATCCAGCCCTGAGCTCACGATTTTTTTCTATTTTTGTCTCCTACTTTAATTTCAAAATTCAGGTACATTGTATGCTCTACTCTACAATATATCTAAATTTGTTTAATATAAAAAGAACACTTCCTTATCCTTTAAGTAAAAATTGATGGCTTAGGGCCATTCTATCCAATATATGAGAGCCATTCGCCACAAGTGACTATATCAATTTAAATGGAATACAATTAAAAATTCAGTTTGTCAGTTACATTAGCCGCATTTCTAGTGCTCAATAGCAAAATGTGGTTAATGGCCACCATACTGGTCAGCACACATGCAGTAGTACATTTCCATACTTGGAGAAAGTTCTATTGAGTCATAGCAATGGTCAAGGACAATGGTTCTCAAACTCTGTTGCATTATGGAATCACCTAAATTAAAAAAAAAAAATACTAATAGAGTTCTGCTGCCAGAGATTCTGGTTTCATTGGTGTGAACTGTGGTCTGGCAGAGGAATTTTTAAAAGCTCCCCAGGTGATTCTCCTGTGCATCAAAGTGTTAGAACACCCCTGGTCCACAAAAAGCACATTAAGTTTACCCTATGTCTTTTGGTAGCATCGATCCCTGGGGACACAAGTCCCCCCATCTGAGAAGCATGAAACTAAAGAAAACCAATATTAAATTTCTGATTTTGGGGTTCTCATTTGGAAGACCAATTTATATTTAAAATGAAGAAATTCAAAAGGAAACAAAACTTGCTTCTTTGTATTACAACACTGAAACTCACATGGTGCAGTTGATGGGCACATCATCTTCATGGGTCATGTTTGTGAGAACTCGGAAGAGTTGCATAAGAATTACAGGTAGAAACTGTATCATGACTGGGATCTCCATGACATGCAAACACTGAAATAAGTCATTATTAGTTATGAAAACAAACAGAAACATGATATAACTTGCAAATGTGAAACAACAAAAAATTAAGTAATGAGAAATACATTCACTAGAACACAAACTCATTTAAATGGGAGTTTCATGGAACAGGGGACTTTGTTAATTATTTTATCCACATTTCTATTTTGGCACTCAGAACTCATTAGTATATTTAATAGTAAATGCTTTACTGAAATTAACAAGTATTACTGAGATAAACAGGTTTTGAATAAAGCCAACTGACTTCTGGTAAACTAATACTCAATTGAGGAGAGAGCAGATGTGTTTGGAGGTACTGGAGATGCCTACTAGCCCCTAGCACTCAGTGTGTTTTACAAGGGAATGTGGGCCATCAATTGTGGGATTTAATAAAGTATGTTTGTGTGTGTGTGTATATGTGTATATATATATATATATATATATATATATATATATATATACACATATATATATATATTAATATGTTTTATTGATTTTTTTTTTTTACAAAGAGGAAGGGAGAGAGATAGAGAGCTAGAAACGTTGACAAGAGAGAAACATCGACCAGCTGCCTCCCGCACACCCCGCACTGGGGATGTGCCTGCAACCAATGCATATGCCCTTGACCGGAATCGAACCAGGGACCCTTCAGTCTGCAGACCGACGCTCTACCACTGAGCCAAACTGGTTTCGGCTATGTTTGTATATTTAGTTGGCTTTACACTGACACCCTCTACAAAACGGAGGCAGTTCTTCATTCTAACACCCTGATAATACACTTTCTAGCATTCTGTTTCTAGTGAAAGGTGTGTTAACATAAAAAAAAGAAATGTGTTCATATATACCCCAAAATGATACAAGCATCAACATTTATAAAATTTCTTTCTTCCTACTCCCTTTCTCTCCACATTCACTCACTTATTTAAGCAAGCAGCCAACAACAACAACAAAAAAAGAAAGAAAGAAAGAAAACAAATCTCACTGAGCACCTCCTACTACATAAACTCAATGTTTAGTGCTATGGGAAATACTGAGATGGATGAGACAAGCCTCTGTGCCTAAGGAACTTAATATTTAGCTTCCAGTCTCCCTGACTTTTGCTCCATCTTCCCATCCTTACTCTCATCATCCTTTTTCTGGACACTAATATCTATGCCTGAGTCACATCAACAGTGACCTCTCAGATCTCTGTTCAACTTCTCTTCAATCAGATGGATAAAAGCAGGACATTGAGCTCAAAGAACCCATGGTCTATCCTTCAAGTTTTTCCTTCCTTGTCCTACCTTTCTAGTCTTACTACTACTATCATCCCTTTTCATGACCTTCTTATCTATAACCAAAATAGACTAGTAATTTTATAGCAGTTCTCTGTACAATTTCTCTTTAATCCCATACACCTAACTCTCATTTCCAAATCAATCTTCCTCAAATACTGATTACATCAGACATTTCCTGCCAAGATTTTTTTTGAAGCTTCCCCATTACCAAGCACAGTGGATCTCAATCAGTGGCAACTTCCCCCAACACCCATCCCAGAACATCTGATAATGTCTAAAGACATTTTGTATTGTCACAACTGGGGGATGCTACTGAAACCTAGTGAGTAGAAGCCAGGGATGCTGCTAAACATCCTACAATGCACAGGGAAGCCCATTACAACAATTATCCTGCCCAAAATGTCAATATTGAGAAATTATGACCTAGGATATTAAGTCCAAGTTCCTTAAAACCCAACCTACATTTTTAGCATTGACCTTCATCATCAAAGACCAAACTAGCTCAAACCTCCACATCAATGAAGCCATTTGTTCATCCATTCAACAAAGGCACACTGAATAAGCTTCTAATTACCAATCGCATAAAAAACATGGTTCCTACCATCAAGCCATTCCCAGTCTATGGGGTGGGGGGTGGTTAAGACAAGGAACAAAATCACTGTGATACAAATAATAAACAGTACAAGACTGGTATATACAAAATGCACGAAGGATGAAGAAACAACGGAGTCTGCAAGTGTGTAGGGAATGTCCAAGAGGAGGAAGTTTAAAGGTTAAGTGGGATACTGTACAAGAGTAAAGAGAGTTGGACATTGCATGCATAATTGGATCTCCCTGTACCAACATAGCTCCTCTCTCATCTATTCTCAGGACAGCAGCCAGAGTGTTCTTTATGAAAGGCACATTCAATGCCATTTCCCTTGTGGAAAAAAACAAAATACCATGAACAAAAAGATGTCAAGGGCTTCCCATACCTGCATGACCCTGCCTATCTCTACAAATTCATCTCATGTCATCTTCTCCCATCACAGTTTAGTGTGCTCTACACAGTCTTGTCTTTTCTTTACTGTCCTTCAAGCATGCCATCACAGGGATTTTACACCTGCTGCAAATTCTGTTAACCATTTACACAATGTTATGACCTATGTTTGTCTTCCTCTCATCAGTCTCTTCTTATTTTTTTAAATGTATTTTATTGATTTTTTACAGAGAGGAAGGGAGAGGGAGAGAGAGAAACATGGATGAGAGAGAAACATCGATTAGCTGCCTCCTGCACATCCCCTACCCACATTTCCTTTACGTCTCTGTCAAATGTCACTATACCAAACAGATCTTCTCTGATAGTCTTCAAGAGGGACTTATCACCCTTTATTCCCCTCACTATGCTTTAGTTTTCTTTACAGCACTTATTACTACCAGACATGGCACCATATATGTATTTAACCTTTTTTTTTTTTTTTTGCCATCTGCTTCCACAAGAAAGCAAGCTCTTTGACAATAGGGACAATGCTTTCTTCACTTACATTCTCCATGCTTAGAACATACCTGGCCCATAGGAAGTACTTAAGAAATAAGTATGGAATAAACGATTACTATATAACAGATACCCTATCTTGCTTCAACCTCACAAGCACCTTACAAACTGGTGTTATTGTTATCCCTGTGACAGAGGAAGAAACAAAGGCATGGGGAAGTGAAGTAAGTTGGTCAGGGTCAATCACTAAGATAGTAAGTCACAGGTCTGGGAGACAAAGTCTGTGATTCCAGAACCCATCCAGGTCATCTCATGTCATACTACCTCTCTAAAAGAAAGGAACATTTTTGTTTCCTGAGACTATCTCTAAGCAACAACATAGGTCCAAGGGGGAATCCTATGGAGGCTTCATTTAAAAATCAAAATTCCTCAGACTAGCCATGGCTGACCAAGTAAAGGAACAAGTAGAGAAAGAGTTGCTGTCAGCTAGGTCTTATGACATGAATTTCAGTCCTAGCATGTGAAACGACATCTTGAGTTCTCAATACATTTGGTAAGTAGATATTCTGGCCCTTTTCCCCATAGCATGCTCCACCTTTTCAGGGAAGTCAGCAGGAAAAGACCCGAAAAATCAATTTCTGGAACTGATATAAACATTGTCATGAGATTTTCCAAAAGATGTCATCAAATTCTGGCTATAACAGTTTCTTCCTGATGTAGCAACCCTGCTTCTAAATAGTCACTTGGTGGAAAAATACATAACAGAAAGTGTTCTCTTGAGGATACACCACCAAAAGTATCTTAAAGTGCTAGTTTGACCACCCTCCCCATCAAAATGTGGCAACAGAAAGACATCAATCAAAAACAATCCTTTCAAAGAAAGCTGCTGTTCATTTACCTTTAAATATTTAACGAGCTCCCCTGGAACTTCTTTCGAGCCTGACTGAATCAGCTGGCAATGATGGAAGAATTTGTGCACATGTAGATCCTGGAAAACAGATGGACACAGCCTTATGAAATTTGATTCATTACCCTCAAATGCAAGCTCTGCTCTCTCCCTCTTCCTGCATCTTGCAAACCTATTTATCCGGGTATTCTAATGCCCAGATTTGGCAGCTGCAGCCACCAACATGTGTGTCCATGTCTCATGGGCTTCTTTACCATCCATCCCACAAAGCAGCAAGACCAGGTCAATTCAGCATGTACTTGAGCACATCATGTAGGCCAACTAGCCAACATTTATTTAATGCCTTTTTTTACTGGTGTAGTCTCTGGAGTTGGGCTGCTTTTACAGTTTAAAGAAATAAGCAGGAACTGAGGCCTGAACTGACAGGTGATGCAAAGATAGCAGCAGGGGTTCCCAGAACAATAGTCCCAGGCATTCAGTGCCCAAGTTACCATGGCACTTCAACGGCCAATGAGTCCAGCTGTCCTCTATGGAATTTACATATACTGATTCTGTGGACAGGACAGAGTACATCAGGAATTGGCATAATGAAATTTAGATTTTGATCTGCTTCCTCTAATTATTACTTGTGTAATGTTGAGTAAATCACCTAACCTGACTGAGCCTGTTTCTTCACATATAAATGGTGGAGTGGGGGGTGGGAAGTGAGAAGGACCTTGGAGGCCACATCAAAGAACATGGACATGTTCTCCAGCCATGATTTTTTAAACTGTGCCTGGGGCTTCCCAGAGACATTTGACTGTAATTTCATGGGTGCTGATGCAAGGAGTCAACTACACTATCCTCACAAATTTTCTGTAAATCTAAAACTGTTAAAAATAAATTTTTAAATGGTGGTAATAGCCTCCATATTCCTTTCAGAGTTTTATGAGGCTTAAATTTATTAATGAGAATAAAAGAATTTTATAATTTGAGAAGAATTACACAATTTGAGCTATTAGTAATATTATTATTAAGAGTGATGTTATTACTAATGAAAGTCTTTCAGGTCACAACTTCTCTAAGAATGCAGGAATCAAATGTAGTCTATTTTAATTATGAAATATACTCAAGTATTAAAATGGACAAAATTCAGATAATGTCACTTACTTGACTGTAAATGGTAGACTCTAAGTGGCTTTTAATCTTCAACAAAGGCTTTGCACCATCTACCCACTTAATGTCCACATTAGATTGCTGGGAACAGAAAATACACACATGAGTTTCTGTACATAGCAATGGCTAAATGAGCAACATATCACACCTTTATTCATTTCAACTTTTATATTTTCAGAAACAAATGTGTTAGTGTCACACAAAGGAAATTATTAGAGAAAATAACCTGCCTTTAGAATAAATGTATCCTAGATTATTTCCAATTTCCAATCCTTTGCAAAATACTTTTATAAAGTACAATAAAAGTGAATTACAAAATAAATGAATTTTTTTAAATGATGCACAAAACCTGAAACCATTTTTAAGATTGTTATTAAAACAACCAGACATGAGGTTACTTTTTTTGACTATTCTAAAAGTTTCTAATATTAATTTTCCATACATATCTTTATTGCAAACCAACAGCAGTCCTAAAACTACACCAGACCAAACTATTAACTAGGCCAACAGATCTCTGCTTTTTCAGCATTTCATCGTGATTACTTCAACAAATGCAGATGTTTTCCTACCCTTCTCGATTCTGCATCGTTCAGGTTCAAATAGCCCGGGGGAAGATTGGCGGAAACTGGCAGCTGCTGCTCAAATGTGATGATTCTACCATCCTTCAGCAAAGGTACCCAGGCAAAGCCAACTGCCAAGACAATGATCAACCATGAGAAATGAAAACAAAAATGCAATTAGCTACACAAATGTCTGGCTGCTGGGGAGCAGGACAGGGTGGTGATATTTCTGGGGGTCTGCATGGTGGGCATTTGGGTACTGGGGAAGGAACAATGAGTTTGAGTGGCTTCCTAACCCCAGCGTGACTATTAACAAGTTATTTACTTTATTCCCTTGACTATAAAAATAGGAACAACAACATGCAAACTTTCCATCTAACAGAGTTATAGAGAGATCAGAGTGAGATAAAATACTTGAAAGTATGAAAATACTTTAAAACATGAAAAGTACATCAATATCATTATCTACACATGGGAATCATTTTGGGCACACTTACTTTCTAAAGATCCAGATATCTCTCATCTATTCTTACTAGGAGTGCAGTCCCCTATCTGAGTCTATCTCAGACAGCCATCACCAGGGTCCAACATTTCTTCTAGCAACCCTTGGGTAAGGGACTATGAAAGATTAAGGTTGCAATTCCAGGTTGCATTCCATATTTACACAAGGCAATATTTGATTGGGCAGCTTTCCTGATTACAGAAGAGGTGTAATAGGAAAATATAATCAGGGCATAGTGTTTACAACTTAAATCCACAGAGAGATTTCACCCAGTCTCTAGATTTCTTAACAGTTCTATCCAGAAGCGTCTCTTGGCTTTGTATTAGAAAACTCATCATGTTCTAGCTAAAAAAGCCAGAACCATCTGTGTCAGTATTTCCATTATAGAGATTACTCTGGGCTTCAAGTGTTTATAACTCAGCCATAAAAAGCTTGCTCTGGACAGAGTTTTGGCATTTGAAAGGTGGTGTTAGCTGGAGAGCACTTTTTAAAGCTGTTACTTTCTGATTCTTTACAATTCATTGCGCTAGTGTGTGTTTGTGTGTTTTTATGTGTGTTTTTATACTGTGAACACATAAGTCAACACAAATATGGTTAGAATATTTTCATTCACGTATTTAATTTGGCAAATGCTTTAATTCTTAAAAGACAAATATGTTGTTTTCCCTAAGTAGACTAAAGGGTTTTCTCAGACTTTGAAACACATCTGAAGAGCATCTTTACTAGTATAATTTCAGAAATGGTTTACCCAGAGCTTTTCTTTTATAGCAGGCACAGGAACGTAACATGAACAGAAAAACCATTTATAAGGACTCTGTCAAAGTAATTAAACTGAAATTAGACAAATGACAAAAGGTTTCCAGCTCAAATAGGAAAATATATTTCTTGTTCTTAGGCGATATTTCTTTCTCACAGAAATGTTTATTGAGATATAACTCAGATACCACACAATTCATCTATTCAAAATACAACTCCATGGTTTTTATATTCACAAAGTTGTGCATCCATTGTCACTATCTAATTCCAGAATTTATTCATCACCCCAAAAGAGAATCCTTATCCCTTAAAAGTCACTCCTCATTTCCCCTTCCCCCAGCCCCTGACAACCACTAATTTACTTTCTGTCTCTAAGGAATTGCTTAGGCAACATTTTCCCACTGTGATTTCTTCACAGCACAGTCAGGTGTGTCTCTCAGTTAAGCTTCATACAGAGCACCTGGAAGCTGTAAAGGTGCAATGTTAAGCACACGCCATCTGTCTCTAAGGTGTGAAGCCACTTAAAGGATGGACAGTTAAAAGCATTGAGTGGCACATAAAATAACCGTCTCATGTTCCACTGAGCATCTTGCCCACTCGCTTCTGTCTAGGATTTGGATAAGGAAATAATTATTTGTCTTGCAGGAGGTACACCATCATGGATGGGTTTGCATTGTTCTGCCAGATTTCTTCTTAAAACCTCAAGGTTCCTACCCTGAACAAATTGCAATTTCCACGGAGATACAGAACAGGACCACACTATCCACAAAGAAAACTTCCTAATATTCAGTCCTGCCACCTGCCAGACATCACTCAGATGTCAAACTCAACAATGGTCCAAACCGTCATTCCCATCTACAATTCTGTTACTTGGCGATTCAATTGGCACCAAGCCCCACACAGTCAAAAATCTGCATATAACTTAAGTCAGTCTTCCACACACGTAATTCCCAATTGCCTTCCTTTGAACAATGCAGTTTTGAGCTGTGTGGGTCATTTGAAATAAAAAATCCAGTACATATAAGTGGACCCGTGTAATACAAACCTATGTTGTCCAAGGGATAACTGTATCTTCTTTCCAGAAACTGCAGAGCTAATTCTGAGTCATCTCTCCAGTAGCCACTCATTTGCTAGGTCCAATATATTCTTATTTTGCACTTCTCATTTTCTCCATCCCTCTGCTACTGCCGAAGTATGCCCTCTTTCTTTCCTGGGCTCTTAAAATACCCCCTAACTAGTGTCCCTTCCTTCTTCCTGCTCCAACTCACCTCGCCCATTATATTGCTACCTGACTGGATTTCTTGCAAAGCAGCCCTCACTGATATTTATAATGCTTTAATATTTTCATATTGGTGATGGAATAAAATCAAATCCACAGCCTGGCATTCAGGGACTTCCACAATCTGATGCCCCCTTTTCAAGTGACATCCAATGATTCCTCTCACAGCACTCTGTGCTTTGGTTGTATTGAACTCCTTTTGGTTCTCTGTCCATTTCCCTCAATATTCTGCCTCTGTATAAGCTGCTGCTTTATTCTGGAATCCTCCGCCTTCATGTCATCACTACATTATCAAAGTCTACCGTGCCCCTAAGGTTTCACCTCCTGGAAGCCTTCCCTAACTCCCAGCCATAGTCCCTCCACTAGCTAAAGTAAAAACTCGCTTTTCTTTGAGATCACACAGCACCACCTTACTGGTAAGTGCTACTTTCTATCTTGTATCAAAGTTGTCTACATAGGTCTAATGTCCCCTAAAATATCACATGCTTGCCCAGCTGGCATGGTTCAGTTGTTGAGTGTCGACCTATGAACCAGGAGGTCAGGGTTCGATTCCTGGTCAGGGCACATGCCCAGGTTGTGGGCTAGATCCCCAGTGTGGGACTTGCAGGAGGGGCCAATCAGTGATTCTCTCTCATCATTGATGTTTCTATCTCTCCTTCTCCCTTCTCTGAAATCAATAAAAATACATTTAAAAAAAATCATATGCTTTAGGTGAGATCTACCTTTGACTCTTCACTGTATTCCCTATAGTACTTATTACAACATCTTGCACATAAAAAATACGCAGACATATTTGCTGAATGAATGACTAAATGAATGAATTTAAGATTAATCCAGGTTAGTTTGGACCCGAATCATGAGGCATGCTGACATTTATATAGTGGGTGTGACATAGGCCATGAGCATAGAGACTTCTATGTTCTCCCAAGGATGCTTCCCATTGGTTTATCTAAAGCCTTGCTGAATGGGACCAGGACTGGGAGCTTTACTACTTAAACTTACTCAAATTCACCAAATATGTTCTATCAATTAGACCCCAATCTCCCCCAGGCCCAAAAATGCCCCGAGCTCTAGATTTACTTCCCTTTTCCTCAGTGAGCAGAACTGGAAAATTTTGGTTACTTGGCTATTCTACTTAAAAGAGATACTACAAATACTGCATAGCAATGTCTTTCTCTCTGAGAAAGGCAATATTACTTACATTGCTTATGGTAGTCCAAACACACTGGCAAGCATATGGACATTTGTAGAAATGATCATAAAGTGAACATATAATTCATCTTCTACCAATTAAAATTTTAACTCAGAAATGGGACTTTTGGGTGAGGAAAAGAAGTGGTCTGTAGCTTTATGAAAGGAGGTTGTAATCTGGACAATTTCATCTCAAACAGCCTAAGAGACACATTGAAAGCACACACGTACCTGGAGTTTCAACTGTGTCCTGCTTTTTGGTTGTTCCCTTTGTATTAATTTCACAACTTACATGATAAAAAGTGAAAAGCAAATGATGTTTTTGATGTAGGTGAATAGGAAGCTCAATTTTAATCTGAAATGACAAAATTACATGTAGAATTTTGTTTTAATTGTTAAGCTGGACTTTCAGTTCTTTAGTTGTTTCATCATATTTTTACAATGTCAAACTTTTCTAAATGACAGGCCAAATGGTCAAATAGATATCATTTAAGTGTATTCCAAATGATTTTCTGGTCAGTTTCAGTTTGAAGACAATATTCTCCTGGGTTGTGAGGGCTGACATTGTGAGGGAAAGTCCAGTAGATTCTCCTGGATTCCACTTTGCAGCAGGATTTTCTAAAACAATGAATCAAAACCACATCTTCACAACCCAGGGATGCTATGTCATTCAACCTGAGTCAGCAAATACAATCCATCTAAAATAGGCACTAAATTTGATGCCCTGGTCCATGTTCCTCAGTGGTTGGAGCATCAGCTGCTCACCAAAGGGTCACAGGTTTGATTCCCTGTCAAGTGCACATACATGCAGGTTCTGTCCACCACCCCAGTCAAAGCATGTGCAGGAGGCAACCAATAGATGTATTTCTTTTCACATTGATGTCTCTCTCTCCCTCTGCCAACTCGCTCCAGCCTCCTTTCCATTCTCTCTGAAAATCAATGGGGAAAATATTCTCGGATGAGGACTTAAAAATAAATAAATAAATAAATAAATAAATAAATAGCTCTAAATTTGAATGGCACTAAGTTGTTGCATGAAAAAAAAATAAGCTTTGCTATTAAGCGTATAAAATATCACTATGGTATTATGTATATACAAATTATAGTTCATATAAATTTCTATAGTAGAAAAATACAACATGACCCATGAATAAAGAAATAAAATTTGTCATGAATTTAATCCTGTTTTGGTAACGCTCTTGAAAGTATGTGAGACAAACTACAAATTTCATTGACTTAACACACATGCGTGTACCTATACAGAAACACATACGAACACTTTTCCTCTTGCTCTCTCTCCCTCTTCCTACTTCTCTCTTCCTCCTCCCCCATCTCTCTCTCTCTCTTTCTCTTGGTAAATCTATAGTAAATAATTATAAAGCCTGTTTAGTTCTGGCTAAAGATAATATGGATTACTTTCTACATTATCAAGTTTTCTGTAGTGACTGGCGTTGACTATAGAGGGGGGCATGTTTAACAGCTCGGTGAGGGACATCTGGCTTAATTATCATTCACACAAGGCACGGTTCCGGTGTTATAACTAAGTTCTGTTGTAGGTATATTTCTCCACAGAATGTGCCTATTGGCATCATCCTTACCATCTGGCTACCTCACGCTCTGCTGTACATAAATATGGCCATATTCCTTCCTGGTAGAAGAACGAAAGGGCACTATCTTTCTCCCCATCCCCCATGAGACTAGGGGCACTGGATTGAAAATGGGATGAGTGAGGTCTAAGGCTGGGGTACAAGGCCTCCATGTAACAAGCAGACCTGGGGACATTGTGATTGGGGGAGGGGGGTGGCGTGGTTTGATATGAAGCCAGAAATGGAGATATGAGGCCTGAGAAGCAGAAACAACAGAACTTTTGGCCTGGGATTTACAGCCAGGGGTCATGGAGACAGACATGTAGGAAGGCATGGGAGGGTGGGTGGGTCAGAAGACATCAATCAATGAACTTGTATGCATATATGAATAACCCATGGACACAGACAATGAGGTGGTGAGGGCTGGGGGTGGGGTGGGGGGTGTTAAGGGCCGGGGGTGGGGCATGGACACAGACAATAGGGGCGGGGGTGGGGAGAGACAGGAGTGGGCTAAAGAGGTTAATGGGGGGAAAAGAAGGACCTATGTAATGCTTTCAACAATACAGATTTTTAAAGAAGAAAATAAAAGCAGCTGTAGATTTGGATAAGCCAGATAGATACGGACTAGAAGAGGGTGTGACAGAAACAATAAGAGAGCCAGTGGAGAATACATAAAGTCATAGAGACAGAGACATGGGAAGAAAAAGAGGCAGAGGCAGCGTCTGCGGAAGGGAGGGCAGTGACAGGGAGACCATGCCACTCAACACTACCAGTGGGATTCTGGTGGCCCAGCCTTACTGCTGTCTCAAAGCACTTCACTTACAGAGAAACTACACCCTCCTATGCAAAACAGGAAGAAAAAGCTAGACGGGCCTCAAAAGAACCTCTTCTGAATTTCTTATTTTAAAGCTAAGGGGAAATGGAGACACAGAAAGGGGAAGTGATTTGCTCAAAGTCACAGAGTCAGTTGATGTCAAAGCTAGGGCTAGAAACCTAGTCCCTATCTGGTGTTTGTTTTCTAGGTTGTTTCGTCACGCCAGAGCCCTTCAATTTGTGGGCAAATCTTCTGCTATTATCAAAGGGCACCATGCTGGCAGTGGTCCTTTGTTTTAATGCAACATTTTTCATTTTCAAGGGATGAAACATTGAAGGGATTAAAAGCACAGATAAAATGATGAAAACAACTGAAAGAGAAAAAGAAGAGTAACCACTGTATTTTATAAACATCAAAATAATGAAATTTTACCTCATCATAGAACTCTGGATTTTGGTTGTGATGTGAAACAACAGCATAAGCATTTGTGGTAAAAACAGACCCTGCAGGTTTTCCATAAATACACTGCAAAAGAAGAAACAGAGTCACCACTCTCAATGCAGGTCTCCAAACATGATGCTATAGAACCACATACAGCTAGAAGCATCTGTGAGCATAAGGCCACGGCCAAGGCCACTGGGCTCTCACCATGGGCATATAAATTCCAAGTCATTTACAGTCACACTCCAGGCTTCACCCAACTTGACTGCATAAATGCTTCTGAATTTCTGACCATTAAAGAAATGCAATTCCAAACTTGTTACCAGTAAGAAGTCTAACACAGCTACTCATTTGTGAGGAAAACACTCTCAAACCTAGCCTGGAAAACTCTCATGCTCTTTGCATTTCTTAACATGAGAAGTCTCCACTCAGCCAGTCACTAGCATTTGTTGAATGCTTGTTGTGCAGTGGGCAAGGTGAAGAGTTAAAAACAAACAGCCCGGCCAGTGTGACTCAGTGGTTGAGCATTGGACCGTGAACCAGAAGGTCATGATTCAATTCCTGGTCAGGGCACATGCCCAGGTTGTGGGCTCAATCCCCAATGGGGATCAATGATTCTCTCTCACTGATGTTTCTACCTCTCTATTTTTCTCCTTTCCTCTCTCTAAAATCATCAAAAATATATTTCAAAACAAACAAAGAACAAAAAAAACAAAAAAACAAAAAAAACAAAAAAAAAAACAAAAAAAACAACACTCAGCAGACACATTCCTAACCTAAAGGATTTAAAAATTAAGCTACAGACAACTTACTGTTCTATAACTTTACAAGCCACATTTTAAAAGTCACTGGCTTTCTGTTATACCAGTAAAATACATGCAAGGCTTTCTATGGTTCCATGGAAAGATCCGATTTCATTTCTAGTGTGAGTTTTTCACTTCCATAGGCCTAATAAGCTCAAGGATGAATATGGAGTCAGCATGCCAAGGTATTAATTGCCTCTGTTACTTCAGAGCCAGCCTCTAGGCCGGCTAAGAAATGAAATTGAGACTCCATGTGAGTATAGAGCCAGCTCTCCTTAAATATGGTTATGAAGACAATTTGCAGGAACTGCTAAGAGGTAACCTAAGAATCTTCAAGTACACAAAAAGAGATTGCGTGGGGGGAAAGAAACAGTTATTCTCATTTCCATTGAAGGGAGAACCAGAATAAATAGGCTTAATTTGAGCCAGCCTTAATTTAACTTGGGCTTCTCTATGAAAAATCAATCTCTTTTCAAAGGTGGGGGCTATAAAACACTCAACAATTTAGTTAAGGGGAATTCCAGCCTCTTTCCCTAGGTGGTTTGGGTGGAAGACTAGTCATCCATCAGTCTGATTTAGGCTCAAGCGAGAGATATGGAGAGCTAGATAAACACTTCTCTTTCAGACCTCTGATTAATGGGCTAAAGAGCAAAAATTGAAAACCAGCTATAAAGAGTGAAAATGTAACAGCACTGTGAAGTCACAGGTACTTAAGGATTGCTGTATAAGATAATACTGAGATGCTGCTTTTCATAGATCACTAATCCAAATTTGGAGGCACCATTTGGCCAGTCACAGAGTGGATGTCTATCTCAGATCAAAGCAGTCATGCTGTGCTTCTGTCAGCTCAAAGCCCGGTCAGATTTCAAAACCAAAGGAGTTTATACTCCCCTGATAGTACCATTAGAACTGTCTGGTCAAAGGAGAAAATGACCTTGTTCTTGGGCATCAGAGAATGTGAAAATCAAAGGGAGCAAAGGCAAAAATCTGGTATATGAAGCTTACCCATTTTTAAAGCTCCTACCTCATTTTGTTATTTCTTAATATGTAACTTATGGCCCATATGTAAGAGTAGAAAAGACAGTATTATACGTATCACTTTAGTACATTTTCTTTTTGACATTGAAACAAATTAAACTTAGCGTATGGAACTACCAAGCATCAAAATCTCTACCTCCACTAAAGTGCTTATCAGTATCATAAACAAACCTTTAAAGCTCTGGCATCGCTTTCATCTGAATCCCGGAATTCCACACAGACCGCAATGTTCCTTGCCTATAACGATTAATCATTCCAAGTGAGTCACAGAATGAGAAGATTATAAATAACATTTTATATCCCAAAATGTACAGTTTGCACTGTTTACCTTGGCAAATGTTTTCTGGCCATCATACTTTAATTGCAAGGGATATACATACAGATGGTTTTTGTAAATGGTAAATGGATAACAATATTTTGTCACTTCTGGAACAAATTCTTCAACCTCCACAGTAATATTTTGACAATTTTTTTCGAAAGGCTTCAGGGGCACATATGAAGAAGTAATACAATCTACAGCCAAAAATAAAAAACAGGTAAAGACAATGCAATTTAAAAATCATTAACACATTCCTCCATTTATAAAAATATACATTGTGTTCACTAAGTGATTTTTAAAAATGTTTTTATTTTAGAGAGAGAAGGGAGGGGGGAAGAAAGAGAAAGAAACATGGATGTGAGAAAGAAACATCAGTTGGTTGCCTCCTCTATGCACCTCAGGAATCAAACCCAAAACCTGGGTATGTGCCCTGACTGGGAATCAAGTCAGCGACCTTTCAGTACATGGGATAATGCTCAGCCAGCTGAGCCACAATGGCCAGGGCTCAAAGAGTGATTTCAAAAACAGAATTCTCAGTGATTGACAAAAAGTCATACAACCACTTTAAGAATCCCCAAATAAAAGCTTGAGTAGCCTGATGATGGTTTCATTGGAACCCTTCAAACTAGACATGGATTGCTATTTCATTCTCAATGTACAGTAGACTGCTTTGCCAAATATAACACATTATAATTTTGACAAATTTAAACTCTGCAAAGAAATCCATTTCACTTTTGGTCCTGGAGCTGCAATTTTGCTTTCACTGCAAAATTTTATTGGTATCAGGAAAATAACAGTAAATTTATGCCTCCAATTAGCTCATGGCCAGGCACTTTTAAAAAGTTAACTTGGTGCAGGTGCAAATTTTCACCTAAGACATAATGGAAGCCTTTTGAAACTACAGATCTTATGATGTGTTACCAAAAATAAATTCAATACTCCTGAGCATAAAAAGTGTAGCCGCATAGTTTATTGAAGTAGCCACTGTACTAAAGGTTATTGATATATTTAAGGGCTTTATGACTGCTTGTCCTTGCTGCAAACTCATATTGATGGAGAAGGAAGATCCAGCAAGAGTAGGACCTGGGAACACAGTATTTTTTTTTGGGGGGGGGGGGAGTTCTCTGATTATTATAGCAATACTTATAATAAAATATCTGGAGTAAAGGTACGCAGACACATGTGATCATTCCACTATCCAGAGATAACTACTGTTAATATTTTGGCATAATTTCTTCTAGTCTTCTTCCTATGCATGTTTTAAATAATAATAATAATAATAGTAATAATTAATAATTAAAAAACTACTATATATAAAGAACTTGATCCTCTTTTGGGGGTATTTTTAGCTATGTCTTATTTCATAAACTCTTTTTTTTTTCATGGTTGCATAAAGTTTCATGACATTGTAGTACCAATAATTGCCTTACCCTATGTGACAGTGTTGTACTCTGGTTGTTTCCAATTTTCTCCCAATATAAACAATGCTGCAAAGAAAATCTTTATGCATAAACTGTCTAAATTTTATATTATTTCTATAGGAAAAATAAACCATTATACTCTTAGATGTTTTAATATGTAAATTGCTACTCCCCTACTTACAATCCTTCCCTGACTTTTCACTGCACTTGGAATAAAATCCAATCTTTTTTTGTGTGTTTGTTAATCCTTACTCAAGGATACTTTTCCATTGATTTTTTATAGAGAGTAGAAGGGAGGGGGAGAGACAAGGAGAGAGAAACATTGATGTGAAAGAGACATATCAATTGGTTGCTTCCCGCATGTGGCCCTGGTCGGGGTACCTGGATCAGCCTGCAACAGAGGTACATGCCCTTGACCGGAATCCAACCTGGGACCATCTAGTTCCTAGGCTGACACTCTATCCACTGAGCCAAAATGGCTAGGGCTAAAATCCAACTTATTAAGAAGTTACCATGGTCTATCCAGGCGTCCTCAAACTTTTTAAAGTGGGGGCCAGATCACGGTCCCTCAGAGAGCTGGAGGGCCGGACTATATGAACTACTAATTCCTACTGTAACACCTCGGCTGCGCTCACTGCCCAAAAAACCTGGCGGGCCGGATCAGACTCCTCTGCGGGCCGCATGTGGCCCGCGGGCCGTAGTTTGAAGACGCCTGTTAATTCCCTGCATGATGTGACGCTTTCCACTTCTCCTATTTCATCTTATGTCCCCCATGTTCCCATTAGACACCACACTAGAACCACCCTGGCTTCCTTTCTGTTTATATAAGCCAAGCTTTTTCCCACTGCAATGTCTTTTCATATGCAATGCATGCTGGTTGGGCCACATGATAGGCATTCCTTGGCCATCTTTTTGAAAGCAACCCATCCCAATCATAGACTGAAATTAGTAACTTGTTTTCCTATTCACTCCTTCAAGACTTTAACCTCCATAATTTTAAATCATCTAGTAGGTATTGAATGTTTACTGAATAAATCCTTATTCAGTGAGAAAATGGATAGATAGAATCTCAGTTAGAATGCCTTAGTTACGGACTTCTATAGGTATCTATTGCCAAATTATACTCCTATGGGTGACGGTGTTTGGCCAAAATGAAGCTAGAATCAGATGGCTTCACTTTAAACATTTTTGTAAATTTGATAGATGAGCAAAAGCTGTTTTAATTTGCATTAGTGGCATTATTATTAAGACTGAACATTTTCAAATATTTACTAGCCACTTAATTTTATTTTCTACAAAGTGTCTTTTATGTCTTCTGTTCATTTTCTCCTAGGATTTTAGACTGCTATCTGTAGACAAGAAAAGAACATCTTCTTTTGATCCCTTAGTTGATGAAAGTTATCCCTGGCAAAAGGCAGCAGAAAATGACTGGGGCACACTCACAACAGCATATATTATACACTGAGTGGGAAGATTATTATGATCTCTGAACACATAATAATCTGGCCACTCGGTGTATTTCTCTTGAGTACCTCATTTATTTGATATCAAAGTACTATATATAAATCATGCACCTGATCAGTTTTCCCCTTTGGACTGGCTGATAGAAAGCTCAGGGCAAATAGGTGGTTGTTCTCCAGCAAAAGTCTAGAATACTTTTGGTACCCATTTGAGATACAAATACACTGAGTGGCCAGATTATTTTGCATTCAGAGATCATAATAATCTGGCCACTCAGTGTATATGAAATAGCATCTTATACAATCAATTTTCTGTAACTATTCATCATGTATATTGGGTTGAATTAGTGTCCCACTTTCCCCCCTCCCCCAAATTCATGTCCACCAGAACCTCAGAATGTAACCTTATTTGCAAATAAGGTCTTTGCAAGATGTAATTATTTAGGATGAGGTCATACCAGATTAGGATGGACCCTAAATCTAACAACTGTAGATTGTAGAGGTAGAGAAAGGAGTGATGCAGCTACAAGCTGAGGCTGCCAAGGATTGCCCAGCGTCAGTAGAAGCTATAGGAGGAGGCAAGGAATGGTTCTTATTTAGAGGATCAGTAAGAGAATTCATTGGGAGCACAGCCCTGTTGACACCTTGATTTTGACTTCTAGCCTCCAGAACTATGAGGGGGGGAAAATCTGTCATCTTAAGCCACCCAGTTTGTAATACTTTCTTACAGCAGCCTCAGAAAATGAATAAAACATGTAAACCTCGAGAAAAATATTGCAAAGGTAAAATTCTAAGATTCAAACATAGCCAGTAAGGTTTATTTGCAATACATGAGTTCTTACTTGATAAATCCACAGGAACACATTCTACTGTGATGTTTAGCTGCCCAGGAATAATCTGCAATTTGGTCTTCTCTGGCCTATGTATAAAATAAGAATATTTTATACTTAAAAATTATGATTACCATGTATCCAAACTTAAAATTTTTAAGCATTCAGTTTCTCCCATAGAGAGTGGGGCAAAAGTAGGTTTATAATTTCAGATTACACAAAACAGATTATTCTTTTACTATTTAGTATTGTATTATTTTCCATACAAAAACTATAAATCTACTTTTGCCTTATCATGTATGTGACTCACATTCATCATTTTAAGAAATTAGAATTCTATTATATTTCCTGCAGTAATTCCACACACTTACTTCTTGTACTCTGAGAGCAACTTGAGAATGTCCTCATTTGAAAGCTTACTACTGTCTTGTTTATACAAAGGAGAAAATCTCCCATCCAGGTCCAGAGAGCCTTGAGTGTCTTTGAAAATAGGTCTAAATAGCAACAAAAAGGGTTTTTAATTTTTTTTTTTACAGGATTGATACATAACAATAAAATTAGGGCTAGTAATATAAAATTGTGAAAATAGTTTGGCAGTTTCTCAATAAGTTAAGCATGCACCCTCCCTATGATTCTATAATTCCACCCCTAAGATTATAAGCATAATTCCACATAGTACATGAATGTTCATAGTAGATTTATTTGTTACAGTCCCAAACTGGAAACAATCCAGATATTAATCAGAGAAGCATCTAACAGACCATCAAACCTCAGAGGGAAGGTAGGAGAGGGTGAGAATAAAGAGGAGAGATCAACTAAAGGACTTGTATGCATGCATATAAGCCTAACCAATGGACACAAACACCAGGGGTGAGGGCATGAATGGGGAGGAGGGGGAGCAATGAGGGGATAAGGACACCTTAATCAATAAAGAGTGTAAAAATGTGACTGGATAAGCAAATTGTGGTATATTCATACAATGAACTGCTACTCAAAATGAACAATTGAAGCATACAAAAATATGGATGAATCTCAGAAACAATAAAATATAAGGATACATGAATAGATCAAAGTCATCTATAGTAATAATCAGATTGGTGGTTGCCTGGGTAGGGGTGGGATGGCTAATTGGACAGAACGGTGTGGAAACTTTCTGGAGTGACTGACAATTTCTCTATTTTAGTTGGGATGGTAGTTACATGACTATATACATTTGGGAAAATTCATTAAGTTGGACATATAAAATGTGTACATTTTTATCAAAGGTAACAGATATCTCAAAGTTGACAGAACAGAAACTAGAACTTTAAGATCAATTTATATAGAGTTTATAATATATATGTAGAATTTCCAATATAAATTTGATTATTTCCTCTCCTAGCCCCTCTCCCATTTTAAGCAGCTATTTTACCGCAAAAAAAAAAAAAAAAAAAAAAAAAAAGGAAGTAATGTGCAGGTATCCAACACCGAAATAGCTATAGTCAGAAACATAGTTTCCCAGGCAGAGCCTCTGAAGATGTGGTCATAGGCATTAACCACTGTTCCTACTTCTAAGCACACATCCTTTATTTTCAGTAAACAAAGGTTTATCATACATCTTTTAAATACCCCAGCCAGGCCTGTAGAGTGAGTTCCTGCTACTGATGACAGCCAAAATAATTTAGGAAGGAAAAATGGAGTAATTCCTCATCAGAACTGGGGATCAAAGCTTCTAACTTTGAAGATTTTAAAATTAATTTTCCTATTGGCAAAACAGCATCAAGCAGCTACTGCTATGGCCTGAAGGGGGCGCAGTGTGCAATAGCGGTCTAGAGTAGGCTTTGAAGTCAGGAGCCATGGGTTCTGATCCCTGCTGACACAAACTTGGGCAGAAACTTTGTTTTACTTTTGTGCCTCAATTTCCTCATCTCTAAGGGGATAACAGTATCCACCTCTTAAGAACATGTAAACTAATTATTTAGACTGCCTTATACAGAGTTAGCACTCAATAGGTATAAATAATAACAGCAGCAACAGCAATTGACTTTTCAGGCTGGGGCATCACTAAGGATGCTTATATTAACAAAGTCATATGTCACCTTATATAATGCCTAACCATACCACTTTCCCCTACTCTTTGTCATTCACCTATCCTTGGCTATAATTTTTAATCATTCTGTAAAACAAGGACAATGTGCCTTTTCATCTACCAACATACAATGCATTTTGGGACCTTCCCCAAAAACGAAATGATTATAAATAGTGACAGAAGTGTTCATTAACTTAGAGTCTCCTACTCTTATGCTACTCCCAGCACACACAGAAAATAATTGATTGAATTATTCAGAATGTGGTGCCCTTTCCCCAGTTCTAGTGAGATGTTGTACAGGCTGTACCACAAACAAGCCAATGAACCTGCACTTCAAAGATGGAATAAGCAAGAAACACATTTTAAGTCACCAATGTATGTAGATTTCCAATATTTGGGTGGGGGGTGGCTCATGTATGTCTACCATAGGATGTGGTGTAGATCAGCGGTCGCCAACCTTTTGGACCTCACAGACTACCAGTGGTCTGTGGACCACCGGTTGGCGACTGCTGGTATAGATAACACATTTCCAAATAAATACACACACTACCTCTAAGGAGCTTACCGAATTAGTCATTAGAAAGAAAAAAATCTGTTAATTACAGACTTGCACTTAACAACTGCATTTTTTGCCTTCTCATTTTTGGTATGTTTTCTAGAATTATTTTATGCTAGTTTTTCAAAGCATAAACCCAGTCAACTCTTGAAATAGTGGGCATACTGTTCTTCATTTACGATAATTTCTGGTTTTCTGAAAAGAATTTCCATCACATAAGCAAGTTATCTCTGCTTTAAAGCACAATATAATTAAGTGGTGTCAGTGAGATCAGTAATCCAAGCCAAAGAAAATTTCCCTAAAGTGAGATATATGATAAAGGGTCTTTGATGTAAATCAAATTCTAAGACAAAGAACTCTTATATCCTGTTATGTACTGAATGTTTGTATCACACACACACACACCCCAAGTTCATACGTTGAAGCCTAATCCCAAAATGATTATATTAGGATGATTAGGTCCTAACGGTGGAACCCTCATGAATGAGATTAGTGACCCTGTAAGAACAGACCAGAGAGCTTGCCTGTCCCCTTTCTACACCATGAGGACACAAAGCAGTCAGCTGTCTCAAACCTGGAAGAGAGTCTCACCAGAACCTGATCATACTGGCATTCTGATCTTGACTTCCAGCCTCCAGACTTGTGAGAAATAAATGTTTGCTGTTTAAGGCATAAACCTTTTGCTTAAATATTTGTTGTTTAAGCAGGTAATTTGTTATAAGAACCCCAAGGGACTAGGACATATCTCAGGTGCCCCAAAGCATAACTGGCAAATTATAACTTGGTTTGTCAGAAACAAACTGCTGACTGCTTCTAGCAAAAACAACATCTTTCAAATTCACATATGAGTGTGATGAGAAGGGTCCGGATTACATATGTACACACCTGGCAGCCCAGGCAAAGGGCATTCTGTATTGTCCGAGGCGGCTGCACACTTGCTTGGCTGTCCTATGTACCTTCTGGGCCGTCTAAGGTCAGAAATAAGAAGATAGGCTCATATTTGTTCAAACCACCAGGGATTCCCCCCAAAATAATTTCCCCAACTTAATCTAATATAAAATACCAAAATTTAGAGGAAAAAAAATATTCAAACAGCCACAAATAAAACACAACACACATCGGCTACACACTTTCCAAGACCAAAGCTGTATTTCTTAAAGGTTTTGTGTTTTTCCATTGACAGAGCCTTCATCAAGATATCATTTAAGCAGTTTAAATGTATATTTCTTTTCACACATGAGCAGAGAGACACTGGACATTCTTGGAAGAAGTGGACATAGTTGACCTTTTTACTCCCAAGCTAAAAGGCAAGTGACCGAGAGTCAATACAATTTGTTTTGCATGGGCAGGAGCCACTATATGCAGCGGCACCGGGAGATAACAAAGGATATTATCTGCCTATAGAATATCTGCCTGTGAAATGCTGGCTGCATACTTATCATCAGGGATAGAGATGCTAGAAGCTTTTATCTATATCGAGACCTTTTTTCCTTCACAACTTAGCCAAATGTGTCCTCAGCATCTTCCACTTCATAAACACTGTTCAAATGCGCAAGTAAATGCCACGTAGAACAGATGAACTCTTCATAAATACTCAGTAGCTGGAGAGCTGCTAATGAACTGTGCCACAAATACATTCCCTCTCTGGGCGTCAGTTTTCTCATTTACAAAATGAGAAAAGAGGATTCGATCAATAATTTCCCTAAGTTTAGATGTCAGGGTCCAGAAATATGGGTGATTATATGGGTTACTGACTTTCAATGTTGCCATTTAAATACTACAAGACATAGTAAAAACCCCTACCATTTAATGCACCAACATTTCATGAAGGATAGATAGGAGGAATGATTACAAAATGGCAAGGGCAAAAATCTCTGAATAAAAAAGCCCTTTGAATTGAATACATTGAGCTTCATGACCCACTCACTATCTCATCTTTCTTTTCTCACTTCATCTTCATACAGGAGTAAATTTGAGTACAGATTGGCTTTTGGAAACTATAGAACTGGATCAACTTTACCATTCCACCTCTGATATTCTAGGGCTGGGTGTAAAAAAAAAAATTAAAAAGTGGCTATTGCCAAGGATATAGTGTCAATGAACAGATGTTGCTGAAAAACCTTTAGCTCTTATTTTGATAAGGCAGCAGAAATCAGATTGTCATGTAAACAGAACATAAATATTAAGGGGAAAAAAGTCATGTTCAAGCTTTAGCATGCATAGTCACATAGCCAGGATGCAATATTTTCATATTAAACTACATGCTGAGTGTAAGCTAGTGGGGTGTCATTGAAAATCCCATTTACCAATAGAATGTCAGTAAAAGGCAAGTTCTACATGAAGCCGAAATGTTCACAGATGACCTTTATAAATACCTTTGCTGGGTCTGAATTTTTTATGTAAGGCTCTGCACAGTGTGCTATGTTGCCCTGGAGCACCTTCTCAATTCGAGCAACCAGAAGAATTTCAGGATGTGGAATCGTCACTGAGAAAATTCCCTAGGGAAAAAAATTATGTCCATTAAGACTTTTTTTTATGTCATCACTTACATACAATTGTTAAGGATTTCTTATAGTGTGTTTAGTATAGGATGTTGGTAGTCAACATAGACTCATGTCTGGCACTATGGCAATAGATAACAGTTCCTTTCAAACCATTTCCAACTCCCAATGTTCCTTCCAAATGGATTTCCTATTTTGTCACCAATTTCACATCTATTAGTCTCAAAAGTGCAGGTGGTCATGCTTGCTTGCTGCTTAGCCTGTGTTTAGCTGTTTGCAAGGTGCATTGTTGGATCTCATTAATACAATGTGTGCTGTTTGGCTTAATTGGTGTATGCTAAAATACTGTGCATTTCTCAAATGAAACTGGGCATTTTTTATTTTTTGTTAATCTTCACCCAAGGATATTTTTCCATTGATTTTGAGAGAGAGTAGAAGGGAGAGGGACAGAGAGAGAGAGAAACATCAATGTGAGAGAGACACATATATCGATTGCCTCCCACACACGCCCCGATAAGAGCATGTGCCCAGAACAGGGCCAGGGATCCAACCTACAACCAAGGTACGTGCTCGCGACAGGAATCAAACCTGGAGCCCTTCAGTCCTCAGGCCAGTGTTCTATCCACTGAGCTAGGACTGGATAAGCATTTTTAAATGTGTTGCATGTGACTCCAGAGTAATTCAGTCACAAGTAATGCTGACTGCAGCTAAGAGGAAGAAAATAGACGGTACTGGTCTGTGTAACAGTTTTCAAACTGCATAACGTAAAAACTAAATCATCCTATAGAAAGAATCCCTGTGTGACAGGTAAAGAGCTTTGGGGCTTTCAATATAAAGGTAAGGGACATAGGATCCAAACTACATTTTGTTCCTATGCGCTTTACTTAAGGGTACTAAGGTAGACGCAACCAAAGATACAGAGGTTTTCTCTGGGTGCATGTGGAACAACCATATACCCTGTCCAGCTCAGCTCTTTCAAAATATAATGCCTTCCAAACAGCCTGTTAGTTGATTATGTCTGCTGTTTAAAGGAGCATCACACCAAGGAATTCAAATGGAAAAATCCACTATTGGGACTCTTATCAAGTTTTGTTTTTCTACTTGGTATATTACCAGCTGTGTTAAGATAATGCTTTCCAGTTTTCAAAGCATTTCAGACACATTATTTCATTTGTGCCAGATAGAACCCTCTGAGGTAGACAGAGCAGAAGAGAAAAATGAGTGCAAGGTGTTATGTAATTCCTTCCATAGTCCAAAAGCTTGTAAGGAGCCCAGGTTAACAGCTGATACAGTTTTGAATTCCTAAGAAACAAGCATGGAATGAAGTGGTTAAAAACTGTTTGGTAGCTAGGATTTGGAAACAGCCTAGGTGCCCGTCAGCAGATGATTGGATCAAAAAACTATGGTACATTTACAATGGAATACTATGCTGCCATAAAAAAGAAGGAACTCTTACCATTTGCAGCAACCTGGATGGAATTGGAGAACATTATGCTGAGTAAAATAAGCCAGTCAATGAAAGAGAAACACCACATGACCTCACTCATTTATGGATTATAAAGAACATTATAAACTGATGAACAAAAAGATAGATACAGAGATAGTAAAGCAACAAACAGACTGTCAAATTACAGCGGGGAGGATAGGGAGATATGGGGGAGATAAGAGATCAACCGAAGGACTTGTATGCATGCATATAAGCACAACCAATGGACGAAAAACTCGGGGGGGGGGGCATGTACGCGCATGGGGGAGGTGCAATGGAAAGATATGTACACATATAATACCTTAATTAAAAAAAACTGTTTGGAAGCACAATTTCCTGGTCTCGAATTCTGGCTCCACCATTTACGGGGCTTAGGCAAGTCAGATCCTCTCTACGTCCCTGGTTCCTCGTCTATGAAATGGGGATGGTGATAGTACTAGCTACTGAGACTCCTATGGATTAAATTAAGTCATGCACATTGATACCTGGTTATTACTAGAGTGGCCCAAAGTATCGCAAGATCACAGAACTGGATTTCCACTACTGCCAGGAACACGCTGCTCGAGCTGTGGGATGCGGCTGGCAGACTGCCTCAAGTGTAATTTCATTCGTACTGATTGTCATGTAACTGTGCTAGATAGTTTTCATGCATTATCTCAGTCTTCATAAAAACCCTCAAAGAAGGCACTACGATGTATATAGTTTTTAAAATATATTTTATTGAATTAAGAAAGGAAAGGAGAGAGATAGAAACATCAATGATGAGCGAGTCATTGATTGGCTGCCTCCCGTATACCTCCTATTGAGGACAGAGCTTGCAACCTGGGCATGTGCCCTGACCTGAAATCGAACTGTGACCTCCTGGTTCATAGGTCAACACTCAACCACTGAGCCACACTGGCTGGACGATAATACATATTTTAAAGATTAAGAAATTGAGGCTTAGAGAGGTTTATGTAGCAAGTAAGTGAGCAAAAAAGACTGTGGCCAGGGCTTTCAGACTATACAGCCCATGCTATACTGCCTCTCAACCTCAGGGCCCCTGCAGCCAACATCTCATGCAATGAGGCTGGATGAGAATAGAATACTGAATACTGCTGTAGCTAACGTCCACTGAGTACCTTTATTCCCATTCCATGTACTCTCAGCATTTCCCCACATTGACTATGCCAGTTAGGAGTATTATGATCTGAAACAACTTAACAATTGATAAGAACAAGCTGTTTTTACTCATTTATCTGTGATTACTATTACTGCTGCCCCTACTAGCAGCCACACAGAACTGAGCAAACATGGTGGGCCTGGTCCAGTGGTGAGTGATCTCCAGGATGGCATGCCTTGTCTGATCCTCTCAGCAGCCCTGGGATGCAGGTACTAAAGTAACCTGCAGTTTACAGATGAGGATGCTGAGGCACAAAGATGCTCAATTTTAAAAATATTTTTATTGATTTTTTTACAGAGAGGAAAGGAGAGGGATAGAGAGTTAGAAACATCGATCAGCTGCCTCTTGCACACTCCCTACTGGGGATGTGCCCGCAACCAAGGTACATGCCCCTGACCAGAATCGAACCTGGGACCCTTCAGTCCGCAGGCCAATGCTCTACCCCACATGTATCAAACACAAGGCCCGCGGGCCAAATCAGTCCCGCCAGGCCTTGCAATGTGGCCCGCACCGCGCTGTCATCACTGCACTCCGCTGCGTTTCCATCACAATGACAGTTTATGACTGTTCAGTAAACCATTCGGCCCGCGATTTAGGCTGGATTTTAGATTTTGGCCCCTTCTCTGATTGAGTTCGACACCCCTACTCTACCCACTGAGCCAAACAGGTCAGGGCAAGATGCTCAATTTTTAACTGACCAGGGATTCCAGTACAGGGGGATATTCTCTGGAGCTGTTCTGCCTTTGGTCCAATTAGCTTCTAGCCTTGCCATCCCCAAAACACAGAAGGAGAGCCAGAGAGAGTCCAGGAAGCCCACACATGGGCTGGGAGTCTGCCCTTTTGGACAAGGCCTCTGGTACAGCCCTCCTTTCCCACTAAGGAGGAATAAACTGCACCCCCCCCCAAACACAGGGTGACTGTTACTCATTTCAATGTTCCCTCCCTCAAAAAAATAAGGCAGGTCCCCGAGACCCCTGCACTTACATAGCCCCCTGAGGCATGGCAAGACATGCAGTGGGAGGGGGGGGTAGCTCTGTACCCTTTCACCAATCCAACAGCTGCTACCTTCTAGTAGGGAACCTAGAGCCACAGGGAGGCAACCCGCAAGAGTCAGCAGCTCCCCCACAACCCTGACTCAACCTTGGGGGACATGGAGCAGTGAGCTCTACCAGGTTATCTGGGAACAAACTGCCAGGAGGCTAAGAGTAAAGTGACTGCTCACAGTGGCTGTTTGGTGTCAGGGAAGCAAAACTACTGGATGGAGCCAACTTCCTCCATTTCCTGTGGTCACCCCGTGGCTCCTCAGAAAGCCACTGGAGGGCAAGACTAATGAGCAGGTGGGGAGAGCCTAGAATGGTCCCAAAACACTCAATATCCACCAAACCCTGGAAGCTGCCTGTCCCTATAGATCAGTGGTTCTCAACCTTTCTAATGCCATGACCCTTTAATACAGTTCCTCGCATTATGGTGACCCCAACCATAAAAATATTTTCGTTGCTACTTCATAACTGTGATTTTGCTACTGTTAATGAATCGTAATGTAAATATCTGTGTTTTCCAATGGTCTTAGGTGACCCTGCTAGCAATTCATGACCCACAGGTTGAGAAATGCTAGCAGGGCCACCTAAGACCATTGAAAAACACAGATATTTACATTACAATTCATAACAGTAGCAAAATTACAGATATGAAGTAGCAACGAAAATAATTTTATGGTTGGGGGTCGCCACAACATGAGGAAATGATTAAAGGGTCAACAGCATTAGAAAGGTTAAGAAGCACTGCTCTAGGGTTACATGAGAGCAGTACAGTACAGGGGTAAAAACATGGGCTTTTTAGGGAGCCTTCTAGACCTAGGTTCATGTCCTCTTTCTCATCTATTAGCTCTGTGACCTTGGGCAAGCCACTTGACTCTTCTGTGGTCAGTTTCCTCATTTACAAAACGGGGATAGTAATAGTATCTAGCTACTTTACTGGGGTGTTGTGAGAATTAAATGACTTCATACAGATAAATGCCTAGCGAAATATATCAGCAATAATAAGTGCTTGAATAGTTGTTATTGCTGGAAAGTGGTTGAGCTGAGGTCTGCTAACACTAAGTCTCTCTCACATAGTACTGTTTCCTCATCCTAAATGGGAAGAAGTTAAGAAAAAGACTTATTCCAAATAAAATGTTCAACTCTTTGAAGTAAATGACCATTTCCTGGTGCCTTCAGCTGATTTGAAAGAGGGTTCAAAATGATAAGGCCCTTTGAGGCCACTGCCCATCATTCTTACCTGCCCAGCTCTCCTCTATTCCTTTGAGGCCTCTTTCGAGCCCCACATCTTCTGTGGAGTCGTCTAAGTGAACACCTGACCACTGATCCCTCCTCACATTCTAAACTCTTCTACTACCATTATGCTATATACTTCAGCACTGAATTGCACCCTGCCTAACATTGTTGAGGTCTTTCACACAGGCCTAGGTTCAAATCCTGATGATAACACTACTGGCTCTCTAATGGTGGGCAGCTTACTTAACCCCCCTGAACTGCAGTTCCCTCATTTGCAAAACAGCAAAACACTCTATTTCAGGAGAGTGTGATGATTCCATGAGACACCAGTGGAAAATTCTGGCACACAGGAGATATTCAAAACATGCTGGTTTTCTTCCTGACTTAGATTACAAGTGGGATGACACCCAGAAGCACAATTTAAACTTCTCGCATTGAACATACAACTAAGTACATTGAAGTAATACAGTAAACACATTGTTGGCTTAAAAGGACTTATTTGATATCATGTGGGGAATTTTAAACATACAATTCAATAGCAAATTCTCAAATATTTATCCCACTGACCCTGCTGAATCTCTCTTTTAGAAGCACAGGCCATTTTGTGGAATGTACACATATAAGACAGCTATAGTCTGAGTAACAAACGAAGGGGCCATAAGGGAACAAGGGGCAATGGACAATGCAGGAAAAAGCTACAAAGATCTGTAGCCCAAAGAGGGTAGTAACATCACATGTAAAGTCTTCCCCTGCCATTTAGCAGTCTACCATATTAGCCTTTAAGAATGTGACTATCTAGAAATTTGATAAAGAATGATAACCATGTTGAATGAATACAGTAGGTACAAAACAGCATGAATATGATACACAACATGTATAGTCTTATACAAACTGTATGTGTTTACATATACACACAATAGAGCTGTCCAGAAAAATATTTGCCAAAATATTAATAACTACCATCTATGGCTGGTGATTTTTACTTTCTTCTTTATACTTTTTGTATTGTTTGAATTTTCTATATGATAATGTGTTTATAATCAGAAAATAAGAACATTTTTATTTTGGGAAAAAATAAATCTCCTTACAATGTGAGCTGCTTTGTTCTTCCTACTCTAATTCTTTGCCTCACTCTATAGTTTCCTTTCAGTTGCAAAAGTCCAGGAGGCAATTAGTTCTGCTCTGCCTAAACTCTTATAGCTGCCACTCTGGTCAGAGGTCAAATGCCAGGGAACTGTTAGGCTCTTTCTAAAGGAGATTCTTTGCACAGACAGGACAGAAGAGAGTAGCATTACAGCAGTAACACAGCAGTTCCCTCCCATTGCTTTTCAACCAGAACTCCTTGTATAAAGAGCCTTTACGCTCCATTAAAACTATATACTCATAATGGAAATAGGAATTAGAGATGGGAGGTCAATGTAAGGTCACTGTTTCTTCAAAGAAACAAGGCTCTAAGGCACCTATTGCCTTGCTCAGAAGTATGTGCATGGGTATACATGTGTGCATGCATACATGTATGTATGTCTCTGTGTCTCTGTGTGTGTATCTATGTGATCTTAAGTCAATGTCACAAAACACTTTTGAGACTCACATCATAATCCCAATTAAAATGTTACTTCGCAAGTATATTACTAGCATACTTATTTTCTGTTTTTTCTTTAATTTCAGTCACTAGAAAAACACCTATACACAGACCTTACAAGATATAAAAGTCCATAACATTGTCCTTAACCATGAAATAACCCAAGGATGTTTCTGTTTCTTATTCTAAAAGATCATTGTTTACCTGCTTTACATAGCGTAACTGAGACTCAGCAATTCCATGAATGAAAGACTCCGGTGAAGAGCTTTTTGCATTTCCATCACTGGCTAGTTGGGTTGAAGTACTCCACAGCATTTCACGAACAGAAGGGGGATTCAAATCTATGTGGAAGTCAGCTGAAATCTTACAATTGTTCCTCACATCAAATAAGGCAAGATTGATAAAAAAGGGTTCAACCTGGGAATGAAGACAATTCCAATTTTAAACTAAAATGGCTTTTTTAGGTGGAGTGTGTGAAGGGACACAAATTACAAAAATTTTTATTCCTCAAGTTTCTGTGATTACACTTTCTGAGTTCAGCATTTAGCTAAAATTGCATTAAAGCTCATTTGCACATAAGAAAGAATATTCTAAATAATAGGCCTACAAATTTTGACTTTTGTCAGGTATAAATAATTTCACCAGTTATAATTTTTCAATTGATGAGTAGAAATCAGAAGTCAAATTTAAAGCACACCAACTGTTCTACAAATAAAATTTAATTTTCTATAGGTTTATTGAAGTTGCCCCAAAATAATGCCAATATTATAGAATCAAAATAAATCATCCCTTTTGTTATGTTACAGCTTACTGGATTTACATTTCATAGGAGCTAATAACAGTCAACATCAAATTCTTGACAAAAGCTTTGTTGCCCCATCAGCAGTTTTGGAAAACATGATTCCTCTCTACAGATGGCATTTGAAAGCTGGTCACAAAGAGAAATTTCATGCCAGATGGCAAAAAGATTAACCCTTTACACACAGAAAGTCTGCTAGTGAGTTTCAGCTACATTGTAAGAGAGAATAAATAATTGTGGATATTTTTCAAAGATAACACTAGAATAAAAAATCAAGCTGGAAATATTATATTTATAGTTTCAAGAATTTCTGAGCAACTCAAATGATCCGTAATAGCTAATAATTAGAATTTTCTGTGCAGAACAAAATTAATTCACTCTGAGAACAGTGAATGAGGCTGACTGCACAACATCTGGACCCCTGCATGGCTTTCGTGTTCATTACTCATGGCTATGAGACAATTTCACAAAAGTCACATTCTCTAGTAGAATTTACAAATTTGAGGGTTTACCAGGTTCTGGGGATGTGTCTCTCTTGAATGTCAGGAGCCTATAATATTTGCTTTTTGAATAGGAAAATTTTTCACAAATCTTTCAAGATGAAGATATATTCACATTTTGGCAAAAGAAAGACATAGTATATAAAATTCTTCCATGCCAAATGTATCAAAACATGTAGCAATAAGATTTTCATTCAGTAAATTAGTTCTCAGTTATAAAAAATTAAAATGTTTTCTTAATGCACTGGTTTAGGGGAAACAGAAGGAAAAGTCATACATACATTTGTGGGCGGTCCTTTTACATTGTCTCCAACTTGACCCAAGATGTTAAAAGTTAAATCATGGCAATTCACCAGGAAACGTTTATTATACTTTTCTTCAAATGGCTTTATATCAGGTTCAATTCCTGAAAAGTCCAATCTCTACAAAATAGATAATATGAATTATTTCCAAAAGAAAATCGGATTCATATTAGTATTGATGCATGAGTAAAAATTGCAGTACCCAACAGTTCTCTGTCCATTCTTCATTTGAGTCCTTTTTATTTTTTCATTCAACAGCTTTTGTAAAGCTCTTTGACTAAGGTTTAAATACCATTAAAGAAATTTTGGAGGGAGATGAGACTATAGACTCTGATCTAAGACAAAGAAAAAGTCACAGTGTACTCTGACCTACAAAGCCCTATACATCATGGCTTCCTACCTACCCCCACTCCTCTGACCTGATTCCCTACCACCCTTGCCTTTTCCTCTACCCTCTCTGTACCAGTCACACAGGCACCTTAGTTGTTTCACTAGCACAAGTATACTCCCACCCAGGACCTTTGCACTTGCTATTCTGTCAGGAACCCTCTTTCCCCAGACAGACAGATGGCTTACTCTATTTCATTCAACTGACACTTCCAGAAATCTCCCTTAACTCTCTATAAAAACTGCACATACTCTAAGAGTCTACTCTCCTTTCCTTGATTTATCTTTCCAACATTTTTTTAAATATTTACTCAGGTGTTCACTGTCTGTTTTCTCCACAAAATATATGTTTTGAGAACGGTAGGAGCTTTGATTCTTTTATGAGCTGTACAGGAGGCAAAATTGACATGAATGGACATGGGAGGAATCAAGAATTATACAATGGTCTCTACCCTGGAAGGTTTAATGGACTGTGATGTTATGAACTTAACTGTGAAATAAAGATGGGAGGAGAATGAGTACAGATGACTTCAGTTTGGGATGTGTTGAGTTTGAGGTGATGTAAGTGGTTGGAAAAACAGGAGAGGTCTGGGCTGGAGATCTGGATTTGGGAGTCAGTGGCAACCAGATTGAGAAGGAGGATAAAATGGGAATGCAGACTGGTGCAACCACTGTGGAGAACAGTTTGGAGTTTCCTCAAAAAACTGAAAATGGAACTCCCATTTGACCCAGTAATCCCACTCCTAGGAATATATCCCAAGAAACTAGAAACACCAATCCGAAAGGATATATGCATCCCTATGTTCATAGCAGCACAATCTACAATAGCTAAACTTTGGAAACAGCCTAGGTGCCTGTCAGCAGATGATTGGATCAAAAAACTATGGTACATCTACACAATGGAATACTATGCTGCCATAAAAAAGAAGGAATTCTCATCATTTGCAGCAACCTGGATGGAATTGGAGAACATCATGCTGAGTGAAATAAGCCAGTCAATTAAAGAGAAACACCACATGACCTCACTCATTTATGGATTATAAAGAACATTATAAACTGATGAACCAAAAGATAGATATAGAGACAGTAAAGCAGACTGTCAAATTACAGCAGGGAGGGTAGGGAGATCTGGGGGAGATAATAGATCAACCGAAGGACTTGTATACATGCATATTAGTACAACCAATGGACACAAAACTCTGGGGAGGGAGGGTGTTTATGGGAGGGGGGGGCAATGTTAAAATATGTACACAGATAATAATTTAATAAAAAAATATTTAAAAAATAAAAAATAAAATAAAATAAAACAGAAGGAGGAAAAAGCTGGAACCCTAGTAACCACTGCCCTTTAAATCGGGGGTGGTGAACATCCTGCATGAAACCATTTGGTCTAGTCCTGCCAAAGCATTAGAGGTGATTTAATTAAGTATTTGACCAAACATAGCAGGCTAATTTTTAAACTGATAATTTTGTATGATGCTAGAATGATGTTATAAATATCCAAATTGCCCTTGGCAGGAAAAAGGTTCCCTACCCCTGGTTTAAAAGATAAACAGAGGGAGAGGCATCTGCTTAGGAAACTGATAAACACTGAGCTTAGCTTCTAACAGTGCTGGGGATGTACCCTGGCTGCCACAGAAATATACATATATTTCATTTTTGATATTATGATTTTTTTAAGTTTCAAACCAAGATATTTAGAGTCAAGGAATTTCTCTGAGCAGGGGAGGAATCTGTCTCTCCCCAAACACACTCACAGAGCCTCCTTCTCAGCTCACAGAGCTAAGGCAACCTAAGTCCGTCTGCTCATTATGAATGTCTAAACAGACTTATATTCTGTTCACAAGTGGGAGGAAAAGTATAGATTGTGGGACAACTTACTATACTTTCAATTAAGACAAGATATATGGTAGGCGGGAAATGAATGGGTGAATCTAGGCAGAAATTACTGCCAATATGGAAAACTCAAGCCAAGAAACACAAGAATTTTTTTCAATTGCATAAGTAATTCAAGCCAAAACAGGTTTTGTGCATGAACAATCTTGGATAATTGTAGCCATTCTGACCCAGTTTGTATCAGGGTTAAAATCCTCCTTAAAAGAGCCTAAAATATAATATGCATACCTAAAAACACAATCTCTCCGCACCCCACCCCCGAGTCTATTTATCTACAAAAACAATACAAATATGTGTGTGGGCTTAGACAGCTCCCCCTTGAACACTTATCTATCTGTGGAGCAAGAGGAGGCAAGTCATTGCCATGATCAATTCTAATTTCCACCCATTTATCTGTTCTCCTTTCTATCTCAGACAGTGGAATGTGAGGAGAAACTGGACTAAATCACTAAATACCAGCCCCAAATCCTTTCCCTTCTCAGGTCTGTGAGTGCAAATAGTGGGACATATGACCTTCCCCAGTAGTTCAAAGTTGGAGCCATTCATTTCTGTGGGTCAGCATTGCTTTATTCTAAGTCCATGACAGAAAGCATATCTGTAAACACTGAACTGTGGCCAAAAGAGAAGGCTGATGTTATAGGATGGCACTGCGCCTAATAATACTCAACACAAACCACATGGATTTGTCTGTAGTGAGCCTGCCTTCCATAATCAACACTAAATGCAATCTTTTGTCCTTAAAGTTTCATCACAACTGTGAATTTTCCTCTCACTTGTAGCTCACTGATAAGCAATTCAAACATAAAATCAGTTTAGTTCCATGACCATAAAAACACTACACTACATTCATTTTTTACGGATGCTGAATTGAGTTTCAACCACAGTCAATTGGCTTCTTTGTATACAATGAAAGGAGCTAACATGTCCAATTAAAGCCCAATCATGGTGCTTGCAGAGGGGGGAGGGGGATCAAAGCCTCAGATATGTTTGGAACAAGGAAATTTCTGAATGAATTCCTGAGGCCTGCTATACTTTTTAAAAATCATATAACTTACACAATGTAATAATGATAGGGAGGAATGAAACATTTAAAACAAATTTTCCTCAAGTAAAATACCACATGAAAAAATTAAAAATATTTGGGGGGAAATTCTGCATTATTTACAGATTATATACTTTTTCCATTTCAAACTAAAAAATATACTGTAATTAAGAAGCTGTAATGAAGCAAAAAGAAAACATCAAATCAATCTTCACAAAATTATTTTATATTTTCACTAAGTAAAACTGTAGTGCTTATATACTGCATATTTTTCTATTTCCAAAATACCCCAAATATTTGAATTATAAATCATATGTGGAAAAACTAAAAAGAAAAAAATTAGTCTCCCCTCAAATAATCTCATTTTCTCATGAAATGTATTTTCATTAGGAAAAATACATATAATGCTTTACATGCTATACAAATTTTGTATTTAAACAAATTAACAATTTAATTAGAAAATATCATGAAATTAGCCCAGCCAGTGTGGTTCAGTGGTTGAGTGTCAACCTATGAACCGGGAGGTCATGGTTCCATTCCTGGTCAGGGCACAAGCCCCTGGAGCTGGCTCAATCCCCAATGGGAGGCGTGCAGGAGGCAGCCAATCAGTGATTCTCTCTCATTAGTGATGTTTCTATCTCTCCCAACATCTCCCTTCCTTTCTGAATTTAATAAAAATATACTTAAAAAAAGAAAAATATCATGAAATTAATTATTAACTTCATATCTCTTAGTTCAAAAAGTACCTAACTCTCATGGAAAAGGTTAAAATCCACATGCACATAAACTTGCACCACTTTCGACTTAGAGTGAGCCAGAAGAGAAAATTACCCCCATTTTCCAGGCCTATGTCAACACTGGAAAATAAATCACCTGTCTCATATGACTTGGTGTTCTTCATACTGCAGATACGCACTATTACTAGACCGCAATTGTATCTAAAAGGTTACAAGAGCACAAATACCATCTTTAAGAATTATTTAACTTATCCATTTTAAGGCATAAGATGAAGTGAAAAGAAAATAGAGATTTGAAATAAGAAAACCATGTATATTCAGTCCCAAACTATTTGCATATGTGACAGTCCTCTTGAGTGAAGTTAATTGTTAAGCTACCTGTTCAAAGATAACAAAACAAATATAAAGCGATCAACATTGCCCAGGTGTGCAAAAATCAGTGATTTCAACATTTTAAAGGTGTTTTGTTCCAAATAAGCAACAATTATAGGATTATTTAGAGAAATATATTAATACCTGAACTTCCGAATCAAAAGAAAAGAGGTTCTGTCTTCCATCTCCTCTACTGAGTTTGTTTAGTTGCTCTGTTTCTCTTCCATACTAAAAAATTTAAAACATATATTTACATATATGCGCACATATTAAACATTACTTTATTTCCTTCAAAACAGTATTAAATACCATTTAAATATATAGTTTCTGTGAAACTAGCAATATGGCACAGCTTCAAAAATATACCATTCTCCATTTCTATGTACTTAGGATGGATAAAGACTGCTTGTTTGGAGGAAAATCGCTATGACTAGGACCCACAATAAGCTATAGATCAAGTTCTTAGACTCTATGTTCCTCTCATAGCATCAAGAATGTTATTCAGTCCTAGCCAGTTTGACTCAGTAGATAGAGCATCGGCCTGTTGTGGACTGAAAGGTCCCGGATTCAATTCCAGTCAAGGACACATGACCAGATTTCGGGTTCAATCTCCAGTAGGTGGTGCGAAGGAGGCAGCCGATCAATGATTCTCTCTCATCATTGATGTTTCTCTCTCTCTCTCCCTCTCCATTCCTCTCTGAAATCAATAAAAAATATATTTAAAAAAATATTATTCACCGAAACCGGTTTGGCTCAGTGGTAGAGCGTCGGTCTGCGGACTGAAAGGTCCCAGGTTTGATTCCGGTCAAGGGCATGTACATTGGTTGCGGGCACATCCCCAGTGGGGGGGGTGCAGGAGGCAGCTGGTCGATGTTTCTCTCTCATTGACGTTTCTAGCTCTCTATCCCTCTCCCTTCCTCTCTGTAGAAAATCAATAAAATATATTTAAAAATATATTATTTAACTCATAGTAGTACAAAAAGGAATCCAAGAGAATTTGGATGCAGAAAAGAAATAAACAAGACAGAAAACACTTTTATATATCCATGGTGTTAACTATAGACTATTATATACAATTCTGATTTTGTCACCTTAGGAGAAACATAATGGACTATACAGTCTAAAATGACAAAGAGTCAGAGGGGATACATTAAAAGCTATAAAATTATAGAAAGCCTATATCAGGGAATCATAAGTATGTTTCTAATTTTTGGAAAATAGCTTTGAAGTTTAAGAGAAGGATAATTGTTAAATATAAAAAGTTACTTCTAAAATTGTGTAACATTCCAGGAAGAGGACTAAAGTGAAAATAAATAGGTTTAACAAGGTTTTAAATAAATAGATCTATGGTAGTATAGACTCCACAGAGTAAAATATCCCACCCTACTAAAATAGGTGTGATAACCACCTCTGTGCTTTGAAAATTTGCTCATTTCAAACTCCAAGGAGCAGAGTAATTAACATAAATGATATGTGTTCACCAAAATCTTTATCTGATGAAATTATTTATATACATATGTATTTACATATAGAACTATATGATTTGCATATGAAATTAACATATACAAGTCATTAGATTGACTATCATGTTCCATCTGCATCAAAAGCCCCTTGAAAAAAGAATAATTATTTTATGAATGACATTGTGTACAGTTGGCCTTCCATGTCCATGGATTCTACATTTAGGAATTCAACCAACCACAGATAAAAAATATTTTAAATGTTATACTGTTGCTGAGGCATAGTATGTAATTAGTCCTAAGATGGGTGTCTCTTGTACTGAATATGTACAGATTTGTTTCCTGGTCATTATTCCCTAAACAATACAGTATAACAGCTATTTACATAGCATTTACATTGTAATAGGTATTATAAATTAATAATCTATAGATGACTTAAAGTACACAAGAGGATTTATATAAACTATATGCAAGTATTATGCCTTGTTCTATAAGGGACTTGAGCATCCTCAAATTTTGGTATTCCCCCAAAGTCCTACCTATAACCAATTCTCTGAGGATATTGAGGGATGGCTGTAATTGAATAGAATATGAAGTAGCAAATAAAATTAATAAAGTCATAACAATCTTAAAGAACTTCCTGGTATCTAGAAAAATTTTTTTTCCCCAAACTGTTAGTTGGCACTTCATAAGTCCAACTTTAAGAGTGTAACTTTCCTTTTAAAATCTCTACCTGTTGTACTAATTTGCTGTGGTTTTTAACTTGGAAAAATGACATTGCCAAATGGAATCCAGCATTAAAATTTTAATAGCTAACCCTGCATTGCCTCAGCTGAAGGCAAGTTGCCATAAGAAAGATGTACCTTCATCAGTTCCGGATGCATGCTCCTTTCCAAACTGGCCATGATGCTCTCGGCTTTGCCTTGGCTGCTAGTTTCATCATCTGTAAATTCATTAAAAGCAGATGTCCCAAATCATACAGACCATTACTAATCACCTAAGAGGAATATCCTATCTCTTCTCCCACTCCATCCTCACCTACTGGATTTATTGCAAAGAATTTTGATTATGAAAGCATAAGGGAAACTTTAATGGGTTTTTGAAAACCTGCCATGAATTCCCTATCCATTTTAGTCTGGTTATATTTCATGTGTTAGAGTCTATACGCTATCAACTCTGAAAAACAAATCTATCAAACTTCACAGTCACTTTTAAGGAAGAAGCAAGTCAACCTTTAAGATTAAGAGTTCTAGCTGAAACCGGTTTGGCTCAGTGGATAGAGCCTCAGCCTGCAGACTGAAGGGTCCCAGGTTCGATTCTGGTCAAGGGCATGTACCTTGGTTGCGGGCACATCCCCAGTAGGGGGTGTGCAAGAGGCAGCTTATCGATGACTCTCTCTCATAGATGTTTCTAACTCTCTATCTCTCTCCCTTCCTCTCTGTAAAAAATCAATAAAATATATATTTTTAAAATAATAAAAAAAGAGTTCTATAATCACCCTACACAACAGACATTTCCATGGATTAAAGACAAGGGCTTTACCTCAATAACGAATCATTTAAAAATTCTGACCTTGTGCTGTTTCTACTGTCTCCTTTTTCTCTTGCACTAAACTGTCGGTATTGATCTGGATAATCTTTTTCAAAGTTATCAACCATTCTTCCATCTCCTGTTCAGTTTCAGCGGCCAGATAATGGCTATACTTATCTAACATCTTGAGTTCAAAAGCATGACGGCGCATTTTGGGGCACTAGAAGAAAAAAGAATGCATTGTTAAGTTAGTTTATTTGCTCTTTTCATATTAGTTTTTGTTAGTTTATTTCTACCTCAGAACAGTACATAGATATACCAATACTTTTATGAAAGAACTAGAGGCCCAGTGTGCAAAATTGTGCAAGACCCCAGACCCGCCATGCTGTGGGACCCCAGACACAAGGCACCGTAAGATCCATCAATGCACCTCTGGGTGACCAGTCATTTGGTCTTTATGGCAACAGGCCTTTTATTATATAGATTGCTTCTTTCAATTAGATGATGAATGAATGACCATGTCAAACATCTCTTTTTTATTCCCTCAGTACTGAGCTCAGTGGTATATGCACAAAGTGGGTATAAAATACTATTTGTTGAGTGAGTATTATCTTTTAAGGCCTTTTGACATCCATCACATGTAGATAATTATAGTGCCCCATGAAAGTAACCAAATGTTTTATAATTTCCCCTCTGCTCAAAGTTTTCCTTGCATATTTATAGATTTTTTCAGAATCGGCACTTAAAAACAAGTTTACATATGGCCCGAAATAAATCTGGCACTTGATTTATATCATAACATAAAATGCAATATCAATACCTAATTCATTTTACCACACATAATATGCACAAAAGAAAACTTGATTTGACTCACTTTAAATTGTGGTTCTCTAGATTTATCACAAAGGACAATATAGAAATGGCCAATGCTGAACACTAGCACACAAGGCAAATAAAATCCACCTCCTTTCTTCAAACATGATGACACATTCTTTTATATTACTACCTTCTCTGTTACGACCAAAGAAATGACACACTCCCTCTCCCAAATAACACAGTTTTAGTTTTAAGGTTCATGAATCAATAATTTTCCACTGCATAGTCATTACTCAAGAAAGAACCAAGAAATTTCCCCTTTGTCATCTTCAAAGAATAGTAAAGGATGACATCAAACTACTGTAGCAAGTTATAAATATTTATATATTTGAAAATATTTGGAAGGGGGATCATAAATAGATAAGGAAAGCAGAGCCTAGGAACAAATTGTCAATCCAGACTAGAACTAATAAAGAATTTTTATAATTTGTGTGTGTCCTCTTTTTTCCAGTAAGATATGATATATGTGTGTGTGTGTGTAGTGTCCCCCAAAGGTATACACAATGAATAATTATAAAGTCAGTTTATTAAAATATATTTCATTTTCAAAATTGATCTACTAGCTATTAAAGTGTGTATGTATTTTTGGGGATACTATATCACCTTCTAGTCACATAGATTTTCATATTCTTACAAGTTGTTTTTTATTTGATCCTTATAACAATCTCATTTGATCAGAAAATAGACACTTTAGTTTTGAAAATTAAGATTCAGGTAGGTTAGTAGCATTGAACTCACATCTCATGCCTCCTAATCAGCCCTGTGCCACTTCTGGTTGACCATGCCACCTTGGCTCTATAGTATGGCTTCTATCAGGGTGAACTGACTTCTTATTTAGATCATCTCTGTGGCCGGTTTCCCACCCAGTCTTTGTTCATGCCCCCTCAGTAATTCAAATCAGTAAACATTTGTTAAATCACTACTGTGTGCAAAACACCGCTAATTACTATAGAGGACGCAGACATGAATATGACATGGTCCCTTAAAGTCTAAAAATGAATGCAGAATTATCCACAAGTTAGAGTATGATTCACAGATTAGAGTATAATAGAAAAAAATGCAAGTGGTCATACAGGGGAGGTGAAGCTTAATTCCACTTGGTGGGCATGAGGGTATGGAAGGAAACAGAAAACATTTCATGGCAGAAGTGCTATTTGAGCTGAGTCTTAAAGATAAGGTTCAAACAGGAACAGAAAGGAAAAGTATATGTCAAGCAGAAAAATAAATGTAAGAAAGGGATATACTTGTGAAGCTCCATAGAGGGCTTAGCCTAGAATGATTAGAGCACAGAATGTGTAAGGGAATGCAGGGGGATGAGGTTAGATATCAGGGTGAGGGCCAGTCACTATGGGCCTGCAATGCCATGGTAAGGCCTTTAAATCTCACTATGCAAGACAATAAATCAAGAGCCACAAGGTTTTGGGTAGACAAGTGAAGGACCCCATCTATATCTTAGGAAGATAAATTGGAGCAGGACAACAATTCAGAAGGCAGGAAGGCAAGAGAGGAGAAAATGGAGAACCAGAAGCAGCACAGTGAGAAAGGGAAAATGGTAAGAGATTCAATAGGTACTTGGAAGCCAGACTTCAAAGGACTGGGTAAACACCGGAATACTAGCACAATGCAAGAGTGGGCCAACTGCAGAGGATTCTGAGTTGTCTAATATAAACATTTTGGCAGATGAGATGCCATTAACCAACAGAGAAAAATGCCAACGTTCTTAAGAGTTGATCAGCCTGGCTGGCATGGCTCAATGGTTGAACTTCCACTTATGAAGGTCATAGTTTGATTCCCAGTCAGGACATATGCCTGGGTTGCAGGTTCCATCCCCAGTATGAGGCCTGCAGGAGGCAGCCCATCAGTGATTCTCTCATCATTAATGTTTATCTCTCTCTCTCTCTCCCTCTCCTTCCTCTCTAAAATCAAGAAAAATCTACACTGAGTGGCCAGATTATTATGATCTCTGAATGCATAATATTCTGGCCACTCAGTGTGTGTGTGTATGTGTGTGCACGCATATATCTATATGTGAGGCCCATGCATGAATTCGTGCATGGGTGGGGTTTGGCCAGCCTGGCCAGGGGGAGGGGAAATGGGTGGTTGGCCAGCCTGCCTGCTGGTCAAATTCCTGGTCAAGGTGAGAATTTGCATATTAGCCTTTTATTATACAGGATATACACTGAGTGGCCAGATTATTATGCATTCAAAGATCATAATAATCTGGCCACTCATGTATATATTTTTAAAAAGAGTTGATCAATAACCATTTTCAAGAAAGAGAAGAAAGATTACCTCTCTAGCCCTACCTGAACAACATCAATGCAGGCGTCCAAGTAGATGCAAGTTTTAGGTTCTTTTGAATTTTTTTCATCTTTATAGGAATTGAGAATATATGAACCATCAGGAAGTTGAGTTAAATAAAAATACCGTCTCTTGAATACCTATGGAGGAAGGAACAGCAATGATACATTTGTTACATATACACTGCATCTTAAGTTTCTTTTAACTAAAAACCTTGAAAAAGTTGCCACAGGTATATGTGGACAACCTTCAGAAAACTCTGAGAAGTGTTAAGAATTATAATTATCTTCATTTTTTTAAGATAGAGAATTTGAAGTCAAGTGATTTACTTGGTTAATCAAATATCTAGAGGCTTTAACACTCTAAAGTTTATAAAGTATTTTTGTGTCTGAATTAGTGTCCATTTCATTATAGCATCCATTTCCCAAATTAAAATACTGCAAACCATGACTGGATTCTTATAATTTCCATCATATCATCACAAATCCAAGTATAAACATGATATATATATACACATAAACACACCCCTCTATCATTTATTTATCTCTCACCTGCACATCTTACTGCACTCACCTATGCTGTTCCAGTTTCCCCACTTGTGAAAGTGCAGCTTATAATGTACTCACTGAGCCATTAGTTACTTACCATTGTTGAGTGTTCTGAATGCTGAGATTTTAATCTAAAGGCCCAATGAGATTGTGCCATTCGTTTGCAATTAGGGATTCACAACAGTTAAGAAGTAGTCTGTTACTACAACTCATAGCAAAAGCCACAGGAATTGGGGAAAAGGAAAAGCCTGATACATTCATGCTTCCTCTCTATTCTCCCCTAAAAAGAGTCTTGGACCCAATGAAGGAAGTGAGAATAGGGGATTCTGAGCTCTCTGATGAATCTATGCTTCTTTCAATAAGCCACAATCTCCAAGCTGTGTCAAGCATTTCTTATAGTAAAATTCCCCAAGATGAGTGGATAGAGCGTCGGCCTGCAGACTGAAAGGTCCCGGGTTCAATTCCAGTCAAGGGCATTTACCTTGGTTGTGGGCACATCCCCAGTTGGGGTGGGGGGGTTGCAAGAGGCAGCTGGTCGATGTATCTCTCTCATCGACATTTCTAACTCTCTATCCCTCTCAATTCCTATCTGTGTAAAAATCAATAAAATATATATTTTTAAAAAAATTCCCCAAGATGATGGATCTAAAATAATGTCAGGGAATGGGAAAAGAGAGACAAGGAAATAGATTTTTGGTGATATTTGATAAATCCATTGCAATGCATCTTATGTTACTCACAGGAGTTCTTTTTTTAGATTCAAGCTTGCCATTTGCAATCACCCATCCAATTACCCAGTTATGATCTCTATTTTAAAAACTATAATTATGAAGAGTTTTATTTGGCAACACCATTCTTGAAAACTACTTTACTTCTGGCAAAGTAGATGAAATACCAACAATTTATTTCTCCATAGCATGAGTAAACAAAAAATAGAAACATGTTAAAGAGCATTTCTTTTGAGGAAAACCAGATGTAATAAGATGTAAATAGATGTAATAAGCTTGCAGTTATCTTGGACTTGTTTAAACATCATTGATTTTGCAATGAGTGACAAAAATATACCAGTGGGAGGAACACCCTAACAGGTTAGACTGGTAAATACTACAGCTTCTGTTTCAGGGAGTGGCCATGTGGGTTATGTCATATCAAGAGAAAGGAGTCCAAGAAGAAAAATATCACTTTGTTTTTTAATGCCAATCAAATAAATGTTGCTGCCTTAGTATATATATACATCCCTAATATGCAAATAGACTGCATGGCAGAACAACCAGTCACTATGACATGTGCTGACCAGCAGAGGGCTCACTCGGAACATGGCAGGCATTGGCCGTGGTGGGATGGTGGCGCAGGTGAGCGGGGGTGCCAGACCAAGAGGGCACCAGTCACTATCATCAAGGACAGCTTCTGGTGGTTACTGAAAATTCTTTGTTCCTGTGAGCCATGGTTCTTCCCAGTGCTGGTACCAGCTGCTGGCCCCAATAGCCCCTCAAGACTTCTCCATCTTCTCCTGCTCCTAAGGGGTGATCAGGGCAGCAGCTGCCACTCGCACCTGCTGATAGCACCAGCTCCACTCACAAGTGCTGCTGGCGCCAGCCCAAATCACTCTATGCCATCAGCAGGTGTGAGCAGGGCTTGTGCCATCAATGCATGGGAGCAGTGGCAGTGGGAGCGGGGCTGCTGGCAGAGAGGGGACCGGAGGCCACAGTGGGAGGAGTCTTGTGGGGGCACATATATGGGCTGAGATCTGCTCCTGTGCCCACCAGAGCCTTGCGGCCCACAGTTCCTTTCAAGGTGCACAAATTCATGCACTAGGCCTCTGGTACACATATATTTTCATATTTGATTCACCCACAGTTAAGTTTACCAGTGCTATGATTAACAAAATTTAGATTCATATATAAGTATAAACATGATAAATATATACAGAAATATGCAGAGAAATACTAGTATTTACAGAAATATATGTGTTTGCTTATTTTCACAGCAATGGTACATTCACATCTGTTATTAAAATGATGGAACCAGAAGACCTAAAATTATATATTGAGCTTATTTAAAATGAAAAAATACCACTTTCTAAAGTTATTATAATAACTATTTGAGAAAAATTAAAATATGTTTTCCAGGCAAAAATTAATATGAAAAAAATTAACATCAGATTAGAATCTGAACAATGATCAAATCTAAAACTCAGTGATACAGTCTATAGAATCCACTTGCAGAGTCCATAGCCAGCAACAAAGAGGGGCAGAGGAAGGAAAAATACAGAGCAAACAGTTGTGGCACAGAGTCAAATTATAGTCTGTAAAAATTTTTTCATGCACAGCTGCCTCACCAAGCAAAGACATTTTGTGGCAGCCGCCACTTCCAATATTAGCCAAGCACATCACTACAAAAGAGATGGAAAGGGATCTGAAATTACAGTAAATCACTTCCTGTAACATTGTAATTATGTCTAAATGTGACACTGAGGTAGGTAGCTCATGAATCTGGGGGAAGCAGATGCCTGCAAGTCATATGATCTTGATTTTCAACCAGCACTCCTGCTTGCCAGCAGTGAAACTGTCCTCAAGACTCTGCTTTTCTCAGTTTCCTCACTTATAAAATGATGGAACCAGACTACATAATCTGTATGGTCATTTTTTTCATGATCTACAAATAATTTTATTGAAACTGAATGAATAACACAACAGCCTCCCCAAATGATTTTCTACAGGAAATTGGGGATGGAGTAGAAGAGGGTAAAAGGGAGATAAATGTTATAAAAGGAGATTTGGCTTGGGATGGTGAACACACAATATAATATACATATGACATGTTATAGAATTGTACACATGAAACCTGTATAATTTTCTTAACCGATGTCACATCAATAAATTCAATAAAATAAAAATAAATAGCACAGTTTGTAGAATAAGGAAGTTTTGAAAAATTATTTCTGTCAAAATCAGACTCTGCCTCAAAAGATCTGTAAAATCTCTTCTCTTTCTAATATTCTATGATATGTTAGATTTCAACTACTGGGAAGCTTTTAAGGTGACTTTCAAAGAAAAAAAAAAGGAGTAATCTAAACCTCTCATGTGGAGCCAAAAAGAAAATCAGAAAAATTATTTCCCTGACATTTTTTTTAAATTTCCAAGAAGTTGCTATTTTGGGTACAGGTCTACATATTTTTTTCCATTTCAAAAAGAAGTCAGCTGTTAAAATAATGACTATACAGTGGCAATTACTCTATATCGTACCTTTCATCCTTTGTAACCAATAACTTATTCTTTTAATGTCACTAGGGAATAAAAACCATTATCCACATTTTACCTAAGAGACCGAGAACTCGCTCAAATTCACACAGGCAAGTCAGTTTTGGAACTAGAATCATAATCCTGTGACAGAGACTAAGAGAATTTTCCCACACCCTTTTAATGGCTTCCCATGGAGTTTCAAATAAGACTCAAAATATTCACCATAGCCTAGGATGATGTACATGATCTGGCTTCAAATGATCTCTTGGACTTTTTTCTAACTAGAGCCCAATGCACAAAGATTCTAGCAAGAATGGGCCTTCCTTCCCCTGCCTGCCAGCACTGCCTTCGCTCTGGCCTAGAGCCACCTTTCTGCCTTCCCACACTGACCAGAGGCCCAGAGCAGCTAGGGCGGTGCAGAATGCCTGCATTGCCACATGGTGATGACACAAGTGTACTTCTCAGTCCCCAGCTGCTTGGCGCCTGCATATACAAATTAACTCACCATCTTTGTTGGGTTAATTTGCATACTCATTCCTGATTGACTGGCGGGTGTCATGAAGGTATGGTCAATTTGCATTTTACTCTTTTATTAGTGTAGATTAGGGGTGTCGAACTCAATCAGAGAAGGGGCCAAAATCTAAAATCCAGCCTAAATCGCGGGCCGAATGGTTTACTGAACAGTCATAAACTGTCATTGTGATGGAAACGCAGCGGAGTGCAGTGATGACAGCGCGGTGCGGGCCACATTGCAAGGCCTGGCGGGACGGATTTGGCCCGCGGGCCTTGTGTTTGACACATGTGGTGTAGATTATGCTACTCCAGTTACCTACAGTGGCTTACCTGCTGTTCCTCAAAAACCCCAAGCAAGCTTCTTCATGAATCCATCTCTGACTCCAGGTCACAGTGATCTGGACTCATATAACAATTGGTCTCTGTACCACCTTTAGACATTCATTACTTTTATTGTGTCTCATCACCCCTAATAGGTTTTAAGCTCTACATGTTACTTCTCTTTACCCTCCACAATGCTAACATGTACTAGTGCTCAACATATATTTGATGATGAATTCATTGATTTCTAATAGTATCAGGTGTATAAGAAATCCCTAATAAATTATTTTTGACTGTCACCAATGAATAAGGGGAAATAAAACATAAAAAACAAACTCATGAGAAATATGTTACCCATAAAATGAGTGCAATCCATTTGTTAGTTGTGAAAGACAGTATGGTAGACTTGGAAATACAACTTACTAATATATCAAAGATAAAAGGTTTTCTCTTCTTTTGTTCCAACAAACACAGTAATCCCAGCCTCCTATCAATTATTTTAGTATTTTATGTGCT